AATAAAAGTTAGTAGTGATTACTATAATTATTACTATAAACTTACGGAGGGCAAGGTATCACTCAATCTCTCCTCCTATCTTCATTTTGACTAATGGAATTATAGCTCCGCTTCCGATTTAACATTAGAGCCATTGGGTCCTTGTCTAGTTTCATGTAGTTTGACTGGTGCTGCTTCGATCTTTCTTGGTTTGCGTAATGTTGTGTGTATAACGCCCGGAATTCCTTCTCAAAATGCCCCCGCCAGTTTTTATTAGGATTCAACCAACAATAATCAGGGTTAAACACTTCCATCTTTAACTGTGGAGATAGAATAGCACCAAAAGCGTAGAAGTTACCAATACCTGTACAAGATAAGCTATAATACTTATCAAGCTTTTGTACAGCTTTATCAATAGCTTTTAAGAGCTTTGGAATCCATGGATCTTGTAATGGTTTAAGCCGGCGGGTACACTCCTCAAGCCCTTCAAATAGCTCATCATATGCTGGGAGAACAAAGCCTAGTCGTGCACCACTTGCTATACCTATATTTGAAGTCCAGAAGCTAAACTGGCGAGTAACATCAATAAGGTAGGTGATATGTTTCCACTCTTCTGAAGTAATATGGAAGATAATAGCTGGAGTAAACTCAGTTGTAAACTTATTTACTGCTTCCTGGAGTAGGACCGCTCGTAGCATCATATGTAGTGTTGAATCCCACCGGGTTGACACATCTTGGATAAGTCGTAGGACTTTTGCTCCATCTTTAATGCATTGTCTTTGAATTCCCATAAATCGCTCTCTTCGCTGTGAGCTAGAATTCACAAAGACAGCTAGCTTCCGAAGCTAGTATAGTATTAGTTGTGATTACTATAATGATTACTATAAAGATACCTTGGCAAGTGTCCATGGAAGGCCCTTTTTGTCATACTGACATTCGTTGCACTCAGTTTGCTATCAAACTCAAGAGCAAACTTGGAAACCTCCTTGTTACGGCTATAGTAACATGATGTCATGGTTACAGGGCCAGGGCCTAGTAATGTGACGTGTGAGTCACATAACGTGACGTGTGAGTCACAGTGGGAAGCGGGGTAGGCTGCCATGTGACGGGGCTAATGGATAGTTGCAGAAACTAGTGGATATTGGATAGTTGAGCTATCCACGAACTATCCTGAATATCTAGCTATCCGCCAACTATCCAGATTACCCATGAGGCACGACGCCACTATATAAGTAGATAGTATTTCCTTAGATAGGAGCTTCGTGCTCAACTCAATATAGTATTCTTTACAATACTGTAACGTGTTACTTGGAAAGCCTTTGTGTCTAATCCCCTGCCTCCTCTGATAAGTAAACCTTTACGCAAGAGAACCTCTGTGTCTTCTATCATTTAGAAGTCAGCGTTACACTCCTCCTCAAACCTACAAGTCACTATACATATTTTGGCTTATCACACCAACAACAAGAGCAATACTACTCAACGATTGCTACAACCATCTATGATTCATTACACGTCATCGCTCCTTAGTTACTGGGCCGATATTACCACATAGCATATCTCTACAACCCTCTATGATTCATTACATGACATCACTCATACTACCACATGACATATCTCTACCAACTAGAGGCCTAGGAGCATGAACGATAGCTCTAAAAGCTCCTACGAACCTCTATGATTCATTACATGTCATCACTCTTTAGTTACCCACAAGATTGGTTAAGTTATGACATAATTTGTCTATAGGGGTACTCTGACCTTGGACCTCCTTTTACTTCCTATAGGCTACGAACCTAAGAGATGGTTCTATGGGATTCTCTTACGTCGACTACAGTTACCAAGCCTGGTAAGTCATGGAAAGTCTTGGAAAATGAGAGAACTACACTCCTTTAGCATAAATAGGATTGCCCTTTCCTTAAGAAAGGGCAAGCAGACAATACAGTAAATCGACTATCACATACTTCCACGTCTTTTCCAAGCTTCCAAGCATTCATCTTGTTACTCCTTGTTTCTGAAAAGTCAGTGAGGTGTTAACCTCTGACTTACCCCTGAGTGTTACAATATCAAGTGCGCCTTGCAGCTCGAGTGGGGGTTCAGGGGTGTGGGGAGCTTTCCAGGGTTGGAGCGAAGTTTTCAGTTGTGGAGTGAATTCTCAGAACTGGTCTCGCTAAAGAGAATTCACTCCACAACAACATAGCTGTATATAGATCGAGCCACTGCTCGAGTGCTCCTCTTCTCTTTCCTTTCTTCTCTAGATTGAGTTTAATTCATAATACCCAACTGGCGCCCTATGCCTTGGTGAACCGTGACATATATGATCCTTAATAAAGGTCTCAATTTGACGCCCATACATGCGTTTAAGAACACTAAAGCACCCAACATCAAGTGGCTGAGTTAGGTGAGACGAGTGAGGAGGTAGACAGAGAGTTATGATGTTGTTTGCTTTGCAATATTCCTGAAACGCAGCTGATTCGTGACTTTCATGCCCGTCTAAAACCAACATCCGATATGGTCCTTTTGCACGACTGCAAGTATGTTTATCGAAGTGATGAAGCCATTCTAGACCTGTCTCGTTGTTGGTCCATCCATTGCTTGTTGGTTTAATTACCCAATTGTGAGGAAGGCCGCCTTCAGTATACCAACTTGAAAGGTGACATTTCCCTTGAACTACTAAAAACGGAGGGATACTCCCGCCTTCAGCATTCACACAAACAATTGCTGTAGCCCATTCCCGATTGCCAGGCTGAACTGCCTTGCCTCTGCCACGTCGATCGGCGCGCGTAACAACTAAAGCTGAGCTAATAACGCCCATCATGAAGCCCGTCTCGTCAAAGTTGTAGAAATCGCAGTCTTGGATGCCGTACTTTGCTCTCATGTTCTGCACAAGTTGAAACCACGCTCCAATAAGCTCAGGATCTTCGCACAAGGCTCTTTGAAAGTCATAAACGCGATTAAAACGTGTCTTTAACTCGGGGCGGCGTTGTATAAATCGATATGCCCACCGCGTCCCAACGTGCTTTCCCCCACGCGATTCAAGGATATAATTTGCCATATCCTCCACACTAGCAGGCCGAGGCGCAAATCCTCTTGCATCCATATCCAATATATTTCGAATAATCACTTCCTCTTCTAGCTCAGTCAATTTAAGACTATTGGCTTTGGTTTCGCGTCGAGAAGGTCGGCCGGCCATTCTATCAGTAAGCGTAGAATAAGGCACTTTATATAGTATTGATGCAGACCTGCGATTAAGCGATTTACATGTTTGAAGAGCCTCAATAGCTAGAATGATTCGCGCTTCTTGGGTTTGGATTTCCATTGGTAGTTGTGGAGGAAACGCGTGTTGAAGTTCGTAGGTAGCTAAGTAGGGAAAAGTTCACGACTCGGTGACATTCACGACTCGGTGTACAACCACGTTACTACAAATTACACATGGAAAATAAGTCATTATATAGAATATTTACACGTCATTGTCAACTAACCCAGTCATCACGTGATGACAGTCTTGGCAGACCGACGGGGAACCGCGGTTTATGAGCTTCAGACCGGACTGTGGTCCGGTCCGGTTTAGGTCCCCCGACGGGGTCGGTCCCTCGTGGCGCACACTACTTACGGTTGTGAAGAAGATGAAAGAAAGAAGGGTTTTGAAAATTAGAGTTTGTATATATAGTTTGGCTTTTCGGCGGTACCGAAAAAGAGTGTGAATTGGCGCGTAGCACCGAGTGAATCTGAGAGCTTTAATGGGACAGTAATAAGGAGTGAAAACCACAATAGTAAGGTAGGAAATCCATCATCAAATTTACCTTTACGCCCGCTACCTCTATAAGTTGACCAATAGGAGACATTACTTCTACAACAGCTTCGGCCGCAACACGACGAGCGCTCAATCGTTCGGTGTGTGCGTATTTGGCATTGAAGCGTATGGGCTACAGCTTTACTTCACCTTCGGATTTTGATATTGAGGCTCAACTGTGATCTACGGAAGCGTGGGGCATCACGTGTTGGTTCAGTACGAAAGAGGGTTAGGGCTTAGTCATGGGTGTGGCTGAAAACACGATTCGGATTCCTCATCGTGATTCCCGGCACAGAATTGGATTTCTTGGTCTGGAACCAGCGAACGGGGCCGGGGTATGCTAGTAGGCTGCCGTCAACCTTTTGAAATCCTTTTGAAATTCGAAAACCGAGCAAGCTTATTTCTTATGACCTTGTCAAGCAAAATATTTTTACGTTAGGTAATATTTTACCGTATATACATATATTCGGCATCTATATAAATGATTGTAATTCTTCAGCTACAGCCTCAGCTTCCATCATGTAACATGAGAATTCTTTTTAAAAAAAAAAAAAAATTAATGCACGTGCTTCTATCTCGCTTCTGGCTTGGTAAAATGAGACCTCGGGAAACTGGCCCCGACTTTGCACTCAAACCACCATGTGCTTGCTGGCTGACGCCCAAATTTTCTGTCGTATACAAAAATATAAGCATAGCTGATGCATTTCAAAGAAGAAAAATGCAAAAAGTATGGGGTCTTGCCCGAGATCGAATCGGGGACCTCTCGCAAATTGTAGCTGTAGGGTGAGCCCTAAGCGAGAATCATACCACTAGACCACAAGACCCGTTGTTAATTTATGATAGGGCCAGACTATGCGGTCTTATAACCCAAACACATGTATAAGATCTAGTTCCAGATTAGGTCGATTCTATAACTAGCAGTAAATTATATATATCCACCACGGTTCTACCAGTACAGAAGGACAGCTATACAAGCTAACGTATATATATTTTATATTTGTCCATTAATGAACGACTTTCTCTGTGCTCAATTTCTGATGACACAGGGGCTCGACTCTCCACCAAGAAACGGCCACTTACATTTTCAGTAGCGAAGCACAAGACAAACTTAAACACCACCAATATCTCAAGAAACGGATACCGGGATAATGCAGAATCATATGGCAGCAGTTTCGAGAGGACACCCAAATGGAAAAGAGGTCGCAGTAGTTTGAAGAAAAGTACATTTTATAAACCCCTATGCTAATGGTACAATATCTTCCGCCCCGGCAATGCTTCTATTCCAACATGATGCTTCCTAGATATACAGTGGTGCCAGTTTACTCCATCGTAACCTTGGCACCAAGTCCCTTCAACAGCTCCACAATCTTGTCTGCCTCCTCCTTTGGCACAGCTTCCCTCATCATCTTCGGTGCCGACTCAACGAACTTCTTCGAATCCACCAAGCTCAGGCCAAGCATGCTCTTAATCTCCTTAATAATCTTTGGCTTCGAGCCAGCCTCGAAAGAGTCGAGCTTGAGGTTGAAGAGGGTCTTCTCGGCTTGTACTGGAGCGGCCTCCTCCTCGACTGCGGCGGCTGGGGCTGCTGGACCGGCGGCGAAACCTCCCATTGGCATATCTGGGATGTTGAGGCGGGTCTAAGGAGAATGTGTTAGTTATATAGACCAAGTTTGAGATAATGGATGTATGCGCTCTGGTGGTCTTGGGGAACCCGCAAAAAGTTCTAGAGGAACATGCGGTCTTCGTCTGAGCTATCTCAAATGCCCGCAGAATGTGCATCTCACCTTAAGGGTAGAGACAAGGTCGGCAGTCTCGAGAAGAGTCAATTGGCTGATCTGGTCAACGATCGTGGAGATCTTTGGGTTGGTCGCAGCCTCTGTCGAGTTCCATCGCCATTGGGCAAGCGTCGCAGATGCAACTCTAACTCCCCCCGCGGCCCTCAAGGAGCGAACGGCACTTCTGGCCGCGAATTGGCAGGATAAAGACATCGTGGGGTGTGTGAAGGAGGGCGTAATTAAGGTATCTCGTGCAGTAACAATCGACACGCGCGGCTTGAAGAAATTCGAGGTTCCGTCGGCCACTAGCGGCAATTTGGACCTGGTGGAAGCGGCCGCTTGATGGTCCGTGCATGCCATTTTCCATCGATCTCCAAAAAAAAGTTCAGATACAGCGGCGATAACAAACCAACTTCGACATTGAGTGGTGCCATACCCCGCGCCATGGACGAAATTAATATGTTCAAGGGACACGAGGCAATCCTTCAAGATGAGATTGTCTTGGGGGAATTACCCTCTGAAATTCTCAGCATAATTCGCAACGGAAGCTCTCCACGGTATCTGGATGCGATAGCTGCTGCGGGTGCGATACCACGATTGACGTCAAGGATTTTCGCACGATTCGAGAATATCTTCGCAGACACCTGTTCAAGATGGGTAGAAGGAAAACAAGGGAAAGAGCAAGATCCTGCCATAATCGAAGCTTTTGCGAGAATTCTACCGTTTGCGCCATGCCTCCACGTTTATTTGGCAAACTACACCACCAGCCAAAGGAATACTACCTCCGGCCGCGAATTACGATATTTGTCGGACGAATCCTCGAGCAATATTTCAGAACTATCAGATACGGGTCTGCAATCGCTGCTACTTTCAGGCTTCCGACTTTTGAGGTTTGATAGAGCATTATATATAAACTTGATATCAGCAAGCAAGATTCAAAATCTATTACGACATGACAACCAGGTAGTCAGATACCTTGCCGCGAGGATACTGGCGTTGCTATTATCGGCATCTGATGTGAAGCTCGAGGAGCTATTGGCAGCTCATGTGGGCAAGAACAGTCCTGTCATGGGCGATTATGACGGGGACAATATCGATTACGGATTTCTAAGCCTCTACGAAGCCCGGAAAATAAAAGATGTTGTTGCGATGCGACTCGCCATGCAGGCTTCTGAAAGTGGACCGCAGCAGCTACAACCTCAAGGACTTTCCCCACTGGTTGTCAGATGTGGCCAGGTTCTCCTCCCTCGTCCTGATGGGACGCCTTCAAGGGGCTCGTCTCTCATCACTACAATCACAACTGCCAACAATAAAGAGGACTTTGCGCAAGCACTGCTATCAAGTTCACCTCTTCTCATACATGGGCTTTCTGGAGCAGGCAAGACATCATTGGTTAATGACTTTGCCCGCGAGCTTGGAAAGGAATCGACCATGGTGACATTGCATCTCAATGAGCAGACGGATGCGAAGATGTTAATCGGCATGTATGCCACAGACACAACACCGGGATCATTTACGTGGCGCGCTGGTGTATTAACTACAGCGATCCGTGAAGGTCGCTGGGTTTTTATTGAAGATCTTGATCGTGCGCCTAATGAAGTTATCAGCGTTATTTTACCATTAATAGAGAGAGGAGAGCTTTTGATACCCAGCCGAGGAGAGACAATTCGGGCGGCACCCGGATTCCGCTTGATTGCCAGCATTCGAACATCGTTGAATATGAACGGACAAGAGAATCCTCCAGCGATGCACATGCTTGGAGCAAGGTTATGGAATAGGGTTCCAGTTAAGATGCCTAGCCGGCAAGAGTTCCAAGAAATTATAAACGGCACACACCCTGTGCTTCATAAGTTTTTGCCAGGAATTATCTCGGTCTACGAGCGCCTTTATTCGTTGGCTCAAAACCCATCGTTTGCCTTGAAAAGCAAAACTTCGTTGGGACGCCCAATAAGCCCTCGCGATTTATTGAAGTGGTGCCGTCGCCTGGAAGCTACTCTACTAGCTGCAGGATCGAAGACTGGCGAAGAGCCCATCACAGAAGGGACCAAGGATGAGATGTTTATGGAGGCAGCGGATTGCTTTGCGAGCAGCCTTCAAACCGAAGAAGCCAGAAAAACCGTCATCACAGCGATTGCAGAGGAGATGCACATCCCTCCTCAAAGAGCTGCCCACTATTTGGATAACCACGTCCCCCGCCTCAACGACACGGAAACCCATCTACAGGTCGGGAGAGTCACTATTCCTAAGCGACGAACATTACACCGCGTTAGCAAACTGTCCAAGAAGACTCGGCCATTTGCCAACACCACCCACGCGAAGAGACTGCTTGAGCAAGTCGGCGTTGCCCTGAAAATGGCCGAGCCTGTCTTGCTGGTTGGCGAGACAGGTATCGGTAAAACGACTGTTATTCAACAACTTGCAGACTCGCTCGGGTACAAGCTCACCGCCGTCAATCTGTCTCAGCAGAGTGAAGTCGGAGACTTGCTTGGTGGTTTCAAGCCAGTGAATGTCAGGAGTTTGGCGATTCCCTTGAAAGAGGAGTTTGATGACTTATTTGCGGCCACTGGTATTTCTGCGAGCAGGAACCAGAAATACCTCGAGTCGATAGGCAAGTGCGTTGCGAAAGGGCATTGGACCAAAGTTTCAAAATTATGGCGGGAAGCGCCGAAGATGTTCGACAGGATAGTGTCGGATCTTGAGAAGCTCGATGCTGCCAAGGCAAGAGACGCGCCAGAAGCACCGGTGAAAAGGAGAAAGACAGAATCGAAGCTACAGTCATTACTGTCTCTCAAGCCTCGATGGGACCTGTTTTCGAAGAGCTTGGAGCAATTTGATGTTCAACTTTCTGGCGGCTCGAAGGGGTTTGCATTCACATTCGTGGAGGGCAACATCGTTAAAGCTGCGAGGAATGGCGAATGGGTGTTACTTGACGAGATCAACTTGGCATCCCCAGACACGCTAGAAAGTATTGCAGATCTCCTTTTGGGTGGTTCTGGCACGAAGCCATCTATTCTTCTCTCCGAGACGGGTGAGATAGAAAGAGTACAGGCGCACCCGAATTTCCGCATATTTGGAGCCATGAACCCAGCTACAGATGTTGGAAAGCGTGATTTACCTATGGGCCTGCGATCGAGGTTCACGGAGATTTATGTGGACAGCCCCGACAAGAACCTGGATGATCTCCTGGCAGTCATCAAAGTCTACCTCAAGAGTTCAAGCACTAACGATGAGCGGGCCGCTCACGATGTTGCACGCCTGTACATGAACACGAAGCGCATGGCCGACGATAAACAGCTTGTTGACGGAGCAAGCCAAGTTCCTCACTTCAGTTTGCGTACACTTACTCGAGTATTGAGTTATGTGACCGAAATTGCTCCTTCGTATGGTCTTCGTAGGGCTCTATACGAAGGTTTTGCGATGGGATTCTTGACCCTCCTAAACCGAGAGTCCGAGAAAATGCTCGTCCCTCTCATCAACCACCACCTTCTCGATAGCCACGGAAACCCACAAGCGCTTTTGGCGCAGACCCCTCGTCACCCTGAAGATGGCAGACAATACGTTAGATTTATGAACAATAAGAGAGATCGGCAGTATTGGATGCTTCAGGGCCGCGAAACTCCACAAGAGCAGCCGCACTACATTATCACTCCCTTTGTGGAGCGTAACATGCTCAACCTTGTTCGTGCCACATCAACGAGGCGATTCCCAGTCCTTGTCCAAGGTCCCACTTCAGCTGGTAAAACAAGTATGATCGAGTACCTTGCCAAATTTAGTGGCAACAAATTCATCAGAATCAATAATCACGAGCACACCGATCTTCAGGAATATCTCGGAACCTACGTCTCTGGTACTGATGGGCAATTGAAGTTTCAAGAAGGTCTTCTAGTTCAGGCACTCCGAGAGGGACACTGGATTGTGCTGGATGAGCTGAACTTGGCACCAACCGATGTTTTAGAAGCACTCAACAGACTTCTCGACGACAACAGGGAGCTTCTGATTCCCGAGACGCAGGAAATTGTCCGACCCCACGAGAATTTCATGCTGTTTGCCACTCAAAACCCGCCTGGTCTATATGGTGGGCGTAAAACACTCTCCCGTGCCTTCAGGAACCGATTTTTGGAGCTTCACTTCGACGACATCCCCGAGGATGAGCTGGAGTACATCTTGGAGAACCGCAGCAAGAATACCGCCCCTTCGGACTGCAAGAGAATCGTGACAGTCTACAAGGAGCTATCAAGACTCCGCCAGTCCAGCCGATTGTTCGAGCAGAAAGACAGTTTTGCCACCCTTCGTGACCTATTCCGTTGGGCCTTACGCGATGCTGACAATCGCGAACAGCTGGCGGCGAATGGTTACATGTTGCTCGGCGAGAGGGTCCGCAAAACCGAGGAAAGGCAGGCTGTGAAGGAAATCATTGAGAAGGTCATGAAAGTTAAAATTGACCCCTCTGTTTTGTATAGTGCTGAGGCTTCACCCGAGATTCAGTTGCACAACGAAACCTCGAATGCGCAGGGTGTTGTGTGGACAGGTGCCATGCGCAGGCTATACGTACTCGTTTCGCATGCAATGAGAAATAACGAGCCTGTATTACTTGTCGGAGAGACGGGATGCGGGAAGACTACAGTCTGTCAAATGCTCGCCGAAGCATTCGGCAAAGAGCTCCATATTGTTAATGCGCATCAGAATACCGAAACCGGTGATCTGATTGGAGCGCAGCGCCCGGTGAGAAACCGCGCTGCAGTGTTGAAGCAGCTCGAGGATGATCTGAAGGCTGCTCTAAACTGTCTAAATATTCAAACCGACGCCCCTCTGGAAGACGTAGAGCAGTTGACGGCCGCATACAACAGTCTCAGCGAGGAGCAACGTGTTAGTGTCCCAGAAGACCTGAGACAACGCATCTACAATGGTCAATCTAAGGCCAAGGCATTGTTCGAATGGTCTGATGGAAGCCTCGTTCAGGCAATGAGAGATGGCGAATTCTTCTTGCTGGACGAAATATCCTTGGCCGATGACTCTGTGCTTGAACGATTAAATTCGGTCCTTGAGCCACAGCGTACCATTTTACTTGCCGAAAAGGGGATTACTGACTCTTTCGTTGAAGCGACCGAGGGTTTCCAATTTTTCGCAACAATGAACCCTGGTGGCGATTACGGTAAGCGCGAGTTGTCTCCTGCATTGCGCAACCGTTTCACGGAGATCTGGGTGCCGTCGCTTTCGGAGATGGAGGATGTGTTGCAGATTGTTGACTCCAAGCTGAATGCACCCACTAAGAAGTTTGCGAAGTCAATGGTTGATTTCGCTGAATGGTTTGGCAAGAAATACCGGTCATCTTCTACACAGTCAATCTCCGTCAGAGACCTTCTGGCTTGGATTAGCTTCGTTAACGGATCGAAGCCACAAGACCCATATTTTGCAATCCTCCATGGTGCAGCAATGGTTTATATTGATACTCTTGGTGCCAACCCGGCTGCACTGCTTGCTATCAACCCAGAAAGCATTATTGAGGAGCGAGCAACCTGCCTACAGCAACTCAGCAGCTTTCTCAACCACAACGTATCTGCAATTTACTATACCAACGTGGAGGTGAACAACAAAGAAGATGGGTTCGTTGCGTTTGGAGATTTCCAAATTCCAAAGGCAGCAATTTCCCAGGCGGACACGGGATTCGCCTTTGATGCTCCTACCACGAAGCTTAACGCCATGAGGGTAGTCCGTGCGCTCCAAGTGCAGAAGCCAATTCTCATCGAGGGAAGCCCTGGAGTGGGAAAGACTACTCTGATAGCAGCTCTCGCAAAGGCTATTGGCAAGCCATTGACACGTATCAACTTGTCCGAACAAACAGATCTTATGGATCTGTTTGGGTCAGATGTACCTGTTGAAGGGGCTGAGGCTGGTAACTTCGCATGGCGCGATGCGGCTTTCCTTCAAGCAATGCAAAGGGGCGATTGGGTGCTTCTCGACGAGATGAATTTGGCATCACAATCAGTTCTTGAAGGTTTGAACGCATGTCTCGATCATCGAGGAGAAGTCTACATTTCGGAGCTCGACCAGACATTCAAGCGTCACCCGAACTTTTCCGTCTTTGCGGCCCAGAATCCCCACCACCAAGGAGGTGGCCGCAAGGGCCTTCCCAGCTCCTTTGTCAACCGATTTACCGTTGTGTATGCTGACGTGTTTAGAAACGATGATTTGACTCTTATTTGCCAACATAATTTCCCAGACATGGACAAAGCGATCATGGCTAATATAATTGGGTTCGTATCTGCGCTGGAACAAGAGGTTGTCTACAAGAGAAGGTTTGGCTCTGAGGGAGGCCCCTGGGAGTTCAACCTTCGTGACACATTGAGATGGCTTCAATTATTAGCATCCAATGACTCTCTCACGGGTGCGGCCACCCCCGCCGACTTCTTAAACCTCATCTTCCGCCAGAGATTCCGAACAGCGAAGGACAGAGACCATGTCAACAGAATTTTCACCCAAGTCTTTGGATACGAAATTCCTTTCCGCCACCTATTTCCAAATCTCGCATCAGACGCATACCAGGTGGGCTTGGCGTATCTGCCACGAAACCAGCTCATTCAACGATTCCCATTCCCCCACGAAGATGTGAGGAAGCACTATGCGGAGATCGAGTCTATCATGACATGTCTCAGCCAAAATATGCCTTGTATACTAGTTGGCCCTTCAGGTTCAGGCAAGAGCAGCCTCGTCCAGCACGTAGCTGCTGCTGCTGGAGCCGAGCTGGTGGTATTCCCACTGAACTCTGATATCGATACCATGGACTTGGTAGGTGGCTTCGAACAGCTGGATCCCCAACGATCATCTGCGGCCTTCCTACAAAGTCTGTCAGTGTTCCTTGAAGGCAAAGTTTTATCGTCCATTCCACGAGCCGCTCCAGACGAAGCGATCGAGATTCTTAGCATGTGTAAGAATCCGGATCAAGTTTCGTCCAACTATTTTGCCAAGATCCTCCAAGTATTGGTTTCTCTCTATGAGAAGACTTCACTCCCAGAGCTGGAAGGATTTTTGACGACGTGCCAACACTTCGTTGACCACCCAAACAAGATCGAAAGCGCTCGTTTCGAATGGGTCGACGGTGTATTGGTCAAAGCCCTCGAAGAGGGGAAATGGCTAGTCCTCGATAACGCTAACCTGTGCAGCTCGTCTGTTCTTGATCGTTTGAATTCTTTGCTTGAGCCTTCTGGCTTCTTGAGTATCAACGAACATTGCGGACCAGACGGAGAACCAAAGCTTGTAAGGCCGCACCCGAACTTCCGTCTCTTCATGACGATGGACGCTCGTTTCGGTGAGCTCTCGAGAGCCATGAGAAACCGTTCTATTGAGATATTCCTTGATGCCCCGGTCATCTCTAGCGATTCGGTGACCGAGTCTACAATTCCTCCTGTGCTTGAGCCTTCTCAACAGCGATTTCGAAATTTGATTAAAGCCTTGGAAGCAGAAGGTCCTTCAGCGCAGCTCGGCTCACTAACTAAAGTGGCATTGGACCATGTATCCACAGTTGATACGGATCTGCTTCCAAGATTTGCCCAGGCAATCCAGAATGGCCTCGTCAGCCCGCCTTTTATTAACGAAGAGACTGGCAAGATAATTGCTCGATACCTAGAGGCTCTTCAACCTGGTAAAAGTCAGGGATTGGCACACGCTGTCAATCGGATGTACGACGGGCTCGCAGGAGCATTGGGTCTCCCAGGGAGCTTCAAAGAGTCGCAGGTCAGTGACCTTGCCTTCAATTTTAACTGTAAAACATGTACTGATAGAATAATTAATGTAGACAATCCATACGCTTACAAACTCACCTCTGGTGCCTTTGCTACAACAGTATCCTGCCACCACAAACCAAAGCTATTGGCTTGGCACCGTCCTTGAGCTTCAGGTGGAAGCCCTTGATGGCCAAGAGGCACAAGAAGAACAGCTCCGCACGCTATCGACCTTGAAGCCATCCCAGATGAATCGCCTCCAGCGATCGATGGTCCGAGACCGCGTCCCATCTGTAGCAAAAGATTCAACAGTCTCCATCGCAGAATTCCTTCACGAAAGTTTACAGACATTCCACGAATTCCTACAAAACGCCCCATCATCGGATTCGGCCGTCCACAGCCGAATTTTGAGAGAGATCATGCAATTCTGGTGGCAGACATATAGGCTTGCCCAGACCGGAAAATTCGAAGAAGCAACTTTCCAAGCGCATCTCGCTATAGGAACCGATTTGTTGTCACGTCTCGCAAAGGTGCACCCGGGTGGCATAGTTGAATGGTTTCAGAAGAGACTCAAGCACAACTTCGATTCTGGTTTTAGTTTGACTACTGGTTTGAGTATGGAGACTCTGTGGTTACAATTTAGACCACTACCAGTTTCGAGCACCGAGAAACTGCAAATGCTTCTCGAGATGGAGGCGCTGGCTGCGAAGTTTGATGCTCTCAGATGGAAGATTTCGATTTCCGTTTCAGAGCTCGCCGGAATCATGTCTGCGTTGGTCAAGGCGCACCACACCCTGCTTACAGCAGATGTTGATGGCCGCTCCCTGATTAAGACGCTGAGCACTGAACTGGAGAGGCTCGAGGCCATAGCTGGGAAAGAAACCGCCAGTGTCACTCCATTCCTCGCATCACAATTCGAAGCTCTACGTCAATACAAGGCACTGCAGGCCATGCACACAAAGACTTTCAGTCAAGGAGGCAACCTCGACGCTACCGACCCAGAGACTATGGTCCTTGCAAACCATTCAACTGCATCTCTGATGCATTTGGCTTCTGCTAGCCCCTCGTCCAACCCGCTCTTCAGCACCGACTATCTGTGGGGTTCTGGAGACGGACTTCAACCAATAAATGATTCGTTCTCTGCATCACTCATCCACAAGCTGCACAATTCGAGCGATGTCACCCTTAACTCGCTGAGGCTACTGGAGACTGAATTGCCAATAATGGGTCGCCAGTTGATTCAAGCAAGTGCATCCTTGAGCAGAAACCACTTCCTTGACATGGATATGTTCCTAGTTGAGCTTATGGTGGATATTGTGGGAGCTCACAATGCAGAACTCGCCGTAAATTTCAGGGTAGCTGCAGGTGAACTTGACAGTTTACCTATACCCTCTTCATACTCCATGGCCACATTGGCGGTTCTCCATCCAGCATCATTCAAGTCTGTATATGAAGCGGACACTTGCCCTCCACAGCTTCAACATGCCATCAAAGAGCATTTCATGCCTGCGTTAGTGTCAATTGCAGCTGTTAAGAAACATGCGGGCAACCAGGCACAACATTCAGCATTAGGATGGGTGCAATTTGCTGTTGGTGTTCTGGCACTCTATGTACCAGATCGATCATATGATCCAGAAAAGAGGCAACGCCTGGAGCGTGAACGTCATATTGAAATGAGCCAGGCTCTTCAAACCCGACTTGGTGCACTCCAAAAATTCGAAGTCATTCTCACTAGCCAACATTCGAACTTAAGGAGCCAGCTGCTGGAGGCAGAGATTAATGAACTGGGCGAACCCACCGAGACGCCCCAAGAAGTTTTTCGCCCTACAGTTTCTGAATTGGATCAGCTCCAAGGAGAGTTCAATAACTTGTTGAACAGCGTATTGGCAGCTAGACCGCATGCCTTGTTGTTCAGCCAGCTCAATTCCAGCTCCGACGACTCTATTCAGAGCTTGAAGCTCCTTCAGAGCAATGTCGTCCAGATAGTCCGCCGATTTTCAGACAGGTTCCGCGCTTATGGCGATATGACAGTTCCACTTGTCAGCATGCTTCGATGCTTGCAAATTGGTCTTTTCATGGCTGGCATGTCTGCAGAAGAGCCTTCGAACAATGCCCGAAATATCGTGGCTCTTAGCAAAATGACTCCGTTCCTTGGAGGCGAAGCCGAGTTCGATGACTCCAATAGCTTGGAACAACCCCTGGAAGTCCTTGGCCAGATTGCTACTATTGCGAGCATTGATGGTATCGACAGTTTCGGTGACGAGCAGCGCCAAATTCTTTACAATATCTTCCACGGCTGTTTCGAACAGTGGAGTAAGCGCCTCGAGCTTGATCGCGAGGAAGCTGAAGTCAAAGGCGGACTGTACCGCTTCAAGGGTAGCTTCGAGGACGAAAATGAAGAGGACCAAGAGCAGTTTAATGAGCTCTTCCCAGCTTTCGACGAAGAAGAATCTAAGCCAATTGGTGGAACAATTCACCATGCCGCTCGTGATACGGCGATTATCCTCGCGAAGCTCCATGCTGAGATCTACTTAAACAAGAGCGTCCCGGCAGATAAGATCACGTCGTTAATACGTACGATGGCGTCTCGTATTGGAACCATCTGGAACACCGATACTTCGTTGTATGGAAGCGGACAAGCCACATCTCGCGGACTAACGGAGTCACTCTTGCCTGGCGCATTGCTTCTTTTGGATGACAAAATTCAGGCCTTGAGTGCAGACACAACCACTTCCGACACCTACAACTTCTACCTAGATCCCAACCTTCCCGAGGCTCGTAAGCTCGTGGGATTAATTCACCAAGTCCAACTTCGGTTCCGCGAGCTTCAGGAAGTTGACGAGATCGGCCATATGCAGCCGCTCGACGATGTGCTTGTTTCGTGCAGGGAGCTTCTCGAATTCTACCACACTGAACCCATTGCAAAGATCATCACGAAAGTCGAGAAAGTTCATACGTACATGCACGAATGGCAGTTTGGTGGCTGGGCGAGCCGAGTCAACTCTGCCACTGCTCTCTATGACAGATTAACTCAAACAATTGTCAACTGGCGTCGCCTTGAGCTCACAACCTGGTCAAAATTATTCGACATGGAGGATAAGAAGTGCGATGATGACGCAAAGTCTTGGTGGTTCATTGCCTATCAGGTCGTTATTGCGGCGCCGCTGGAACTTTCAAGCTCGGAAGAGGAATTGAGAACATACGCACAAAAACTCCTGAAAGATCTTGAGACATATTTTGCCACAGCTATTCAAGGGCAGTATGCCCAACGCCTGCAAATGATCAAGCAGCTTCGGCAGCACCTTAAGATGCTCGCTATTGACTACCCTCTCATGACAATAATCGAGAACGCCGTGTCGAGCTTCCTCGGGCTCTATTCTCGATACGAGGGGCAAGTAGGCGAAAACTTGCGCAAGGGCCGTGTGTCTCTTGAGAAAGCAATGAAGGACGTTCTTCTCCTTGCTAGTTGGAAAGATACGAACATTGTGGCCCTGAGAGATAGTGCTAAGAGATCTCACCACAAGCTGTTCAAGTTGGTTCGAAAGTACAGAGCTCTGTTGAGTCAACCGATGGAGATAGTTTTGAAGCAAGGGTTGCCAGAAGAGCAGGATGGCACAGTCGGAAACGTTGTCGTGGCGAACCACAAGGCTCTTGTAACTGTCGACAAATCTGCTTTGGCCCTTTGTGAGGCCGAAGTTCCACACTGGGCCAAGAAGAGCCCGCGGTACATAAATATCTCCAAGACCGTGGGAATGATGGATGATGCTTCTCAAATACCCGAAGACAATCTTAATGTCTCGGAATACATCGACTCTTTCCTTGGTAATATCGTCACTACAGCAGCGCAGCTGCAAAAGGCCACACCTTCTGTCCTTACGGAAGACAACAAGGTGACTGTCAAGCACTTGAAGACAAGAAAGCGCAAGTTGTTTGCCGAGACGCTCAAAGAGTTGCGTGAAATGGGTATCAGACACAACCTGGGCACCGCTGCTCTTGCACAGCAAGATTCCCTTTCGGTCGTCTTGGCTAACGCTGACAATCTGCCACAATCGGACGCCTTCGATTTCTCTGGAATCAATTACTACTATAGCCAAACATTAGACTTGGTTCCCCGTGCTAGACTTGCGACAAGAGGGCACAATGAAGACTTGAGTCTCGCAGAAGCCGCTCGTAGCTCTGGGCTGCTCGAAGGTCTACTTCAGGTCGTGATCCAGCAGAGAAACGCACTCGCGCAGGCTGTCTCTGACTCCACAGCTCTTAGCGAATCTATTAAGCAAGCTACTGGCCTTTGGTCTGGAGGCAAGTACGACATCGCAAGTGTCGTATCTTCTACTACATATGCGCCTTCTCTGAAATGGCTGCCAAGCATCCTACGAGTCGCCTTGGGCTTGCTGAAGACGCACAACAGACTCGGCAGCGAGACCAACTCTGATGTCGACGAGGTCTTAGTCTTATGGATTGAAAAGTTTGACATCTTTCGCCAAACCTACAACCGCCTCCCGATACTGCCCAGTGGCCTTCAATCTTCCAGCCATATTGAGCTGGAAATTGAGGTTCACGACGCGATTAAGGGTCTGCGGGTCAATATCGAGTTCTTAAAGACATCGCATCCTCATTTGGATTATATTCTCCAGCAGATTCTACCATGGACAGCAACAGAACCCCTAATTGTAGAAGAAATCGGCAATAGCGCTGATATTCCAGCCCTTGATAAGAACATATCGAAGATCTGCGATTCAATTCTTGTTGCAATTGAGAAACTTTCAAAGTCCATCTCCACAATGCCAACTTCAACAGAAGATCCTCTGTGGCTTACAGATAACGACATCAGCCTCCGTAATAATTTCACGTTTCTGCACAGCACTGAGATCAACCAACAGATCAACGAAGCTTTCACGGTGTTGAAGTCATTGGATCTCAGTGATCCCCGGGTCGGCCGCGTTGCAGGAGCCATGTTCGCCGTTACCCTGCCTACTGTGGAGCAATATTTCAATATTCTCCAGCAATCCATTGCGAGATATGCTCAGCTCAACCGAGCGACCTGCAAAATGACTTATATTTTGGCGAAGACCTTCATCCAGATTGCAACTCAAGGGTTCTGTACTCCTGCGGAGAAATCGGACTCCCAGGAAGGCAAGACCGATAAACTGGAGGGTGGAACAGGGCTTGGTGAGGGCGAGGGTGCAGATGATATTAGCAAGGATATCCAAGAGGACGAAGATCTTACGGAGTTGGCTGAGGAGCCCAACAAGGGAGACAGGGAGGATGACATTGAAGACGAGAAAGATGCAGTGGATATGGCAGATGCGGATATGGAAGGAGAAATGGGCGAAGCTGAGGAGAAGGGTGAAGATGAAGAAGGATCTGGTGACGAGGATGACAAGGACGATATTGAAGAAGAAACCGGGGATGTTGATGATTTGGATCCAAATGCTGTGGATGAGAAGATGTGGGATGGAGATGGAGAGAAAGCGGACAAAGATCAGGAGGGTGATGATTCGAAGGGCGAGCAAAACAAGGACGAACAAGTTGCCGCTACGGAGAATGACAAGCCAGCCCCTGAACAGAAGGAGGTAGAGGGAGAAGAAGAGGAAGAAGAGGTTGGAGCTGAGCAGAGCGAGGAGGTGACGCAGCAAGATGACGTTGGGAAGCATGATCCTCATGCTGATGACGGCGATGCACTTGATTTGCCGGAAGACATGGACTTGGATGGAGAGGATGACGAAGGGAAGGAAATGAATAACGAGGATGATGGCATGGAAGATCTCTCAGATATTGAAGGTGAGGATCAAGAAGGTGATGAGGTTGACGAGAGTGACGATAAAAACATGGATGGTGAAGACACGGAGGGCCAAGAGGATCAGGATATGGGAGAAGATCTGGACGTGATCGATCTCGATGAGAAGGATGAGGAGGGCGACGGAGAAGATACCAATGAGGCGGGTGAGAAGGCCGAAGGTGAAGATGCAGAGGAGGAGCCTGAGAAGCAAGAGAACCTTCTACGTGATCACGACGACGACGCCAAGGCGGATGACGAGAACGTGATTCCAAGCGAGGCGCAGGGTGTTGGGAAAGATCAAGAAGACAACAATAACGCCGACGACAACAAGGAATCATCCAGCAAAGCCCAGAGGGAGGATGGCGGTGGAGGTGGTGACGCCTCTGAACAGAAAGATGCAGCGGCAGAGGAAGGCGAAAATGGCAGACAGGCACAAGGCGAGGCACCCACGTCGAACGACGAGACACAGGACGCCGCCGATGCCCAGCCATTCAAGAAGCTTGGTGATGCTCTGGACAATTGGCATCGCCAGCAGACAAATATTCGCGATGCTCCCCAGTCGCAAGAGAAGGGCCAGGACCAACCGATGGATAATGAGAATGAGACCTCCGAGTTCCAGCATCTTCAAGATGAGGAAGCGGAGGAAGATACTACGCAAGCTCTTGGAACGGCTATGGAGGACCAAGCTCATGCAGTTGACGAGTCAATGGCCATCGATACGGAAACCAAAGAGATGCCAGAGGCTTTCCAGCCCGATGAAGTTGAGCAGGACGATGTCGACCACGATGATGCTATGGGTCTCGAGGACACCGAAGCACAGCCAGAGTCGACTGACGCATACGAAGGCCGTGCCGGAGCTGCGATCCACCAAGCCAAGGAAGATCGCGATCCAGAGCAATATGTTCCCCAACAGCCGACCGATATCGAGGATGATGTTGAGGAGGTGGACAGAGAGCTCGATGCAACCCACATTGATGATTCTGGAGCCGTCGAACTCTCTCGCGACTCCGCTTCTGCCCGCCAACTATGGACCGACTACGAGGCCTCCACCCGAGACCTATCTCTCTCTCTCACCGAACAACTCCGTCTCATCCTCGCCCCCACGCTAGCTACCAAGATGCGCGGCGACTTCCGCACTGGCAAGCGCCTAAACATCAAGCGCATCATCCCCTACATCGCTTCCTCCTTCAAGCGCGACAAGATCTGGATGCGCCGCTCCGTCCCCTCCAAGCGCTCCTACCAAATCATGCTCGCCGTCGACGACTCCAAGTCGATGGGCGAATCCGGCTCCGGCGCCCTCGCCTTCGAGACGCTGGCCATGGTCTCGAAATCGCTCAGCATGCTCGAGGTCGGCGAGATCTGCGTGCTCGGCTTCGGCGACAGCGTCAAGGTGGCGCATGATTTCGATACGCCGTTCTCTGCTGATGCGGGGCCGCGCGTGTTTCAGCACTTTGGGTTCGAGCAGGCGCGCACGGATGTTACGAGGTTGGTGAGGGAGTCGATTGAGTTGTTTCGTGCGGCGAGGGCGAAGGCGTCGAATGCGCCGGCGGATTTGTGGCAGTTGGAGCTGGTTATTTCGGATGGGGTTTGTGATTCTAGCGAGCATGAGCCGATTCGCAGATTGCTGCGTGAGGCGATTGAGGAGAGGATTATGATTGTGTTCATTATTGTTGATGATGTGAGGAATAAGAAGAAGGGGGAGAGTGTTATGGATCTCAAGGAGGCCAAGTTTGTGAAGGACGAGTATACGGGTACCTCGAATGTCAAGATTGAGAGGTACTTGGATACGTTCCCGTTCCAGTACTATCTTGTGGTGGGAGATGTGAAGGAGTTGCCTGGTGTGTTAGCAACGTTGTTGAGGCAGTGGTTTGCGGAGGTTGCGGATTCATCTGGTTGATGGCGTGGTATATTGAATATTTTGATTGTTGGGCGTATATAAAAGGGCGCGTTGCGTTGCATGCAAGGTGTTGGAGGGGATATTGGAGAGCGATTTATTGTTGGAATACATAGTGCGGCTGCAAAGTCATTAGATAGGATTCAATTTCGCTTTTGGCTATCCCGTGAATCCCAACTTTCATCACGAAATCAGGTATTGCACATACTTACTCCATGTTTTGACAGTGACGCGAGACTGCCCCGTTGCTGAAGCTCCACGGAGATTCCCATTAACACCCACGTACGTTCAAAACCACTCTTCCCCACCTCTTGACCCCGCATGGCCCATAAAAGTATGCAAACTGATTATCAACAACGCCCACGTTTCTCCAAATTTCCATGGCTGGGGACAAAAGGGGCAAGGTTCGAAACCCTCAATCTCTAGGCCGGAGTCCAGCCGCTCAGCCGCGAGCCTTGCTGGACGGCTCATGGCGGTGCTACTCCCAATGGAGCACTCCAGAGATCCGGTAGCGTAGTACCGGTAGTTGGAAGGCTTATAGTCTCGCCCCAACTACCACCAACTCGCACCAACAGCCACCAAGATCGAACGGCGTCTCTCGGTACGGAGGCTATTATCGTATAGGATCTTCGTAGCGGCATCGGTGCTATTCTTCGGCTGGCGATTAGGAGATGCTGATTCCCGCTAATGATTCGCATGGTGGATAGCCGTTATTTTCACGCAGCTTGTGAAAGACAGTATGGAGCCATACGGCGATGAGACCTTTGGATGAGAAAACCACCGAGACCACGAGTATCCACAGCGATGATGTCGATCTGCCCAACGAGCACCCCCGCGGGGTTCCTCCTTGAGGGATATGAGGAGAGCGCCAACGGCCCCACGAGGCTCCCTTTGAGGGAATGAGGAGAATACCTATGCCCCGCGAAAACTTCTCCACATCTCCCCTCATGGTCTTGCGTGAGGAATGGAGAAGGCCCGAATTTTCAGAATGTAGATTTTGTATATGAGGTCTCACCTCCCCAGCTTTTTGTCACAAGAGCAAGCAATTTCAACACCGATCTCAAAGAACAGCTTCATCATGGCGTCCATCCCAGAGAAGGACCACCCCAACTGGATGGCACCCGAGTTCACCAAGCCGGGACAAGACTTTGAGCACGGTGACCATGTCAACTTACACGAAGATGTCGACACCCTCATCGCGCAGATGGAGACCGAGATCGAGGCCGCAGGCCCGCAAAAAGATATGTTCGCCATCAACTTCAAAAACCCCAAGCACTTCACCTACTTCCTCGTCGTCTTCGCCTCCATGGGCGGTCTCCTCTCCGGCCTCGACCAATCCCTCATCTCAGGCGCCAACCTGTATCTTCCCAAGGACCTCGGGCTCGACTCGAAGCAGTCGAGTTTGGTCAATGCAGGTATGCCGCTCGGAGCTGTGATCGGAGCGTTCCTTATTTCGCCATGTAACGAGTACCTCGGGCGCAGAATGTCTATTCTCATCGCGTGTGTGCTGTATACGATTGGCGCTGCGCTGTGCGCGGGTGCTATCGACTTCCCCATGCTGGTTGTGGCGCGTTTGATTCTTGGGTCTGGAGTTGGACTTGAGGGCGGAACGGTGCCTGTTTATGTTGCTGAGACTGTTGAGAGGAGGTTGCGTGGTAACCTCGTCTCCCTTTACCAGTTGATGATTGCTCTTGGTGAGGTCCTTGGATACGCTGTTGGAGCGATCTTCCTGGGACTCCCAGGGAACTGGCGCTACATTCTCGGATCCTCCGTCGTCTTCTCTACAATCATGGGAATTGGGTAAGTCATCATCTACCACCTTCACAAACTAAACGTCATCTAACAACCTCCCCCCCAACAGCACGCTCTACGTCCCCGAATCCCCCCGCTGGCTCATGCACAAAGGCGACTACCTCAACGCCTTCCGCGTGTGGAAACGCATCCGCGGCACCGAGACCCGCGAATCGCGCGAGGAATTGTACGAGATGAAGTCCTCGCTCGAATTCGAAGTCCTCCAAGTGCAAGAGGGCCGCACCAAGCGCTTCCCCTGGATGGACCTCTTCACCAACCCGCGCGCGCGCCGCGCTCTCGTGTACGCGAATATGATGATCTTCTTGGGGCAGTTTACGGGGATCAATGCGGTTATGTATTTCATGTCTGTCTTGATGGGGTCGATTGGCTTTGATGATACGCAGGCTAATTATATGTCTCTTGTTGGTGGCGGCGCGCTGCTTCTGGGGACTATTCCGGCGGTGTTTTATATGGAGCTCTGTGGTCGCAGATTCTGGGCGCTTGCTATGCTGCCCGGGTTCTTTACTGGTCTCATTCTCGTGGGTGTCAGCTATAACTTCGACCCTGCCGTCGACACGGTTCTGGTACAGGGCCTGTACCTGACGGGCCTGGTCATCTACATGGCCTTCTTCGGCTGCTACGCCACGCTAACCTGGGTCGTTCCCTCGGAGGTCTACCCCACCTACCTCCGCTCCTACGGCATGACCGTGTCCAGCGCCTGGATGTTCCTCTCCAGCTTCATCGTGACCTACAACTTCAGCGGTATGTTTCAGGCCTTCACCGGCATCGGGCTGTGTCTCGGGTTCTACGGGGGTATTGCGGTGGTGGGCTGGTTTTACCAGTTGCTGTTTATGCCGGAGACGAAGAATAAGACGCTGGAGGAGATTGATCTTATTTTTGAGAGGCCGACGATGGTTATTGTCAAGGAGAATATTAAGAATAGCAGAGCGACGTGTAGGGATCTGATGAAGGGAAGATTTAGGAAGGTGGCGACGGAGACGCAGAGGGTTGTTTAGTCGAGTTGTTGCTTGTAGCGTGGGGTCGGGGGGGGCGAGTTTCAGGATTAGAAAATGAATTATAATCATGATTATTTAGTCATAACTAGTAACGTACATGTATAGCGAAAGCGCCAAACAAGCGAAAGCGCCAAAATTATCTACCCTCACGACAAACATTGCGATAAATCTACCACAACATTAGAAATCAATTGAAACTACTCGGAGTCCTCTTCCTCAGAGGTGTCTATTACAATCTGACACGTGCGCGCATTGTGCCCAGTCTCACCACACTTGCCACAGCGACGGGCACGGGTTTCTTCCCTTGGCTTCCGACCACGGCTTGCCCTTATTTCCTGCTCTACCTGCTGCACAACATCCCTCTCATCCTGTAGCTCTTGCGCCCCTTGTTGACTAAGTGATCCTCCTTGCTGTAGTCGTGTTTTCCTAGCTCTCCGGCGCTTGCTTAGTACTTCATTTGCCTGTCGTAGGTTTTGGTTCTCTCCCTTTAGCAGTGCTAATTGATGCATTATTTGCGATGCACCCTTTGTAAACTGGTCAACAGCTGCATAGATTGAGGTTGGAGAGCTATTTTGATGGCGTGAAATCCGAGTTTTAATAAATGTAGACTGTGACATAGCTTCAATTGGGTTGTTTGGTGTCTGAGAAACCCAAGGTTGAGCAGTACCTGGGCGGGAGCTTGGAGGCGTTGGTGTCCTTAACTTAAGATCAAGTGTAGATATCACTCTCTCAGGGTCAAATGGAAGAAGCCCTGCCCCTCGGAACCCGCCTCAAATGTTACTTTCCGTCATTGTAGTGTTAAATGCAGCGTGGAAGGCAGGAAAGAAGTCATCCTTTGTAATATGAGAAATATGAGCCTGCATCATATCTTCAATTTGCCGACCATAGGCCTGCTTTAACGGGCCGAAACAGCCAACATCAAGTGGCTGGAGTAGATGAGAAGAGTGAGCAGGCATACAAAGCGTAATAATGTTGTGTTCCTTGCAGTACTCCTCAAACTCATCTGAGTGGTGGCTCTCATGACCATCAAGGACTAACAAGCGATAACCACCAACACTCCGGGCCTTTGTATGCTTCTCAAAGTGCTGAATCCAATCCATGCCTCTCTCGTTTGTAGTCCAGCCATTTTCAGTAACAGAAATCACCCAATCGCTTGAAAATCCACTATTCTCATACCAAGATGTAAGGTGGTTTTTGCCTGCAACAATGATAAATGGTGGTACTGCCCAACCTTGAGAACTAACGCCTTGGATTACTGTAACCCATTCCCGATTACCAGGCTGTACCTTCTTTGCTTTTGCCCGCCCGTCTGAGCTTGTTACAACCATAGCAGTTGAGATAACGCCCATCATAAACCCAGTCTCATCAAAGTTGTAGATATCTGCTTCATCGATACCATATTTCGCAATTGTGTTACGCACAAGCTCAAACCAGCCATTAATAACTTCTGGATCTTCGCACTTAGCCCTCTGGTAGTCGTATTTGCGCTGAAAGCGTGTCTGGAGCTCTACACGCCGCTTAACAAAGTTTGAAGCCCAACGCGACCCAACGCGTGACGCGTCGCGTGTTGCAAGTAGTCGACTTGCCATATCTTCAACAACAGACAGCCGAGGAGGAAACCCTTTGGCAGCTAGGTCGAGTATATACTGAACAAGGACGGACTCCTCTAGGTTAGTTAATTTCCGTGAGTTGGCTTGGATATCGCGTCGTGAAGGTACACCTTCTAGATGACGACCTAGCTTGCGGTGGTCCACAGAATAGATCCTAGCAGCAACTCGAAGGCGTAACTTTGGGTCGCTTTGCATAGCCTGGATAGCTAGCACTAATTGGCTTTCATCGTTTTTATGGGGCATGTTTTGTTGTTGAGGAATTTAACATTTAGTTGGGGGGTTTGGTCACCGCATCATTTTGGCGCTTTCGCTTGTTTGGCGCTTTCGCTATACATGTACGTTAATCATAATCATGATTATTTATTAAATATTCAGGGATTATGAATAAAGCATGCTTATGTAATATTTGACTTTTTTTTTTTTCGAATAACTTAGTCATGATTATTATGATGATTTGTGCTAACCCTGGTTTTTAGGAAGGTGGCGTGTGTTTCCCCAGCCAATCCACTTCCCCCGACCGAGACTCCGCACCCACACATTAATGGTTGAATATGCACGTCTCAGTCGATGCTCGACCTTGGAATCCACAAATTGCCTGGAGGGATTCGCGACCCCAGAATGAGGCAATCCGTAACAGGTGGGAGGTACTCGAGTATGCAGGGCGTGACTAGCTGGCGTGACTAGCCTTGCGGGTGCCATGATCGCACGCAGATCTGCGGAGCCGCGGAACCGCGGAACCGCGGATCCCCTCCTCACGCGGCACATCCTCCCTCCTCCCCGACCCAGCACTCACACGACGCGCCGCAAACGGACGGACAATGCCGTCCGTCGTTCGGTACCTGCAGGGCCCTCCTCCCTTCACTCACCACTGCGTTTACATGTGCGCCCGCACGCACCGCTATACCACATCGCGCGGTGCAGCGGTGTGGTTTGCTTGAGCGGCCCGTTCGTCCTCCTGCGGGACCTTCTTACGTCGGGTTCGGGAGTTGCTGTGGTGGAAGGGGAGGCCGAACTGTGGCTGGCCTGGGTGGCTGGGATGGGGGGATGGGGATGGGGATGGGGGGGATGATGGGGATGATGGGGGGGATGGGGGGATGATGGGGGGGATGATGGGGGGTGAGACATATGACGAGGTGGAGGTGGTGGTGGCGGTTATTGAGCGGGGAGGGTGAGAAGTAGAGGGTACTTAAGATAATACCGAGTTAAAGGTAGAGAGAGGTATTCTGTACTTTAGATAGAATCAATGCTGGTGTACGGAGTATATTCTTAACTTACTCGCTCGTATGTACTCGACGACTGGCCACTTTTGTTAATATAATTACCTCTTTACTCGTTTCGGGGATTAGTGGAGGGGACAGATATAGATTGTTGAATGTGAGAGAATCAGAATCATCATAAATAGAGAATGTAAAAATAATAATATTAAGGAATCTCCAATACAGGAATCTATCCCGCTCCCGCGTGTCGACTCGGCTACTCCAACTTATTTTACTCTAATTTGCCCTTTCTGAATCGCTGTTCGTTCATTGTCGACGGGGCAAGTACCATTTCAGGCCATTTTATAAGCAGAGGTACATGCGGCTAGGACCCAAGGACCCCTCAGTGATTGATTACTCGATCACCACGATGGTTAGTGGTTGGGCCGCCACCGAGACCACTAAAGGAGCCCTAGAGTTACCACCGGAACCCCCAAGAACGCCCCCAACAATCCCCCAAGGATCCCCCAAAATCCAGCCCAATCCCCTAAACCAAACACCACCACAAACTGCCCAAACTCGCCCATTTCAGCCTCCATCATCCTCTCCCCCCCCCCCCCCGAATTTCTAGTAAGCTATCACCACCGCCTCGACCACAACCACCACAACCACCATCACCACCACACACCCTTCTCAATCCCCCCAAGCCCTTCTCCAACAAAACCGCCTTACCCGCTCCTCACAATCCTCTCGAACCTTCTTGGTTATCTTGGATCCTTGGCCGAAGATAACTTGAGCATCACACTGTCTACTTTGGGTCGGTTGCGAGTGCTTTAAACTGACCGCTCCTGCGTCTTGCCTCCCGGTCCCCTTTACGTCGTGGTGAGGTGACGACAATACTATTGTTCGCATGCAGCCGCCCCCTTACGTCTCGACTCCAAGTGCTGCTGGCTAGGGAGCCACCTCGACCCGCCCTTTGAACAAGGACTCGATCTAGCTAGACGATCTCCTCGTGTTGACTGACCTCACGACCCGCGACGCATCCTATGACCCTTCAACGCATTACGAGCCCCTCCCACCACTTCAACTCGACCTGACATTACTATACACTCTACGACTACCACAAACACATATTCACAATGGACCCTATGGACGGAGTGTACAGATCCAAGAGCCTCGCAGATCGTCGTGCATCCATGGCCAATTCAGAGGAAGGCACCGCTCCTTCACCCACCCGCAACGTCCTCACCCTCGACACATTGAGCACCAGAATGCCGGCCCGAGTCGAGAAGATCGTGCAGACAAGGCCTCGAGGCCCTCCCACACCGAACCTCACGACACCCGCCGAACTGGACTCACCTACACACTCGAATCATGACCCCCCGCCGCCGCCAACGCCGGCAGCGAGTCCTGGACCGGACAACATGAGGCCGGATTGGAGTGCAGCAGGGGACCAGGAAGACATATTCCTCGCGCAGATCCGACAATACTTCAAGCAACGATCGGGCCCAGAGCGCACGAGGATACTAGGGGACCTGTTGAACCTGTGCACGAGCCAGCAGCTTAGTTTTGTATCACAATATGTCAGCCCGCTGCTAAAGAAGGACCCCTTCACCAGCCTGCCGGACGAGTTATGTTTGAGGGTAAGGCCCTTTCTTGTCGACGGCTTGAGATTTCGGGTACTAATGTTCGGATTAGGTGCTGTCATTTCTCGATGATGGGAAGGTCTTGGCCCGAGCGTCACAGGTCTCACGGAGGTGGAGGGATCTATTGGCTGACGACATGACCTGGAAGAACCTCTGTGAGAGACACGATTACAGGCGCCGACTCTCTGTCCGCGACGACACCATCGAGCCGAATACGAATATTCCACCGTTGCCGGTCAGGCCTCAAGCATATCCCTTGGTGACATCGGCGCCACAACTCTTCGGCGCCAACTACGCGCCCTCAGCCCCGCCTTTCACATCCCACTCGCGCAGCTTCGACACTGTGACGGCGCACTCGAAGATGGCGAAGAGGCCGCCCATTCGATCGCACAAGTCCTACTTTAAGCAGAGGTACTTGGTTGAGACGGCGTGGAGGTCTGGCGGGCAGCATGTTTCGCGACACATTACGCAGGATCAGGGCGTTGTCACCAGCTTACATCTTACGCCGAAGTACATTGTCGTTGCACTCGACAACGCCAAGATTCACGTCTTCGATACCGACGGTGATACCCAGAAGACGCTACAGGGCCATGTAATGGGTGTGTGGGCGATGGTTCCGTGGGGGGATACACTTGTCAGTGGAGGATGTGATCGTGATGTTCGGGTCTGGGATATGGCATCTGGGTACGTTTTATTGCGACACTTTCCGTATCAATGCTAACATTATCACAGTGAGAGCAGGCATACCCTGAGGGGTCATACGTCGACTGTGCGATGCCTGAAGATGTCAGACGCCAACACCGCGATATCCGGATCTCGAGACACAACCCTGAGGATATGGGACATCAAGACCGGACTTTGCAAGAACGTCCTCGTCGGCCATCTAGCCAGCGTCAGGTGTCTCGAGATCCACGGCGACATAGTAGTTTCCGGCAGTTACGACACGACCGCCAGAGTCTGGAGTATTTCCGAAGGACGCTGCTTGCGCACGCTGAACGGCCACTTCAGCCAGATCTACGCCATCGCCTTTGACGGAAAGCGAATTGCGACGGGCAGCTTAGACACCAGCGTGCGCATCTGGGACCCGGAGAACGGAACTTGCCAAGCTATCCTGCAGGGTCATACGTCGCTTGTTGGGCAGCTGCAGATGCGTGGGAATACGCTTGTCACTGGCGGTTCGGACGGGTCTGTGAGGGTGTGGTCGCTGGAGAAGATGGCGCCTATTCATCGACTGGCGGCGCATGATAATAGTGTCACGAGTTTGCAGTTTGACGATAACCGCGTTGTCAGTGGTGGTAGCGACGGCCGCGTCAAAGTCTGGGATCTCAAGACCGGACATCTCGTTCGCGAGCTCACTGCCCCCGCCGACGCGGTGTGGCGCGTTGCGTTCGAAGAAGAGAAGTGTGTGGTCATGGCCAGTCGTTCCAACAGGACTATTATGGAGGTATGGTCGTTCTCGCCTCCTCTGGAGACTACCCAGGAGAGAGCGGGCTTTATACATGACCTCCCCCCACGACCGCTCAGTGAGACGGGATATCGGTTTACGGGGGCGGATGAGGATATAGGGGGGTTGGATCCGCTGGGCACTACGTATGCGAGGGATGATATCGATATGGAGGATGCGGGACCTTCGACGGCGCCGTCACGGCCGAGGACGTTTCTTGATGATTGAGTGAGTTAGGAGACGTGCCAGTACGGCTTGAGCTCTTGATGGAACTCCGACGACGGGAATTCACATCGCACCTTATCGTCGACGCGTTGACTCAGACGTGATCTCCCTCGACTATCGAAATGTACGAGTATTAATCGTCTATACTGACCATCCTCACACAACTCGCTATTGCTATACACTATGTATGTCTGTAAAGACAAATACAAATGCCTCAAACACCTCCACCTACCTCTACTCACTCAGCGTTCGATTTCCAGCCATGAAACGGCTACCATTGGACACAACCACAATCATCACCCCATTGTCACACTCGTAACGACCTGAAGAATGAACGGAACGTAACATACAACATCGCGCGGTTTTTTCTCGGACACAAAATGCATCACAACAATGGAGTTTTTTTGTCTTTTCTCTTTTTTTATAACTTTTTTTTCGATATGGCAGGGCTGGAGTAAATCGGTTGGGTTGGTTGGATGGGTTGGGGGGACATTTGGGAAATCTGATAGGGACATGGGCAATGGGATGGAGCAAACTTGGGTGGTGGGGGGGGGTTATTATCTGGGGAGGCATTCCCAGTTGAATTATTATTGATACTTGGCTTCTTATGGCTTGAAAACTTAGATTATGGGAAAAGACCGAATCTGAATAATACGAATAAATCCACCGAACGAGCGAGAAGTGGTGTTTTTTCAACTTTATTGGCGAGTGCAGTGCACGGTGTGGTGAGGTGCCCAGATGTGCCCAGGGATGTGCCCAGGGATTGATTGTAAGGGTGTCCTGCAGGCCTAATCCACACGTAACGTAATCATCTCACACTTTATGTTTAGGGGAGTGTTCTTTCGATGTTCTGTTCGGCAGCTAGTTGGAATTTAGAAGCTATTAAAATTATTTCGGACCTGAATGACTTGAATAACTTATAACAGAGTATATTTACAATTAACCTCGCCCTAACTGGCTCCTCAACTCGCTCAATTACGGCGGACATCCCGTCCCCCGTACATTCCTTAATTAATCCGTCCTGGCACCAACTCCCCAATCAATCCGCTAAAAAGTACCCAAGTACCCCCAAAGGCACGTGACGCCCCCAATCAGTCCGCTAAAAAGCACCCCCTAGTACCCCCAAAGCACGTGACGCCCCCAATCAATCCGCCGCGCTAAAATAATGTTGAATGGTCCCCCGCCGCCCTTCTCCAACAACATTTCTCTCTGCTCCCCAAACCCGCGAAGTGTTGTTCAATTGCACCACCCTAGCAACACCACCACATCAGCCACACAAGATGTTCTCACGGGCATTGAGGACGAGTCGGGCGGCGGGCTTGCCGAAAGCCAGTTTCTCGAGGAAGGTGGTGATGACCCGCGCTGTGACGACGGATGCTGCGTCGGCTCATGCGGAGAAGGAGAGTGTTCCTGAGGTAAGATAGCCAATTGAGACGGGGGAGAAGGGTAGGGGATGGGGTTTGATGATGGGGTTTGATGATGGGGTTTGATGATGGGGTTTGATGATGGGGTTTGCTGACGGTGTTGTAGGAGGATGATAAGCCATTCCAGGTCCAGCTTTCTGATGAGAGCTTCGAGACTTATGAGCTTGATCCGCCGTCGTACACGCTTGATACTACGAAGAAGGAGTTGAAGAAGATGTACTACGATATGGTCGCTACACGGTAAGCACCCTCACCCGCCTCCCACAGCTCCCACAGCTCCCTACTCCTCCCCACCCTCGCCCCTGATGGTGACGACACCGTAACTAACTCCCTACCCAGCCGCATGGAAATGGCCGCCGACCGCCTCTACAAAGAGAAGAAAATCCGCGGCTTCTGCCATCTCTCCACCGGCCAAGAAGCCGTCGCCACGGGCATCGAACACGCCATCACCAAATCCGACGATGTTATCACCGCCTACCGCTGCCACGGCTACGCTTTGATGCGCGGCGCGTCCGTGAAATCCATCATTGGCGAGCTCCTGGGCCGGCGTGAGGGCATTGCCTACGGCAAGGGCGGATCGATGCATATGTTCGCTAAGGGATTCTATGGTGGTAATGGTATCGTGGGTGCGCAGGTGCCGGTTGGGGCGGGGCTGGCGTTCGCGCATAAGTATAATGGGAATAAGAATGTGACGGTGGCGCTTTATGGAGATGGTGCGTCGAACCAGGGACAGGTGTTTGAGGCGTTTAACATGGCGAAGTTGTGGAATTTGCCGGTGCTGTTTGGTTGTGAGAGTATGTCACCCTTTCCCCTTCCATTGACACTCGCGTCGTGTGTGAAGTGAGCTTCAAGACTAATCAGTGGCGTCTAGACAACAAATACGGCATGGGTACCTCTATGAACCGCTCCTCCGCGCTCACCGACTACTACAAGCGCGGCCAATACATCCCCGGCCTCAAAGTAAACGGCATGGACGTCCTCGCCGTCAAAGCCGCCGTCGCCCACGCCAAATCGCACGCCGTCGCCGGCCACGGCCCCATCGTGCTCGAGTACCTGACCTACCGCTACGGCGGACACTCCATGTCCGATCCCGGAACCACGTACCGCACGCGCGAGGAGATCCAGCGTATGCGCTCGACGAACGATCCGATTGCGGGCCTCAAGTCGAGGCTGCTGGATTGGGAGGTAGTGAGCGAGGAGGAGCTGAAGGGGATTGATAAGCAGGCGCGCAGTGATGTGGATAAGGAGGTTGCGGAGGCGGAGAAGATGGTGGCGCCGGAGGCGTCGGAGAAGATTCTGTTTGAGGATATTTATGTTAGGGGGAGCGAGCCGGAGTTTATGAGGGGGAGGACGGTGGATGAAACGTACTACTATTAGAGGACGTCGTACTACTATTAGAGAGAGATTGATTGGTGAGGAGGGGTTTGTAGGGAGGGTTGGCAGGGAGAGACAGTGGGGAGTGTAAGATAATACCGGACTCGTAGAATATATGCTCCTTTGTCTCCTACTTTGACGTCGCATGTACACCGTGACAACACTAGGGAATAGAGTGACGGAACTGTAGCCACGCAGGGCACAAAGTCATAAAAACTGCATATACGATGTGTGATGTGTGAAGAAGTTCCATTTAAACGGGGCACCAGCACAAACAACAGCGGCAGCAGTAACAACAGATACCATAACCAGCTACAATACACGCTGCTACCCCCCTTTCATGGCAACTTTTCAAACCCACCCCGTCCAGTCTAGGACATCCAAGCTCCCCAAACTCCCAAAACACACTATCTACATAAATAAAACCGCAACAACACCCCCTAATGATGATGCCCAACCTGCGTCACCAACGGAATCAACATCCCCACCACACTCGCCAGCGTATCCCTCAGTACGGGCTTCGTTCCCTTCCTCGGCAACCCCCCTCCGCCGCCGCCCTCCCCGAATCCGTTCGGGCTCGAGGAGGAGTTATCATGCTGCGCGGCATCGTCTTGCATCGCGTGCATAGCAACATACAAAAACGTGCCCGCCGAAAACAACAACAGCATCCCCGTCCACCACTGCCCCTTTTCGCCCTCCATCCCCGCCCCGCCCGCAATATTAACTAAGAGCCAAGTGGTCAGAGCGCCGATGGGGGCGGCGAGGGAGAAGATGATTAAATGCCCCCGCGCGGCGCGTTTGGAGAGCCCTTGTTTGAGGAGGACAGAGGTGAGTCCGAACGCCGCGGGCGCTTTATGTAGCATTATCGCGAGGAAGATAATAAACCCCAATTCAGTGTTTGAGGAGGTGGCCGAGGCGCCCATGGCGATGCCGTCAGCGGCAGCGTGGATGACCAGCCCGGTTGTGGTGGCGAAGTTGCGGGTTTGTTTGGGGGAGGGGGCGAGGGAGTGGAGGAAGGAGTCGCTGGAGATTGGGTCGGTGGGGGAGGTGTCGGAGAGGTTGTTCAGGCTGATGTGGCGGGGGGGAGGGGATTGGAGGGTCGAGGAGGCGTGGCGGGGGAGCTTGTCAATGAGGAACATGAGGATGAAGCCGGTGATTAGGGAGAGGCCTATGTAGAATGGTGAGGAGCGTTCAGCTGTGTGGTTGGTGGAGGAGGAGGGGTGGGTGGTGGAGGCGCTGCTGCTGCTGATGGGGGTGTCGTCGTTGTGGATTGTGGGGAAGTCTTCGAGGTTTGAAGATTCAGGCACGACTGGGCCCGGAGGGGGGTGCACGGTGTCAGCGATGGGGTCGGTGTCGGCGCGGCGCTCGAAGATGCTAATGTCGTCCGGGATTACGAGGCCTGGGAGGGCGCTGGCGGCTTCGTAGAAGGTTGGGTTATCGAAGGTTCGGGGGGTGAGGGTGGGTGCCCTTGCGCCGTTTGTGTGGATTGGTATTGAGGAGGCGTAGACGGCTTCGATTCCCTCTGGGATAATTACTACCAGGGAGGTTCCAACGAGGACTCCCATTCCGATTGCCGATAGTAGTCGCAATTGTGACTGAGACAGGCTCATGGACAAAGGCAATGCTCCTGCTAGGAACGAGCTGTTGCACGGCAGTTAGGAAGGGGTGCAAGTTGTATGGGTGTGGAGGGACTTACGCTACTGCCATCACCACGCTCAGCACGAGCAGGATGAACAATCCGTCTAACATCTTGAATCCCTTTTGGACACCTATTTGGTGCTATAAACGTCCCTCTATATGTGGCGAGAATCAAATAAGCATCGTCTCTTATATAGGCATGCGTTGTAAGTGGCAGATATGACGAGTGAGCGCCAACAACAGGTGATGTCTCGAGAATCAAAATGTGTTGGAGATGGTGGGTTGGAGGTAGAGTAACTGTACGTATGTTCTTTGACGCCATGCCGGCGTAGGGAAAGGGAAGGTTACGAAGTGGAGCAAACGCCACTAGCCGCGCTAGTACGGGGGACCATGTATATTGGAGATTGAGACGCGCTCAACTCGCGCGACTGAAAGTGCGACGGCGGCTCAAAACTGACCTGATATTTCCGTAAATCGTCAACTTCACTTCAATCCCTCGCTCGATTAAGGATGGCAAGCTCACCGGACGATTGTAAGTTATATTCCTTTTATCTACGAGATTCCACGCTGCTACAGCCTCAAGGACCGTGCCTTGTCGCATAGTTCTCCAGCCTGTCCAGGCTGGAGAACTCAAAATATGATCTGCGGCGCATACTTTGTGATGATAGTTTCTGGCAAAAACTGACTTCATCTTCAGGGTCGACCCAATCAAATGATGCCCTGCATATCTCACTCGTCCGTCCAGAAAACAAAGCCTCCAAAACCATAACCACCTTTCATCCGAAGTTCACATACCCCATCTTCGGCGAAGAAGAGTCGATATTCGGATACCAGGGCTTGAAGATTCACTTGAGATACAATAAGTCCGATATGCGCCCCGGAGTGCTCATCACATACAGCAAGCGCTTCAAAGCTGTCGGAGACGTCGAGCCAACGGACCTGAAAGGCCTCCTCGCAGACTTCTTGCCAGAAAATGCGTTCCAGAAGTCAGCCGCGTTTGATGCCGCCATAAACGATCCAAACCTCAAGAACTTCACCCCACCAGGGAAGCTCCTCCAGAGCTACGAGAAGGGTGATGCAGCATACGAAATCTGGTATGGAAACTCGGCAGACCCCGCAATCCAACAGCTTCTCCGCCGCCTGCAAATACTCGTCGCTCTCTTTATTGAAGGAGGCACCGCGATTGATGATGCGGAGTGGGGGCCAGGCCGCTGGACTGTATTCTTGCTGTACAAGAAGAGCCCAGCTACAGACGAATCGGCGTCCCCATACACGTTCATGGGCTACTGCACCGTCTACAATTACTACCCGTTAATCCCCAAGCTCCCGCTTGGCGCCCCAGGAACCCAGCGCAAAGCAATCTCTCTCCCCGTCAACTCAGACGCCTCAATCCCATTCCCAGACCAATCTCTTTCCGACCTCCCCATCCGCTCGCGCATAAGCCAATTCATCGTCCTCCCCCCCTTCCAAGGCGGCGGCCACGGCGCCCGCCTCTACTCAACCGTCTTCGCACACTATCAATCCGATCCGCAAACAGTCGAAATCACCATCGAAGACCCCAACGAGGCCTTCGACGACCTCCGCGATCTGAATGACCTCATCTACCTCCGCAGGCTTCCCCAGTTCCAGGCTCTGAAGATCAACACAGCCGCGAATGTGAGGAGGAAGGGACGAGTTCCTTCGGACGAGATTATCGAGCAATCCACCCTCAACGAATTACGCAAGAAAGTTAAGATCGCACCGCGGCAATTCCAGCGCCTCGTCGAGATGCAATTACTCTCCGCCATCCCGACCAGCATCCGCAAATCCCTCACGCTAGAGCACAAGAGCGCGAACACCCCTGAGACGAAGCTCAGACAGCACGAATACCGGCTCTGGTGTCTGCTGGTCAAGCAGAGGCTATATAAGCATAACAAGGATAGCTTGATCCAACTTGAGCGCGCGGAGAGGATTGATAAGTTGGAAGAGGCGGCGGGAAATGTGGAGTCGGATTATGCGCGGCTGTTGAGGAAGTTGGATGGTGGGAAGGAGGTGGTGGAGAAGGAGACGTTGGAGGTGCCGGAGGCGAGTGCGTCGTCGCGTGCTACGCCGCCGGGGAAGAGGGTGGCGGAGGGAGGGGAGCTGGATTTGTCGGTGAGGCAGAGTAAGAAGGCGAGGGTTAAGGAGGAGGCGGAGGAGGATTAGTAGATACTGGATGGGGGGACTGGGCATGGATGGGTGGATTTCAGGGGTTGCATTGCATTATTCAAGATAGGCGTCGGAGCTGGGTGCTATTGTGGAGCGTGTGGATACGCGGAATGGAAACTTATGAACCGTGGTATTGACTTCTATTGTCTGTCCATGCTTTTCTATGTACAAGTTGTCTATTTCTCTACTTTTAACGGGACTGGCGAGCTTTGGAACCGCCCAACCACCGATGGTATCTACCCCCTCTAAACATTCGCACCATTCACATTCTTTACGCCCTGCCCCAACTTACTCGCCACCACCGTCGCGGCTCTAATAGCCTTCGAAACGACCCCCCTCGCACCACCATCCTCCAACACCATCAGCCCGCCAATAGTGCACCCCCCAGGGGTGGTAACACGGTCCTTCAACACAGCAGGGTGAACAGGTGCCCTTCCCTGCTCCTTATCCCCAAGAACACCCATACACGCACCCTTCATCGTCTGCGCCGCCATCTTCGTAGCCTCTGCGCGCGGCAGTCCCATCGCAACACCGCCGTCAATCGCAGCCTCGAGGAGGAGGAGGAAGAATGCTGGGCCGGATCCGCAGAGGGCGGTGGAGGCATCCATCAAGTTTGGAGGGAGCCATACGACCTCGCCGACGCACTTGAAGATCGTTTCGATGAGGAGGGAGACACTCTCGTCGATTGGAGTTGCTGGGGTGGCAAGGACAGTCATCGATTGCCCGATCCCCGCCGCGGTGTTAGGCATCGTGCGTACAACGGTGCAGCGTCCGACACCACCGGGCTTGCCACCGTATAGGGTGTTCTCGATATCCTCAGCCGCAACACCAGCGCAGATAGAGATGAGGAGTTTTCCCTCAAGCGCCTTGATCATGCCGGGCTTGGAGAGGATGCCGGAAACCATGTAGGGTTTGCAGCCGAGGATGATGACGTCTGCTTCCTGGCAGGCCTTGACGTTGTCGTTTTGGATGACTTTGAAGGTTTCGCCGGTGGTGTTGGCGCTGTCGACGGCGGCGGTGATGCGCTCTACTGCGCTGTTGGAGCGGCAGGTTGCGATGTAGCTGGTGGGGGGGAAGAGGTGGTTGCCTTCTTTGTCTTGGAGGAAGGGGAGGGGTTCGGTGTTGCCGGCTTCGTCTTGGACGAAGGCTGGGCCTTCTTTGCCGACGTAGGACATTATGCCGGTGAGAATGCCGGTTCCGAGGGTGCCTTGATGGGAGTTAGCATTTATTCAAGAGGGTGGCACTGTCAATGCTAGTTTGAATGCCTCGAGGGGAAGTCCAGGATCGGGCCATGTGTGCCACAGAAGGAACAGAAGTGAAGAGTGTAAATGGGATATTCAGAGCTTACCACAGCCAATGAATGCGAGAACCTGCTCGCCCTCCTTGCGACGTCCAGTTGTGAGGAATGCTGAAGCCATGACGGCGACTATATTATAGACTAATTTGTCTGTGGCTATTAGGTATAGAGAGAGCCCGGCGGTGTATTAAGTCCTTTATATGTGACTTATACTTCCAATTGGCTTGTAAATATCTTTATAATTGAAGTCGACGTTGATATTGACAGTGCTATATGCCTCACCAATTCCTCTTGGAAGTGGAGTACCCCGCAATAGCTCCACATCGTCCAAAACACAAGCCCTATTCTGCCCTTCCCTGCCGCCTTGCCATCCAATTCTGCAGCTCTTACCGCCCGCCCGTTTCCAACCATAATTTTGCCTGTTCCCACCGCCCAATAGCCCAGCTCAAGAGTATGCACGGGCCAATATATAACCCCCACAATCAAAGATAACCCAAGACATACTCGACAACCGTCGTCGTCGAGCTCTTGCACATTACTAAAAAAATTCACGGACTAGAAATTATCACCTCCTCGAGTACGCCATGGCCGACCCATTCGAAGTGCGCATGCGCTTCACGAACCAGCTACAGCACCTCAATGCCTCCGTGACCAGCTCGCAAAAAGCGGCGCAATATGCGCTGAAATACAAAGATATGGATGAGGACCTGCACTCCTGTATCCTCGAGCAAGTCGAAAAGGTAAGCACCAACCATCTGACCGCGCCCTCCCACCCTTCGCGCTCCCCCCTCCTCCCAGATCAGACCCCGCTGACCCGCGCCGGCTGTAGAACTCAATGAACAACCGCGCCAACATCCTCTACTTCCTCGAAGCCCTCGCGGACCTAAGCAACACCAACGGCCACCGCGATTACATCCGCATGATGCAGCGCGACATCCTGCGCATCGTCGACGCCGTGGCGCCTGAGGACGGGTCGGGCGCTGCTAACACCAAAGTCGTGCAGAAAGTCCTCGCCAGCTTCGCAGCGAAGGGGTACCTCGAGGCTCAGACGGTGGGGGAGATAGACGAGCTCCTCCGGGAGCGCGATAGCGGGATGCCCGGCCTAGAAGGAGCAGGGGGCTCGCCGACACAGCAGGCCGAGGGTATGGACGTTGACGACGGCGTGTGGGAAGACCGGCGTGGAGACGCAGGCGGAGTGCGGCTTGATAAGAAGCTGGTGGAGCAGCGAATCGAAGAGGATCGGGAGAGGCATAAGCGGTTGAGGGAGCATCAGTGGGCGGTGCCGCCTGCGGTGGGGGAGGATGAGGATGAGAGGGAGTTTGAGATGTTGTTTGAGGAGACGAGTAGTGTGGGGAGTGATGATTATCGGTTGTTTGAGGAGGAGTTTCTGGATCGGAAGAGGTGTGCGGAGGAGCATAAGGCGGATATTGAGGGGACGGGTGAGGCGTGATGAGGGGGGGTTTGTGGGATTGGGCATATGGGTTCTGCTGGCGTTGGGGGGGCAAGGAGCATTGATGGCGTTTGGGGTAGCGCTGAAGGTAGCGCAATGGGCATGTAGATCTACGATAGCCACCAAATAATCGAATTAGGTTCAAGCTATGTAACATGAGATAAGCAATGAGAGCGTAGATACATATACCAAAACCTGCTCCTGAAAGAATCATATGTGACGAAAGGAAGGCCCAGCGAGCGGTTCGTACTCGGAAAGTAGAAAGGCTTGATAGACACCAACGCCAGGCGAACCTTCCATCTCTCTATGCTGGCGAGATAGAATAGGTAACCATGGAAATACTCGTGCTGTTCGAATCCGAAGAGAGACTGTTCATGGCTGAGGGTTGACACCTGCGGTGCCAGCAGATTGAGATCGTCCGGTTCTATTGCAAAGTTGGTATGACTTTTCAGCGTCTGATTTATGTGAATAGCCATGATGAGAATGCAAAACAGTAACTGGGCACCTGTGTCATATGAATAACCCCAGAGCAGCTGACCATATGGAAGGCTGTAATGGCCACGGCATGACAACCGTAGCCATGTGTGGGAAAGCGACTTCCTTGTGAAAATATCTGTTTTCAACACTGGTTGTCATGTATGGTACTTGGTCAGACATTACGAGTATTTGCACATTGCGAATGATTTGTCATGTAATTTCATTGAATCTGTGTTTCTAAAACACTAGCCATAAACCGGCCCAGACGCCCATATCCTCCCATCCACGGCTTGAACAGCCTTCATAAACGCCATCACCGATTAAAAAAGTCAATGCAGAGTAGCAAAAAAGCCACCTCATCAAACCCCCTCCACCAATGAAGACGTCCATAACGCGAACACGAGCGCGTTGATCCGCAGGAGCGAGACGCGGAGATGAAACCACTCGAACCCTGCCGTAAACAGCATGCTAGACCATCCGAAGACTATCAAAAGTACGAATGTGGAAGTCATCAACCGAAGCCAGATCAGGTAGTTGAAGATGGTGCATCTCGGTGTGAGCACAGAAGAAACCCTGCCGTAAACAGCATGCTAGACCGTCCGAAGACTATCAAAAGTAACGTATGTCTGAATCGAAATACAACCACCGAGGGTGCAGCGAGGCCAAGAGATGTTGGGAGATCGTGACGGAGAGGAATGATGGTGTGGCGTATTTGTTGTTTGTTTGTACAGGAAACGCTTAACCGCCGAAACCGTACAGGGTGCGGCCTTGACGCTTCAGGGCGTAGACGACGTCGAGTGAGGTGACGGTCTTGCGCTTGGCGTGCTCGGTGTAGGTGACGGCGTCACGGATGACACCCTCGAGGAAGGTCTTGAGGACACCACGGGTCTCTTCGTAGATCACTGTTGCCAATTAGTATGGGTGCGATAGCGAGGGTGGTTGTGTGAGAGACTTACTAGCTGAGATACGCTTAACACCTCCACGACGTGCGAGACGGCGGATGGCGGGCTTGGTGATACCCTGGATGTTGTCACGAAGAATCTTGCGGTGGCGCTTGGCTCCGCCCTTTCCAAGTCCCTTTCCTCCCTTTCCGCCTAAAAAAAACGCGTCAGTATTGTTTCAACGATGGACAGTGATGTTGATTGAATGTGTTGCAAGGAATGGTTGATGATGTTATGGTGGCGTTGAGGCTCAAGCGCGTTGGAAGTGATAATGAAGTCATGCATCACAACCCGTGCCGACCACAACATTGATGAAGCGGAACCTCGACAACAAATAAAATGGAATAGAGGGGTGAAATTACTTACGTCCAGTCATGATGAAGTTGTTTGAGGATGTGTGAGTGGTTTATTGATGGTAAAGCACGTCGAAATAGACGCGTTGGTTGATGATGGATGGATTTGTTGTTGGGTTGTCGATATGTCGTAGATGAAAAGGATCAAAAGAAGAAAGCGGGGGTGGAAATGGGCACTTATTGATATAAGCGTGTTTCCTCCTGTTGTGAGCGTTTTGAATCACTCAGTAATGGAAGGGTACGCTAGTCCTCTTACGGCTTTTGTTTTTGTGATTTCGTCGCGGTCCTGCAGGGAACCATCAAGCGAAATGGGGAAACAGCCGAGAATCACTGGACAAGATCAACAAAGTAGCCGATATTGGCTTCCACGATGCACGTCAGATTGTTCTGGTTCTGATCTCCTAAATATATATACAACCGAATATATATTCAAGGAGACGCTGCTCGAGATATATATACAAGGAGACATTGTATATCCTTCAAGTCTCATACACCATGCACCTTTCAGCATCACCCCCACACGTCCCAGTAGAGTTCGGAGTACACATTTCACCATCCCATGCCCGTATTTGCTATACAGCTCCAGGTGAGATCCAGCCCATTGATTCATTATCATACACTCTCGATATCTATATACATACATATTCACTCTGAACCATTCACTCTCATGCCGCCATCCTCCTCTGCCTTCTGTTCTGTGGAGCTGCCTGTTGCTGCTCCTCCCCGCCCTTTGGCTGACCCTGAGGACCACCCAGCATCCCCCTCGCGGCACCGATCAGTCCCCAGCCCTTCCACAGAACAAATACGGGAACAATGGCAAACAGCCACCATGCTTTGTCTCCCAATGCAAGGACGGCCAATAAGCATGCCCACGTGACCCACACGACGTCGAAGAGGTACTCGGTCAGTCCTGGCGCGGCCAAGTCCTCCCCAGCGGATTTAAGGCTTGACTTCCCATTCAGCGTAGTGTACTTTGGGCGGCCGCTGGACTCGAGGATGTACTGGCACGCAAGGGCGGGAATGGACAGTACGGCGTAGGTGAGGAGTGAGCGGGAGCGGAAGATGAGGCTGACGACGATGAAGGCGCCATTGAAGACGAGACTGCCAATGTGGAGGGTTGAAAGTGCGGCCACGTTCGCCTTGGCAAGATCCTTACGGGCTTTTCCAGCCATGGCGAAGGTTTTGGATGCGGTGTACGACGAGTGTGTTTGTTGTGCGGCGCCGAGTGTGCCGCTTGGCGGAAAGGAGTGAATATTGCGCCGTTTCCAGATGTATTTGGCGTAGTATTAAATATTAAGGCGGAAATATATCATTCGCCAGTCAATTATTATCTTCCACGCACAGCTTCAAATCTTCGGAATCTTTCAATATCGATGTCGTAAGCAACTGTTGTAAATCCTTTTCCAGTGAGGCTAGATCGATCAAGAGCGCGCGGCTAAGGGTAGCCGTCAAGGATTCGGCTTACATAATCACACCGTCGTTGCTGGGTTGGACCGCAAGCAGCCAACGAATGGTAAGTGCTGAAAGCAGGTGCAACAACAACACCGCGACACACCTGAGAAGAAGCCACCGTTCTCCTCAAAGTGTGGCAATCAATCATCCTCGAGTGCGCTCCAATAATAGCCACTACTATTGCTGAATATAATATCCGAAAAGCCACTGAATAGTGTTGCGTCCGTCGTCGTACCGCTTGTTCGGCATCACTCGTTCTTCCGTTCGTTATTGCCTCTCAGTACCAACCGTCGCCAAACAAACCCGTCCATGTCACCGATGCCACCCTTCCCACTCTTCAACACTAGAAGCTAACGACTCCTTCGTCGAACCCGACTACGTATTTGGCTGAACGGTGGCTCAGGCGCAGTTACGTTTCACTCCGGTAGCTTTGTGCTGGGACTTCGGCGTCCCTCGAACAACCTCGACCAATACTGCGACCCTCCAAGTATTATTACTTGACAACTCCCATGGCCACATAGAAGAGACACATAGATACTATCCTGAGCTTCTTGCACAGCGCCGGCATGGCGCCTTCGAATACCTGTGTCGCGAACCAACTCAGGCAATTAATACACTACCACATCGATAACAACCTTCTCAAGAACGCCCTATTCCTCGCCGAACGACTGGTTGCGTTCGACCACAGATCTTCTGAATCACAATACCTCCTGTCATTATGTCATTTCCGCCTCGGCGACACCAAGTCAGCGTACGAGTATAGCAAAGCTGGCGGCTCGAGAGGAACACACTTGGGGTGTGCATACGTTTTCGCCCAGTCTTCGCTGTCGCTGGAACGGCATAAAGATGGAATAGTAGCTCTGGAGAAGAGCCGAGGGCTATGGGGTGGAAGGAGTAGCTTCGGAAAACATAATCAATATTCACGGAACCCGTTACCTGACGCGGCGGCTGTGAACTGCCTTCTGGGCAAATTATACCACGGATATGGCGACAAGAAGAAGGCTATTAATTACCTAGAGGAGGCCCTCAAACTGAACCCGTTCATGTGGGATGCGTTTACAATTCTTTGCGATATGGGAGCAACTGTTCTGGTGCCAAATATTTTCAAGATGAGCCCAGAGATGGAGGCTGTGATCCGGAGTAGCGCACAGCAGCCGGAGAACTTGGTATCGTCGCAAACAAGCGTCAGCCAGGGACTCAGTGGCGGATTGTTCAGCGATTCGACACAATCCAAACCTTCAGCGCGGTCGGCGCCAATAGCGACAGACCTTGGAGACCCTTTTAATACTGCGCAGCCTCGAAGTTATGGGGGCGGCCTATTTGGCTTGTCACAAAAGGTCAATGAGAGCAGTATGAACATCTCCCATTTAGCTGGTGGAGGGGGACTCGGGCCAGATACGATGGAAACGCCGACTGGGCCCACCTCGCAAATGGATGTGAGCGTTGTACCGATGGGAAGAGAGCCAGGTGTTGTCTCTGCATTTTCTGTTGAACCTCCGCAAGCCCCAGTACGAAGGAGTCGCCAGCAGGTTGGTGATTACGGTATGGAGGTACCGCCAAAGATGAACCGTGGTGGGGTCCCAGTCAAAAGATCACAGAAAGTTGATGCACAAAGAGATGCTCCTCTGGAAGGGACCTTGCCGAGTTCATTACGGCCACCGGGCTTACCTTTGTTGGTCCCTGAAAGGAAACGAACCGTTTCTGGCCAAGTTGTTCAGCCACGGCAGACACAGCCGGAGGACCCTGGTGCGCCACAACGAAGAAGCGTCAGGCTTTTCAATCAAATAAGGCCTGTCAGTAGCAAGTCCACAGCCTCTGCATCCACGGGAACTGGAAACCAATCTCGAGAGTTGAAGAAAGCGAGGCCGCCAATATCGAGAATGATGAGGCCCGGGTCGAGTGCATCCACGGTTGGTCGTGTCGTCAGTGGGAACAGGAAGCCAATGGAAGAAATGGACATCGACCAAAAAGAGTACCCTCGGCGAGCACACCATGCCAACAGCGCACCAGCTGCTCCTGAGAAATCGTTGGAAAACGAGGCTGCAAGGCAAGAAGAAGCTTTAAGATGGTTACTTGAGCTATTCAGGAAGCTGGGTACCGGATACTTCGCCCTATCACGATATGAGTGCATGGAAGCGTTGCAGGTATACAGTTCACTGCCTCGCGCGCAACAGGACACACCTTGGGTCTTGACGCAGATGGGTAAGGCACATTACGAACAGGCTGCTTATGCCGACGCCGAAACCTACTACAAGAAGATACGGACGATGGCTCCCACGAGGTTTGAGGATATGGAAGTCTACTCAACCATTCTGTGGCATCTCAAGAAAGAGACAGACTTGTCGTTCCTCGCACACGAGTTGATAGATGCCGACTGGCACTCTCCGTACGCTTGGTGTGCTTTGGGCAATGCTTGGTCTTTGGCACGAGAGCACGAACAAGCTTTACGGTGCTTCAAACGCGCGACGCAGCTGAATCCAAAGTTTGCTTACGCTTTCACATTGCAAGGGCACGAACACGTCGCCAACGAGGAGTACGACAAAGCTCTGGCAGCGTATCGACATGGCATGGCAGCCGACAAGCGCCATTACAATGCCTATTACGGTGTAGGCCGTGTTTATGAAAAGCTTGGAAGCTACGACAAGTCTTTCACCCACTACACCGCCGCGTCTATCATCAACCCCACCAATGCCGTGCTGATCGGCTGCATCGGCACAGTTCTGGAGAAGCAGAAAGAGCCAAGGAGAGCCCTGGGATTCTTCACGAAAGCCACAGAGCTGGCGCCAAGAAACACGCTCATGCGGTTCAAGAAAGCGCGTGCACTGATGGCGATTGGGGAGATGCAAGTCGCACTCCAGGAATTAATGGTTCTCAAGGATATGGCGCCGGACGAGGCGATGGTTCACTTCTTGCTCGGAAGACTGTACAAGGGAATGAGGGAGAAGGGGCTTGCCGTGAGGCACTTCACCATTGCGCTGAACTTGGATCCAAAGGTATGTTTTAATTTGTCTCCCCTTGTCTCCAGAACCACCACTAACGACGCACACAGGCAAGCCAGCAGATCAAGAGCGCAATCGAGAGTCTTGAAGGCGACGATGACGACGATGAACTGTCGATGATGGCGTAGCACGCCGTTCTCTCTTGAGGACACGATGCTGAATTAATGCGAAACGAGGAATGGCGGCGGGCGTTTGTTCCACACTTTTTTTGCCGTCCACGCCCACGGCTCCCACTCCGTCACACAAGCTGAGCAGAGACGAGGGCGCCCGGGAGTTTTTTTTTTGGGGGGGTGGTCGGAGGCACTACTACTATTACGAAACGATACCTTATCATTAGCTTGCATTTGGGAGGTGCTGGCTTGCGGGATAATTGCATTGCTGTGCCCCTTGCACTTTCACATCATTACATACGAGAGAAGTGAATATTTGCGCGGGTGACGACGGCGGTGGGGTTGCATTGCGTATTCGGGCTTTGTTTTTTATTTTTCTGAACTACGATGGCTGGTTCATAGCATGGATATGGAAGTGGGGGGGGAGGGTATATGGATACGGATATGAGTGAGGCGTTAGTAGGGCGGCTGAGGGCTGGCGGCACCACTTGGGGGGGGGGTTGTATATAGGGGTGACGAGTGCGTGGACGCTACGGCTGGGGAACATGCAATAGCATTGGTGCTGACGACAGTTATTTGTCTCAAGTGCTTCATTCTGTGATTGTGATGATTTGTGATTGTGCTTTTTCTACCTATCTGATGTGCAAAAGCGTTCAAAGAGGATAACAAAAGGTCAATACAGAGCTCATCGCGGAATTAGACGGCCTCGTCACGTGGTAAATTCCATCTCCCCGCGTTGCCATAACATTGGCTGACTTTCCACGACTTGCCAAACAAACCTCTGTGCATACCAGCTATCCCATGGTGATCCTTCTGATGACTCTATCTTACAAGAACTATCATTTCCTTGACAACATCCAGATGGTGAAGTCACGTGGTACCCCTTTCCGTGTTGAATGAGAAATCCGACTCCCTTCAATTCCTTCAGAGGACAAGATTGAAAACAGTGCCTCAGTCTGTACGTCTTTTTTTCCGTGCCGGTTCTTCCTCGTGTGCAGCAAGTTCTTCCGCCCGGCGCTGGTTCAAGAAAGCCTTCGCTCGAAGAATCCCATTGTTATGATACTCAAGGCGCTTCTCCCAACGCCCGCAGCGCTTTTGCACGTCTTGAATCGCTTGGTTATACTCTTCAATGACTTCCGTGGTTGCATTGATTCTCTCTCGCTCCATCAGGCAGCCAGGTTCGCCTAGCTGTATCATCATCTCGAGCTGCTCGTTGGTCATCAGCTTCCATGCTTCAATAGCCCTTTGAGCATCGTGTGCGTCAAAATCGTATTTATCTGGGGATGGTGGTTGTGGGATGGCATTCTCGTAGTGCCTCCAGGCTGTGGGGAATCTGGTGCGGGTTTTCTCGATGTCGGGGAAGCCGGGGAACCACCATGGTGGGCGATGGTTGGCGTATCCTTCGCGGAGGGATGCCATCTGGTTTTCGGGAGACTCTGGGGCCTCTGGATATTTGCTCCTTAGATCGGCCCTGTCTGTGTAAACGTCGTCAATAAACACTGTTTAAATATATTAGAAGGAAGTCAACTTACAGTAATGCTCCCAAAACTTGCGGCGACACCAGTACGCGTGAGCAGGCCATTCATTCTCTTCATAGCTTTTGGCATTATACAGAGCTTTAAAGTATGATAGATCAAGCTTGTAGAGTTCCTTCTTTTCTTCCTCGTTGGCAGGTGCTTTTTTCTTCCGGATTTGGTTCTCCTTGAAGGGGCCCGCTGATGCGGCATCGCGGGGTTCAGCGAACTTCTGTCCATCAACTCCACCGAACGAGTTCACTCCTGGAGGCGTTGGGAAATCATCCAACGACAAGTTAGCAACCTTCTCTTCGAAGACATCTTGAGTATCCGCTCTCTTTCTCTTTCGCGTGGGTGGGGGTTGGGGCTCCATGTTTGAAGTATGGTGCAGTTGGGGTGTTTCTTGGATTGTTTGTTCCTCCATGGTTTGTTCTTCAATTGTGGCCATCATCAGTACGTATCGGAGGCGGATATACTTTTAGGAGTGCTTCGGGCGTCAAATATTATGAGAAAGGAAGGCACGACTGGATTTGCTAGGCGCTTATTGTGGTTGATGTGCGGCAACGGCAGTCGTGCTTGCCAAAAGTCTGAAGATGGGCTCAGGACTTATGCTAACAATTTAGACTCAGGGAGCTTATTTCCTTAGTTCCATTTGTCAGTAGCTAGTTTACCTATTGTAGCCTTGTATAATTGAGCACCTTTACTTAAATTATAGTTGTTGTAATTACCGTTATGTACCTATAGCCTCTTTTCGACTTACGGGGACATGGGTAGCTCATGATATATGAAACTGGCAGGGTCATTATAGTTATAAACTCTCGGCAACACAGTATAGGAGTAGAATGAAAGTAATATTCTACTTAGTTTCCTCCGCCTGTACCCAGACTGATATCTCCGCCATCATAAAACAGCCTCTGAAATGAACAGATTCGTATTCCCCTACTCGGCGACTTGCCTCCCCATGCCATTGCCTCAAAAATTGCAATGTCTCGCCACAAATCCAACCCTCGAGTCCCCTTGCCGTTGCCTTCGAAATTGTAACATCTCGCTACAAATCCAAGCCTAGAGACCCCTTGCGTTTGCCTCAGAAATCGCAACTAGCCACCACGAATCTAAATCTAGAACCTATTACTACCGCTCGCTTCCCCATTATTCTTCTCTCTCTCCTTTTTAGGGGTCTTCTCCTTGTTTTTTCCCGGGGAGAGTGATCTCAACCGTTGCCCGAGGCGGGTAAAGGTGCGGAAAAATCTGTTGTTTCGCCTCTGAACCTCGGGATTATCGAGGATTGGTTTTTGGACAAACGACACCATAACACCCCGAACTATTTTGAGCAAAAAATGTTAGTTTGATTAACAAAATGCAAGGCTAGAAAACCTACAAGCTGCCAACTTCTTAATCTCAGCAAGGACTTGTTCCATAGATCGGCCTGATTTAACAAATGCAATTGCTAAGTATTCTGTAGGTTTAGCAAAAAAGAAGCCTTGACTTGGTGCTGGGTGGCCGAAAATTGAGGCATCATGGATCGCATCGTGGATTTTCGAGAAGCGGTCCCATTGCTCATTAGGTTCTTGTTCCTGTACCCATGCCCAGGTGTCGAATAGATGGGCATCCTCCATTTGTAGTTCAAGAAAGGCCTTATATCTTGTGGCTACTCCAGTCAGTGCATTTCTGTAGCATAGCTCGTCAGATAATATTTCGAGGTGTTCGCTGTCGGTAATCTGCCCTCTAGCTATACGTCGAAACCAACTATGCTGCGGATTGGATCCTGATGCATCATTTCCAGGGAAGCTCATCAGATACTGTCTTGCTTGTTCGGCCACAATGTTCGTAAAGTTTCCTGGGAACGCCTGTCCTAAAGTCGTAGATCCATATTCCCCAACGCCTAATGAAGCCATGCTGCCTCCGACATTGGCATTCGGAGCTCGGTTTCTCATGGGGTTTGCTGTATCGATTGGAATTACTTTCAGCATCTCCCACTTCGACTTGTAATCGACCATTGGTAGGTTGGATACGCTCTCGTGGTTAGAACCCCACAGATAGTCCTGGGCAGAAAATTCAATCTTGTGGCGCCAAAACATTCGATCTACCTGGTTGCTGCCGATATCATGGATGAACTTTGCCCAGCCAACATATGAAGGCGAAGTCTCTATATCTTCTTGGCTTTCTACACCTTCCTTCGTAGCTATCTGCATTTGTATTGCAGATTGTAGAATTGTTGATGCATAAATCGAACCGGTCGCCTGACCCGATGATTCGCTCTTTGCCCAAGATTCAGACATGGTTTTAGACCCTGCTGCGGCCATTACCGTTGCATTTAGTGCTCCTTTTGACCCATCTGGAGTTCTTTTTGTCACCCATCCGCCAGAGTAACAGGAAGTCACACAGCAACATTTTTCGTATTCTGTATTGCAGAAGCCATATCCTTAACAGTTAGACGCGGTGCAGTAAGCACAGTAGATTTTCCGCCAATCGCGACACCAAAGTTTTCTGAATCCCCGTGTCCAAAAATAAGGATTAGAACATGTTCATCGTTCCAAGTTGCAGCTTTACACTCATACTCGACAGTACCAAGGAAGCGATCTAGAAGTATTTCAGGTGCCACTACTCGCATACTTCCAGGTTCCTGGATGTCAGGGAGCATATCTCTATCAAGAACAACCCGGCGCATCTCTAACGGATTACCATGCACAAACTCTCTGTATTTGTCAACGAGAGTAGCTGGGTCCACGCATGTCATCCATATTTGATTTGACCCTATTAAAAATAGTTAATACTAAGATATTCGTATAGCAAGGCATCTTAACTTACCAAGACCAGAGAAAATATGGTGAAATAAATAAAAATCAGAATGAAACCAGCCGTCATCATCTGGAGATGAGGCTTGCTTATAATCATTAACACCACAGACTGCAATAATTCTTGTCCGGGGCGTAATTGTAGGAGGGCAACGGGAACTGAACTCGACATCAGTAAGGCCTCCATACGACCCAGCTCCTCTACCCCACCCCCCAATGTCAGTAGGCTTGAGCATCTCAGCCATGATTAGAGGAGAAGATTAATTCAGAGGTAACGGACGACGCGAGTTGCAGTGTTGTAGGTTGCAGGGTTGTGGGTTGGGAGTTGTGTGTTGCAGAGTTGTGGGTTGCAGAGTTGTGGGTTGGAGAGTGGGTTGCGAGTTGTAAGTTAAGGAATAAATGAGCTTATCTCTTTGTGCTTAATTTGTAGGCTAGATTAAATTAGTAGAGTATAGTGCCTACTAAATGCACGAGAATTTACTAAAAGTAAGATAAAGTAAGATAAAGAAAGATAAAGGTCAATTTTAGCTTAAATTTACAAAAAGATGCACTTATAGCGTAGCGACCTGTATGTTATAGTGCCTAATGAATCTTTATAATGCATTCATCTTTGAACTGTCGGTTTCTTAAGGAGTCTATTTTTGAAATAAAAAATCATTAACTTAAGACTTTAAACTATTCCCATTGCTCAGTTGGCCTATTGACCCGGTTTGATGATAAAACTAGCAGTTTTTCGATATCGCTAGCGATTTGCGCCATAGACTGACCAGAATGCGATCGCTAAATATTGCGACGGTTTAGGGTAGAAGAAACCTTGGTTTCCTACTGGTAAACCAAAGAGGCGCTCCTTACGAATCATTGGTTCGATGTTCTTGTAACGTGCCCATGGTTCTTTTTCCATCATAAGGTCTTTATAGTACATTTCTACTATAAGTCTTTCTTCCCACAGTAATACATCAAACAGATGCGCATCTTCAATTAACAGACCCAAATAATTTTTCATCTCCGTTGCTAATTTTATAAATATTGCATTTGTTGCGTGCTTGAGGTTTCTCCTACGCCAACTCCTGGAGAGTAACTGAAAATCACATTTTCCGCATCAGGTCCGTTCAAACTAACCCACCTCTAAACTCCGATTTGGAAGCCGGGACAACTACCTTCGCACCAGAGAGCCTGGGCAAACTAGCATGGGACGAGATTTTTCAAGACTCTCTGCAGACATTGTGTGCGAACAAGCACGACAGTATATAAACAGCTACCCTGGCAATCACGCATTGGAATGCAATACACCATACATATGGTATATTCATATCACACTTCCGGTGACTCACTTGAACAAAATCGAACACACTAAATAGATGGTATGATAATTCAGGTCATATTCCCATTCCCAAAAGAACTAGGCCGGGGCTAATGTGAGGCTACCGAAGCTAATGTGATAAGGTTTAGGTCTAACATGCACTTGTAGGGGTAAGCTTCATTCCCCCTTGACTCTTCTCATATTTTGAGTGTAAACGCATTTTATTTAGCATTGACTAAACTAATATAGTCTAATTATGCGGTCTATATGGCAATTGATACAGTTGGTGTGAGTGTTTCTGTGTCTATAATAATACCCTTCTCAGTCCTGCTATTGGATTTATCACCACCAAACACTACATCTTCGAAACCGCAACTTGCCAGTCTCTGTTCTAATACGCAAATCCATAATGGATATCTTCTACGATATCAGCGTTTTTAATGGTCAAGGAATAAATACCTGCCGCTTCTCGCTAGAGGCAGTAAGATGCCTCCTCTTGAATGCGCCTGACGATTTTGAACTCGCTGGGATAGTCGTCAACGCTTTAAGTCATATTACCCATGAACCCATAAGCGACATGGCGGTGATAGAAATCGGCAATTTCTTCACTGTGTTGTGTGACTGGCACGATTGGCCAATGTCAGTTAATCCAGGAGTAACGCTTACTGTGAGTTTCGGGATGCCTCGATAAAAAAGAAAATACCAACAACGCAATAGTATGACCGACACGTTCAGGTTATGGCGGTTGTGCGTACGTTGACCGATTTCTTCCTGAGTCCTCTTTTGGTTCTTAACTTACGTGGCAACAGAACTGCCCATCATTCCTGGCAATGTCCCCCTCTCAAAAGGCAACCAGTATAGCTACTTCCGCGACTGTAGACACCGAAAAAGACTTAAAGACCGTTGGGAAGCGATCAAGGCTGAGTATCTAGCCCAAAATCCCCATATGGCAGATCGTGAGACCCACCCTCGACGCATATATGAAATCCGTCGGCAAATGGCCCATGATCTTGAATGTTCGTATTCCACATCCCCTCCTTTGCTATCCACAAACTAACATCTCGCAGGGGTCCACAAAGACAGATTCCACCTCTTCGAGACTCCGCCTCGCACCTCGGAAGAGTTTCACCCTGTGATTCCCCGACCCCCATGGGATATGCCATTTATGAGTAATCCTGGAATGGAATTGCCTATTTTGCCACGCTTCACCGGACGAAGGACCCTTCCAGCGTCATCAGCACCGAGGTCAGTGTCACTGTCAGAGCTGTGCCGCCTGAACCGGCCAACAGTGGGGCGTTTGCAGAACGGTGCAGACCATTTTGATTCGGCAACTGATAGCTCAGGTACTGAACCGCCGGCAAATTCGGATTTGGATAGTAATGCTGCGAGCAGGATCGGGATAGCAACCCCTACACCAATCATGCACCCCGCTACTCCTGGCTAACTAGTGAGAGTGAATGTAAGCATGACTTGGAGTTGGCATGATTGTCGAGGTTTGAAATTAAATTGTCTTGAAGGGTTGGGTTTTTATACTTGCAAGGGATTGAAGCTATGCTGTTTTGAAAAATGTCAGCGGGGTTCAAAGTGTTGTTTTCAAAGTTTCACTAGTTATGTCTTTATTTTATTTACAGTTATGGCCCCCACAGGGCATGTTGTATACGGCCCCTCACCTAGAATTTTAGGGCAGCACAAGTATTATTACTACGGCAGGATATGGGATCCTTTATTTGCGTTTGTTTGAGTTTGGCTTGCGTATCCACCTCGTTGCATCTGGGACCATGGTTTGAGTATCGTAACTCTGAAAAACAATCAACCGCGAATCACACATTTTAATTTAAAACTTCCAATTTTGAAATATCTTTTAATTTCAGTCTGTGAAGCTATTCAGCTAATATTGGCCATTTCTGCACCCCATCCCCGCGCAAACTTCCCTCTCCTTATCTCTCGTATCACGCATCTTTCTGATCGTTCACAGGCGAAGCAAACAGCGAAGTTCATATAAACGGCAGAAAACCCATATAATCCTCCTCCACACACAATATAGTGGAAATTCAAGAAATCAACCGCATCGTTCTCATTATCACGTTAAGCACGCTTCTTGCGGGTAGTCGCTGCCAACGGAAGTTTTCTTCCCACCTCCAGCTCCAGCTTATTTTCCAGCCAGTCTATTGAACTTCAGAGGAATGGCGTTGTCTTTAGACCCAAACGCAGCTAAAGATTTGAAACTTTTCTTTCCGCGGCTAAATCCTTCATCCGCCGTCGTTTCGAAATCGGAAGCCTCATTGTCGTCAGTTTCGGCTGCAGCCAGCATGGCGAGGCGGTCTGGGTTGATTCCCAGCCCGGAAACTTGGACGGCTTGAACCGAATTATTGGATGGTTTGTCGGAGTTGCTGCCCTGACGGCTTGGGCTTCGAGACCCATTCGAAGAGTCCATACAACTTGGTGGGGAGACTTCCTCAGCGACCGACGCCCACAATGGCATATTGGTCGAAATAGTGCCTGAATTAGCAACAGTTGTCGATGTTGGGCCCCAGCCTGGTGGTACAGGGGCTAGGGTTTTGTTCCACTGAGCCTCACCGTGGTCCTTGATGTTCGTAGGAGCATCCTCACTGCTGTTGAGCTTGGCTGCGGTGGCGATTTGTAGGGTACGCTTATGGCCTTGGGACTTTTCAATACTGTCTCCCCATCCGCCCGTGGTAACAACAGGCTGATATGGTGTGTCAGCGAGAGGCTCTCCCCACCCATCAGCCGCTGTAATAGCAGATTGATTTGGTGCATGAGCGACAGGCTCACCCCAAGCATCAGCAAAACCCATTGAGGCTGAGTTATCAACCGGGGCTCTAACTGGTGCGGCTTGTTCAACTGTCTTAGTGGCGAACGAATTTTCGGGAGCCACATTGGACACTTCAGTGCTCCAGTCCATGGCAGATGGTTGAATTACAGAAGTTGCAGCACTGGTTCCCCATGGGTCGGCCGTGGTATCCGCAGCGCTACGAAGAGAAGGAATAGCAGATTCAGAACTGGTGCCCCATGGGTTGGCTGCGGTATCTGCTGTTTTACCGAGGCCCTCTGTGGTCGTAGAAGACAAACCATTTGTTGAAGTGCCTGTAATGGTTCCCCAAGCATTGCCTGCGTCGTCAGAAACTGGATCGCTGCGGCCGGCAGAAGTTTTGTTCCAGGGATCGGAGTCGACCACAGCTTGAACTTTTGTGGCATTGGATACACCAGAAACTCCCCATGCATTTGAGGTCGCGTTATTCACTGAGGAGCTCAGGCTTGGGGGAAGTGGGGTTGCAAAAGGGTCTTCATTGACGGACCAATTTGCAGCAGCTGCAGCGATGGCAGTGACAATTGTCTCTGCGGCTTCAGGCTCTCCCCAGGCAGCTGCGGCAGAGTTGGACTCGACAGTGGTCTCAACAGCCGCGCCCCATGGGTCTGCAGCATTAGTAACAGCTGCCTTGGGAGAATCAGCAGCACCCGAGCCCCATTCTCCAGAGCTGGCTTCGGCGCGGGAGCTTTTATCACTCGCCTTCGGATCGTTCGCTGCTTTGGCCGGAGTATCAACTTCCATAGCATCACCCCAAGCACCGGCGGCAGCAGAAGCATCTTCATTATTTTCATTTGCCGCAGTGCCCCATCCATCCCCTGATGGCACAGCAGCAGTATCATCACCCCATCCATCGGCGACCCCGGCACCAGTAGCACCAGAAATTATGGCGCCGGCGTTACCGACGTTCAGTCGTCTCTCCTGGTCTTCGCGCCTCTTAACCTGTTCGGCTGCCTTTCGGCCGTTATCCCATTCGGCTTTGGTTCCAAGGAATTTGAGACCACGGATCCAGATTCTATGGGTAGACCTCGTCAGTCTCGCCGTGGGCTGCCTGTCGATGACGGCAATGGCACCCTTCCTATCACGAAGGAAGAAGTGAAGCAACTTCTCCACCTCCTCGACAGGGATATCATGGGTGTAGTCGGATTTGTGAAGGGCTCGGTTCAAAGCAGTGGCCACATCCACGTATTTGAATTTGTCTGGATTGCTCACTTCTTTGGCTCTGCGAGAGTTGCGGCCCTTTTGACGTGGAGCGGTGGAGTCGGAGAGCTTGGAGAATTCGTCTTTTTCCAAGCCGGTCCTGTGGACGTTGCGGATGATCAGGTTCATGAGGACGGTTGCTTCGAAGTCTGTCCATTTGCGGCGGGGGCGCTCGTCTTTGGCTGGCTGGTCATCGGGTTGAGATGCCATGATGGGCTGGCGTGTTGTTTATACCAGGGGAGGATGTCCGGTGATGTGAATAGAAGGAATTTGTATTGCCGGAACTGGAAGGGTTTAACCTCAGACCCGGCTTCGGGCTTCCGATAACTTGTCTGATCAGCTTCCTTGGAAGGAAGTGTTTGTTTTGAAGGAGGTGTTGAACGTACTACAAGTTCCTCGTTGTGGCGACGTAACCCGTGTGAAGAAGGGAAGGCACACAAAATGAGATCAAAAGAATTACACAAGGTTGGTAAGTATCTTGAAAACTCAAAATGAAACCAGAGTCACCTTATGGAGCCCATTGTGGTGGGCTCAATGGGCGTAGTAAGGTGTTATTGTTGACGGCAGCAGGCTGCTTTGATAATTGGGTTGTTTTGGAAAGGAGAAAAACATCTAAGCGCTTCCAGCCTCTCTGTGATCTTCCACGGCAGAATCCACGGCAGAATCCATGGCAACAATATATTAGCAAAATTACTTGCTAGTTACTTTTTGATATGGCCCCTGTAAGACCTTTCTTGTCTTTCTTGTCTTTCTTGTCTTCGGTTCCAGAACAAGGTCGTTCAAGACGCAACGAAATAAGACAGATCCCAATATTAGAATAAAACCTGACAAAGATTGCTTTGATTTTTAAAATATACCAAGACTTTATTATAGTAAATGTAAAGCCTATATGGTATCTATAAACTCTAAATTTGCCTGTTGTTTCAATATCGTAAGCCATATAGAACAACATTTATTAGGTGCTGTAACATTCCAGTTTATTATCAACGCTCGATCCTGCTTTAATCCTTTTGAACAATCACCCACAAATCACCATCAAACAAACTGGCTCTGCCATCGCTATCATCTTCAAGGGTATCTTTAATATGCCGATCGATCTTTCTCATGGCTTCTTCAACTCTTTTATCTTTCAAAGCAGCCATCGTAGCAGCTCGTATCCTGTCTTTGCGAACTGAGTTCTATCAGTATCTTTTTCTCAACTTCTTGGGATGCAACTACTCACAATTTAATATCACCTCAAGATCCCTTTCAAACTCGCGCGAGGTACCTCCCCTCTCCATCATCACCATGGCAAGATACTCCCACGGCTTTGGGAACACCTTTCCCTGCTTCTCCAAAATAGTGGCCGGAAACACAAACCTCGACGCGAGTATCCGAACAACCTTCTCGAGCCGATCCACCTGCTCACGCGGCTGTTCTCTTTTCCATTTCTCCATATCGAAGCCGCTGCAACTACGCCCTTGTTCTTGTAGATCCAGACAAGAGACATAGCGATCGGCCAGCTCCATGAGGTGAAAGCGGTACTCGAGATGTGCGGTCACCCTACGGAGTCGGGAGAGACAGACATCTGGGTTATCCTCTACTTTATGGATCAAAGTACTGAGCAGTGCCTCTGAGTGATCATCTGCCAAGCCTGGCAGAGAGCGTCGGTATGCGTCTATAAGTGGCAATAATTTTCGACGGGTTGACACAGTGTAGTCTGTAGTTTGTTGAGACTGAGAAGACCCCGCTAGGTTTTCCAGCCTGTTGAGCAGTTCCGCAGGAAGTTCGCCGCTGACAGGATTGGTGGGCAGAGCGAGAAGAGAAGACGAAGACACCGAGGGCAGTTCACCTGGAGAGAGGCTGCGGAGGGAGTACCAGGCTTCTTCCAACTTGTACAGCGGCTTGCTCCGACGTCTGCGAAAGTCTATTTCCCATGCGTCGGTGTCGGGGTCGAAATCTACCCCCCCGCATTTGACGCGCCCGCCGATGAGTGAATCATACACAGCATTAATCAACTCTGGTACGAGTCTCTCTTCCATTCTCTTGTCGCTGGGATCTCTAGGGGTCATGAGCTCCTTGAAGGCTGGAGAGTTCAGGACTTCGATCATCCACACACTCCCACATGTTTTACCTCGACCGTCACAGTTCAGTGGGCGATTCATAAGAAGTCGGGAAGGTACGACCAGCCAGCCTCCTTCCCTACCAGTGAATGGATTCGGCGTCACTAGCCCGGCGTTGACGGCACCCATGGTCCAAAGGCGAAATTGCTCCGAATTGAACGTGCGGTTGTGAAGATGGATCCCTCCGTCTTTCATGGATCCGTGTCCGATCACTATTAATAAAATAGGTTCTCGGTATTCCATCCCATCCTGCACCTCGATGTCTAGCGTGTCTTTGAGCTCATCGCGAAGGGATTTTGGGTTAACAACCTTCACATCGTTCATGTATCCACGTTGGATCATAGTCCTGTCGAGAACAATTCTACGAGTTCCCTTTATATCCGCTGCGTCTATGTCAGTTTATATTCCCTATTTCATGATTATGCAGATAGAAGATTCTTACGATATGTGAGTTGACTGTAGTTATCAACTATACAGTCAGGAGAGACAGATGTTATCCACTTCTGCTGGACGCCCTGCTCCCTCAATAGTTGATGCAAGAGATAGAACTGTGCATGATACCAGCCGTCTTTTGATGGATCTGACGGTACAGCTCCATTTTCGTCACGTACAGAAGATATACCACAGATTCCCACGACACGAGTGCCGGGAGCGACATCTGGAGGACTAAGGATAGGGAACTCGTATGACGTCGAGAAGGTCGTCGGAGTAAAAGGCATGATGCTTCTCTGGCCAGTTCCGTTCTTTAAAAATCAAAGTATATTGTTTTCAAAAACTGTAGTTAGTAGCACTATATGAGAACTGGTTTGGATGATGGGTGACAGGGGAAGGATGGAATACGCATTCTGGGGGGTTGTAAAGGATGTAGGTGCCTGCCACTGTGACAGGCTATGATTCCCGTGCCTGTCTGATTCAAACCCTGGGTTTACACGCCATGAGTGTTACTATACTAAAGTCATACGTTAAATCAGAGTAGGCCACGTTTGCATCGCAAGGTTTTCGACGGCGCCCGCTGTCATAGGGAGAGTGAACCATAACCCCACAACCTTGGTACGGAATCAGGCACCACAACATCCCATATAAACGATATTCAAAAGGTCAAAAGTGCAAAAGACTCATCAAATCTCATTTTGAGATCTGACGAGGAGAAAATCACTTGATTTTACTTTGTGGTGTTGGATTAAGAATATTTTTTTATTTGTTGTTGTCGTTGAGGGAGTCGAATTGGTGACCTTTTCTATTCATTCCTTGCCCTGGCCAGATTGTCCAGACGGTGGTTCTTCCACCGCGCCACTGTGCCGCTTGATTTAAAGATGGCTAAAGTTGGCTTATAAGGCTTGGGTGGGTTGAGTTTGGTGGGGGGGTTGTGGATGGCTGCTGTTTTGGCTGGTTCCCCATTCCTCTGGCTTGCTTTATTGAACAATGACAACTACTCGCGCCGCTAAAGAGTCTGAAGGGGGTCCATGGATAGCTAAAAATAAATAGCAGCTACTTATTATTACGAAATGTACTCTTTAACTGTGTTTCTAGCTCCTTAAAAACGTCATAATATATGAGGATGATATGATAATTATAGTTTTGACTAACTAAGCTCCTTTATTTCAGTTGCCGTTTTATTTAAACACTGGCTGTTTTAGAGCCTTTACAACCAAAATATTGCCCTCCGCTATGAAGCATCTTTATTTTGGTTATAGTTGCTGTTAACAGTGACTACTATACAAGGTGTCTCTTCATATTTTTGGCCGCACCAGTGGTCAGAATATAAATCATACAAAATAATAATACAATATTTCTAATAACGCCCTGGGTCTTGTCTGCCAGTACCGTTCGCTTTACTGCCAAAACGCTCTCTTATCTATCAATGTAGTCCAATACTTATTTCTACGAGTGCCAATACCAAATAAGTTCCAACGTATAATTCCAACCAAGCAAATCCCAATATACCCAAGCGTCTATTTCTAGTCTAATCCCAGATTATAAACCGTTCAACTCTTCCAGTATCCCTTGGAATAATGGCCTGTCCTTCACCACAGGCCTCGTGCACCGGTAATGGAGCTCGTTCAGTTCCTCTTCTATGAATGCTTCTTTCTCGCCGAAGACCTCGGGATCGAGCAGGCTTAGCATGTCTTCTATGAGATGGCCAAATGCATATACCTCAAGCTTCTCAATAGCTTCAGAGTGCACATGTGTTTTGCTGTACACCGTAGCAGCACCGAAATCTCCAAGGAGCGCGTGTCCAGCTTCGTCAATAAGGATGTTATGCGCATACAAGTCGCCGTGTGTGATTCCACTCTTGTGCAGATGTGCAGCTGCGGAGGCAATTGACACCAGGATGTTCTTGCACTTCTGAATCGTGAAATACTTCCCAGGTGTGAAGTTATCGCGTGTGCATGTTTGGAGTGAAGGAGGCAAGCCCAAGTTCTCGAAGTGGGGAGGGATGAGCTCAAGCACCAGCCCTCGCTGCTCATTAGGATGGCCGTGGACTTTCCCGATAGTGCTGATAAGATTCGAGTGCGTGCCAGCCGCAATGCAGGCTGCCATCTCATCTATTGGCGACCCGTCAGATGTGACCTCGCCCTTGAAAAGCTTGACAGCCACCTGCTTCGCTTTGCTGTCGGCGCTTGTGGTCCAAAGGCCGCGTGAAATGACGCCAGAAGCGCCTTCGCCAAGGAGTTCTTTGACCTGCAGTTCTTCCCAAGCAACCAAGCTGAGCACGGGGTTGTCGATAACAGTCTCCGTCTGGAGGCAAGGGTTGCCAGCAAACGCCATGAACGACAACTCTGGCATTGTAAAGAGCCATGTTGGTAGCCCTTCAAGTTTGTTTGCTGACAAACGTAGTAAGCCAAGTTTCTTACAATTGGCCATCTCCTCGGGCAAGCTTTTCAGTTGGTTTCCTGCCAACATGCACTTCTGGAGACGGTGGCATTGCCCGATACTGCGAGGTAGCTCTTCGATGAGGTTATTCGTCAGAATCAACCATCTCAGATTCGGAGGAAGCGAGCCCTCAGGAATCGTCTTCATGCCATTGCCCTTAAAAGCGACCATCTCGAGCGAACGACATTCCGCCAGCTGCTTTGGGAAAGCGGTGAAGCTGCAGTCTGAGAAGAAGGCGATCTTGAGATTGTGGAGGCGGCCGAAATCAGATGGAAGTTCTGAAAGGGAAGAATTGCCAGAGAGATCCAAGATTTCCAGCGATCGGGAGAGCTTGAAGATTTCTCGGGGGAACGTGACAATTCCAGACGGGATCTTGAGGCGCTTGGTGCCGCGATACTCTCCAGAACGGAGGCCTTCAAGAGATTGCATGGTATTTTTACACCTCACCAAGGGATCTATTCAGATGTAAGTTTGTATCCGACTTGACCTTGGACTGGTGCTTACCATGAGACCGTCACTTCAAAATATCTCACAATTTCTCGTGACACAGCAGTTCAGAAGTGCCAAAAATAGCTAGAGTACTCTATCCTTGGGTGGCACGAGATAAGACGGCCTGGAAAATATTTACTCCGAATCAGGGATGGCATGATTTCTAATGTGGGATATTCAGCCCCTAGGATTTCCAGATTCCGATCCTCCCCAAAGCCGCCTTAGTCGGCACCACGGCACGGTACATAAACAATTCCTAAAATAATGTCTAAGATACAGGTTCAATATTCAATCACTTATAACATAAACCCCTCTCTAAATTTCTAATAATAAATTTACGTACGTTGGAAAGGCCTGCACGGCTCATGCATGAATATCTGGTACCAGCAAAACTTAACACGTTCGGCAAGGGTGCAACATTAATCCGAACAACGTTCCCCGTATCCTTACCCAGACCCTCATTCGGAAGTCTACCTACCAACCCATCGAGCTCATATTGCGCCCAAAGTCGGGGATGCTACTTCTTGCTTTACCTCTCAGTTGTGGATGTTAAAGATAGTAGAGGCATCTGGCCTCTCAATACCCCCTCCCCGTTCCTAATTTGGCAGCCCGATGTCTTGGGATTTGCTGAAGCGGTTCATCGAGAGCGATGTCTTTAACCAAAACCCCTTCCTCTCCGTAGCATATCTTTCGTAAGTGCCCCGCAATTACCTTTCAGTGATAGCAGCTCTGATCGATTTTCCCCAACCAGACGATACGCGGATCATGTCGGAATTACCTACGTCCTGTGCTCGAAGTTGCGCCAGTTCAGTTATGAGGAGATTGAGTTCTTCTTACCACAACTATGCCACCTAATAATAAGTCTGGACAATGAGTCGATGGCATTGGAGGAGTTTATTTTGGATCTATGCGAAGAATCCGTGAATGGCGCGTTGCTTGCAAGTCAACCCCCCGATCGTTACCCCTCAATACACGCGACTGACTGGAAGTAGACTTTCTGGCTCTTCCAAACTTACCTTTACGATTTATCGAGCAACCCTCAATCGACGGCTTTCAAGACATGTAGGAGGATATACAACAAAGTCCAGCGTATCGTCTTCGGCGTGACGGACACAGCGCGGGTGGAGAAAATTAAGGAGAACACGTTGCCCGTCACGGTTCTGGCAAGTTTTGTACTGGCCAGTATAGGGATGCCTGGGCTTCCCAGGTGGGCTGGGCCACTGGCAATATCACAGGCGCGAAAGCCGCAAGAAAGTGAAGCAACTGTATCGGATTCAAGCCAGACGCAAAAATTAGCAAGGAGCCATACGGTAGCAGGGAGTGGAAGCCGGCAAAGGAGGCCGAGGGATTCCCTAAGAGCAGCTAGCGCCACTGACATGAGGGTGGGAGGAGAATCGGACGGCAAAACCCCTCTAGGGGCGTCGTTGGAGGTCAGGCCGCCATCGTCACAGTCAACCCGCAAATCCGCTCTAGATGGAAGCACGAAACGGCCATCACATTTTGCATTACAACCCCCAGATGCGCAATCTAGCACGATCTCTTTGCCATTACCAGAGCCAAGCTCACCGAAATCTGTGGCCCGCCCTCTCACGCCGCTCGCTGCCCGATCTGGCCCACGGCCAGATGTACCACACAGGCGGCATACCCACCAGGTTAGGCCGTTATCCCCTTCGGTTCTCAATACCCGCCAGAAAGGGAAGCTTCTTCGGCAAAATTACTTCAGGAGTGAGATTCAATTTTTGACTGCCTTGGAAAACATCTCAAATCGACTTATAATGGTACCGAAGGCGGCCCGACTAAGCGCTTTACGTGCAGAGCTCGTTATGATCGCTCAAGATCTGCCAGCAGAGGTTGATATCCCGGTGATATGCCCCGCGACTCTCGTTGATGGGGTTCCAAGCAAAAGCAAGCATCACAGAATCGTTCGACTGAACCCTACTGAATGCACTGTTTTGAACAGTGCCGAAAAGGTTCCATATCTCCTAATGGTAGAGGTCTTACGGGATGATTTCACATTTGAACCTGAAGCGTCAGAAAACGATGCGTTGCTGAAGAAGCTCCTTGCCGAGCAGGGCACAAGTAGAAGGCGGATATTTGACCTTCAAGATGCACCACGACTACCCACTGTTGAGGCCCAGCAGCCTAGGTCAGTACCTGACAGTGTTTTTGAGCCCGCTCAGGGTGACCTTGGAACATCTCCTGCAATACAAGGGGAGGATGAAGGGCACATTCCAGCGGTGCCAGACCTCATTAGAAGCACCTCTGTATCCAGTCCCTCCACGGCCACACAATCCACTGTCCAATCAATAACCTCATCTCATCCAACACCACGGACGTCTGGAACCTCCAACTCTGGATCAAGCAGCCCGGGTCAACCCCGAAAGTCGACCCTACCTCTTCACAGCCGATCAAGCGGTTCGGACCAACCCAACTACCCGGCATTAGCGACTCATATCCGAACTGCGGCCCAAATGCTGACACAACTGGAATCCGCGAGTGGAAAACGGCCGCGGAGCGAAGTCGACGCAATCCGCGCAAAGATTATCGCAAGTATGCAAAGCTTGGAGGAGCAAAGTTTTGGCACTCACGATACACCCACTTTCGATACGATAATGGCCAACGCAAATGCAGCCCCAGTGAACAACGATGATGAAGACGTTGAAGGTCTAGCACTGGGATTGGTCACCACTGGAGCTGGCGCTGCCCGAATGGAGAACGATGAGAAAACTGGAGGTGTGCAAAGAAAGGGAGATCGGGACGATCCAAGTGCAGCCATGTTTGGTGAGGCTTGGTCGGAGAAAAAGGAACGCATCAGAAAGTCTTCGCCATATGGTTGGATGTCGAATTGGGATCTCATCAGTGTCATCGTGAAGACGGGAGATGATCTGAGGCAAGAAGCGTTTGCTTGCCAGCTGATTCAAGTTTGTGATAAAATATGGCAGGATGCTGGCACTCCTGTGTGGGTCAAGCGGATGCGTATTCTGGTGACGGGTGAATCGTCAGGCTTGATAGAAACGATTACCAATGGTATCTCCTTGCACTCAATCAAGCGCAGTTTGACACTGGCAACTATTGAAGCCGGAAACAACCCACGAGGCAGAATAGCCACACTTCGTGACCATTTTCTGAAGGCGTTTGGAGACCCAGAGGGAGAGCAGTACAAGGCAGCCGTCACGGAATTCAAGCGGTCACTTGCGGCATACAGTATCATCTCGTATGTCCTGCAACTTAAGGATCGGCACAACGGCAATGTGCTCATCGACAACGAGGGGCACATTGTTCACATCGACTTTGGATTTATGTTGTCTAATTCCCCTGGGTCGGTCGGCTTCGAAGCTGCTCCATTTAAGCTCACACAAGATTATGTGGATGTCTTGGGTGGAGTAAACTCTGCAGAATTCCAGGATTATAAGGTGTTATGCAAGCAGGCTTTCCAAGGTATGATTACTCCAGTGATTTGAAGGTTTATTGCTAATCATACGCAGCTCTACGACGCTCTGCGGATAGCATCATCGACCTTGTCAGCCTAATGGGCCACGGATCCAAGATGCCATGTTTCCAATATGGCGTACTACAAGCCACGAATATGCTACGCCAAAGGTTCCAGCTACAGTTGAGTGCTGATGAGGCAGAGAAGTTTGTTGAGACAGACTTGATTGCCAAATCGCTGGGAAGTTATTATACACGATTGTACGACCACACTCTCCACTTCCACATCCAATATACTGACCTTTGACAATAGATACGACACATACCAATACCGGACACAAGGTATATACTAGAGGCAGTTGTCACAAGTTGCACCTGCCTGAATCATAGCGCAGCGAAAATGATATCGAGTCACGGCATCTGGGCGTGGGCGTTTGTTTGAACATTACGGGATGCATCATGTCCAGAAACAGATCTGAGAGCATTAGTGAGAACTGGTTTTTGATTTGGCGGGTGATGCCGCTGGGGATATATAGAAAACGACCTTTTGAATTATTGTATATAGGAAAAAGCTGGCTCGGCCCACAGTATGAAGTGGTATTGAAGATCTTTGTTCTTGACGTTCAGTCTTGCTGATGGATGCTATGGAGATAAATGTGACTATCTCGGCTTATGTGACGTGTGTTTGTATAATGGATTGTGTTTACAAAGGGAACTCGGGTGGGGGCGGAGTTGAGGCCGCAGAACTCAACGGCGGCGGACAAAGGCATCCACAACAAGGCCGGGCTACAGAAAACCATATGTATCAGTGCCGCCTCGGTAATTGTAACTTCAAATTAAAGCCACAGCGTATAATGCCATCAAACTCGTAGATTCAGCTCTAGGCCGCTGGAAAGCGGAAACGGTATATCGAGAACACTCCTGATATCTGAGATACCGACGGGTGGGATGTGCAGCAGGAAGTCTCACAAGAACGGAAAGATTATTGATTTCCATAAAAGTGTATTACACCGACGGCGCATAATGCTGCCAGCTCATCGACATAATTGTAGTCCACTAGAAAGCGGAAACAGAATACCCCGCTTGGCCCGCTCATACCAGAGGCGCTGACAGTTGAGAATGGTAGCGGAAGCTCTCACAAACGCTTAGAAGGGGGTCAATCACTGAGAGGGCTAGGGGGGCGAGCTACCCTAGCCCGTACAAATATCCCACGTTTTGCCGCCATTCGGTGCTCTCAGCGGCCGCTCACGTGGATGACCACCGGGAGAAAGGGGTTTGTGTCGGATATAACTTCAAGCTCGGCGGGAGGCGGCTTCGGCGTCGGCGAGAGTAAATCAATAAATATATCTCTAAAACTGTAATGATAATGATTAGTATCCTCTTGAAGCCATGCATTAGTGATAGTAAAGTTCGGTCCCCCTCTGCTTTCCCATTCCCCGTAGCAACCCAGGCAACCTGCGCGTGGGTAGTTTCCTGCCGCCCACAAACCACCCCGATCTTCCTCCTTTTTCTCTCTTTCCACCCACAAACAGACAAAAGCAAGAACAACCACAGCGCCCACCAAACCAAACCAACCAAAGCAACACTAGCAATACCATCACCATTTCTCAGTAAGTCTTCTCAATCATATCAATCTCGGGTCTTTACTTACCTCCTTTCTCCTTCCAGCTCCGAAGGAAAAGAGCATTCGTGCCGTGCGTCCCTCGAACCAAGGGATCATTTGCCAGGAGAAGATCCCGGGTGAGTTCCACCGATACAAGCCGAAGAAGGCTCTTGACTGACTGATTCTGTAGATCCAAGATCCGTCCAGTTGACCAAAGAGGTCAGCTCAGTCATTCAACGACATTGTAAGTTCGCCCTCCTGCCTCATCTCCTCCTTGATAGCCTCTCTAGCCTCTCAACTCCCCGCATCCGCTTCCAAGGACCGAGAGAGCACAGCGCGGCTCTCTGCTTCCTTGATGATTCACTTCTCATTCTTCATATTTGAATCCTTGCTGACTACAATCAGATCCGAAGACATCTGTGACAGCACAATGTCTTCCAAGGACAACACCAGCCCCACCCTCACCCCCAGCCATCGTCGCGTCAAGTCGCACGATGTGCGATCCACCACGGCTGTCGAATGCCCTCGTCCAAGCTTCCCAGGATCCGTCCCTTCCAATCCCCGCGTGTTTGGTCTCGGCCTTGGTTTCGGGTCGGCCTCTGAGCTCGGTGCAATGGCACCATCTCAAGCCGCTCCGGATACCTCGGACCCAAGAACCGGGGATCCTGGTGAGGGCGTTATACCAGCGTCGCCCTCTGGCTGGTTGAAGGCGTTAAACCCTCCTCCAACCATGGCGACCGGCGCACCTTTGCCCCCTATTCAAAAGGGGGTCACCAGAGAGGATCCCGCGAGCTTGGAAGCCGCCGCTGTCCCGCCCCACCCACCAGTTCCCAAGGTGGCCACTCAGGGCCCAGGCAGCGCGGCTGTCCGCTCTCAGGACGCGGTTGCGTCCTCGTCGTCAGCCTTCCTCCGAGGCCCGACCCGCACCGCCGTTCGTGAAGAACAGGACCGAGTGGACCCCTCGACGCGCCCTCGTCCACAACTGCTCCCCGGCTTCGTGAGCCCTCGTCGCCGTCGCGACGCCACCATCCGGACTGGCACCCAAGCCGGCCCCAGCAGCAATGCTGGGCGCCGCCCAGTCACACCTGTTCATCAGGTGATCCCCACCTACGATCAGCGTAGGGAGATGGAGGATGCGTGGCTCCGGCGCGAGGAGCTGCACCGTCGGGAGTGGGAGAGGCAGCAGAGACAGAGGTCGGAGCAGCTCGGCGCCGCGCACTTTCCCGCCGGTGCCGCCCGTCGGCAGCCCTTTGTGGTTGCTGGACCAAGAGCTCCGATCGCTCCTGCCGTCGCCGCCGTCGCAGGTCCTGCCTTCCTTGGCAGACCGCGCGGCAACTCCCAGGCTTCGGCCGTTGAGCAGGCCTCTGCTTTTGGGAATGTGGTGCCTGGCCCCTCGCACCGCGCCCGGTTCGTCAGCGTTCCAGCTGGCGGGTACGGCGCCGTGGACGACCACCAGGCCCACATTCGCAGTCCGAGAGCCGCCGTCGCCTCGTACGCCGATTCCCCCGGTCATGGACCGTTTCTTGGGGCATCCCGCGTGGAGAGCCAGGGTGCTCTGACGGAGCACCCGAGCCCCAGCACCCCCGAGGGCATGACGCGGGAGATGTACGAGATGATGTGCGCGTTCAGTGAGGACGTGCGCCAAGAGCACGAGGAGGATGTGGAGGAGGATGACGAGGGAGCTGCTGCCGCCGACGCCGCCGCTGCGAGCTTCAGAATGCCGATGCCGGGCATCAACCAGCACGGCCATCTCGAGCTGCCCCGTGGTCTGACCCGGGGAGAGTTCGAGGCCGAGCAAAGCCAGCTTCTGGCTGATGCCGCGGCGTTTTCTGAGCTCGTGAGCGCGGAAGAGGAGGAGGTCGCCGGTGCCGCGAGCGAGGCCGAGGACCGTCGTCGGGATGCCGTTAGGCACCGACAACCTCGAGTCTCGTCGCCGGGCGCCGCCTCCGCGTCCACGTACTACGGTACGGGGACCCTCGACGCCGAGACGTGGCAGCAAGCCGAAGATGAACTGTGGGATGTGCTGAATCGGCGCAGAGTCCCTAGCTACGATGAGAGGGGCGCGCTCGTGTTCCCAATCAGTCCGACAGCGGCTGAGGTCGCACGCGAGCGCGCCGCCATCTTCAAGCGAGCTAGGCGGCAAGCCGAGGAGACAAAAGGAGCGTCGCAGGGTGCTGGATGGGGGGGTGAAGGTCCGATGGACCGGAACCCGCAGATCCCATTCGGTATCCCTGAGGATCTATACGATCAGGCCTGCGCTTTTAGCGAGCAGGTGCGTCAGGAGGAGGCGGAGCGCGAGCGTGCGGAGGGCCAGCCTGGTCCTTCGCACCCAAGCCCGCTGCCTGCCCCTCTCGCCTGCCCAGGCCTGATCCAGTGGGGTGTGACGGAGGAAGGCCTGATTGAGGCCTGGAGGACACACGTGGCTCAGAAGCCAGCTGAGTCACACGGTCCCCCAGCCCCATCAGGTCTTGAGCAGCACGGTGCTCAACCCCCCGTCCACCACCGCGATCCGTTCGACGAGCGCGACGTGGCGGCGTTTTCTCGGAGCACGGCAGCAGCAGCGCGATCCGCTTTCAAGGGTCGCAGCGCGCGCAGCTCAGCGAGGAACGCCACGCGCGGCTCCTATCATCCCGCGGAGATCTCGACGGGGAGTCCTCGCCCGAGAGGACGTGGTGTTGTCGTTGGTGAGTACGTTGCTCCTCCCGAGCAAACCCCCCTTCCGGCCCGTAGGAGGGCCATGCGGACACCGTCGCCGTCGGTGTACAGTAGGACCTCCGGCTTTGGCACTGTCCAGGCCGCGGTCCAGAGACCTGTCATCGGCGGGGTGTCTGGTTCCGATCGGGGCGATGTCTTCGGGTCGCCGACAGCGATGTTGGCACCCGTCTTCTCCGGCATCCAGAGGAGGAACCTAGCTTCGTTTAGCGAGCAGGTGAACTCTGGCTCTGACCGGGGAGACGAAGCGTCGTCGCGAGAGGGACAGGAGGAAGGGGGGGTTAGGGGTAAGATGGTGGTTCGGAACGGGTCGGCCGCGCGCGCGTCCTCGTCGTCTCTGAGCGATGGAGGGAGTCATGGGCCCAGATGGGTGTATGAGAGCCCCTCCATCGGCAAGATGGACTCCGGTCCCACCAGAGACAAGGGCAAGCGCAAGGCGACCGCTTCGGAGGTGGCCGCGCAGGTCGCCGAAGAGAAGCTGCTCCTGGGCACTTCTGCTTCGCCTGCTGCATCCGAGAGGGAGAGGGAGGGAGAGGGTGAGGGAGTCATCAGGCCCCCCAGCCCAGCCGTGTCGCTTTCCGAGACCCTGCTAAACGATAGCGGGTCACGGGACGACTTGGCCGCCCCCCCCTTTTTCCCTCCCCCACCACCACCATCGTCAGCCGCAGCGCCGACCGCGGTCCCGCTCCTCGCTAGCGCGCACCGAACCCTCGATCTCGACGAGGGCTTCGAGTACGACGCCGGCATCGAGCCCGCCAAGTCGACGCGGAGGAAGAAGGTCACGGGCGGACTACGCGGACTGGCCAGGGGCCTCAAGGACGCGCTCAAGTCTTCCTCGCGGAAGGCGACAGCAGCAGCGCGTCCTCCCCCCGAGCAAGCCGCCGCAGTCGCGACCCCAAGGCCGGAGATCGTGGATGGAGAGGCGAACCAGAGCACGGCGACTGGTCTGAGCGTCGGTGGGCGACCGAGGCTGTTTGCGTCCTTCGCGGGACGCTTCACGCCGAGGCCTGGCAGTTCGGCCAGCGCCCACCGAGCGCCGTTCGTGAAGGTCGGCGGAACTGGCTCTTTGGGGTCACGACGCTGGCCTGCGCGCAGATCGTCGCTCGCGCGCGCCTTTTCGATTCCCAATCTTCGGTCTCCTTCCCTCACGGCCGACACCCTTAACAAGCCGCTTCCCCAGACCCCGTTGTTCGTCGTGAGAGAGACGACCTCTGTCGACGAGGCGTCCTCTCCGGATATCGGAGCGTCTGTGGAGTCCGTTGGGCTCCGTCCCTCCACCGCCACGGAGGGGCAATCTCTCAGAAGGGGCCGCAATGTTTCGTTTGCGGACCAACCCCCCAGCACCACCAGATGGCTTCGGTCATCCGGTAGTGCTCCCGAGATTGTCCCCCGCGGCGAGGAGCAAGAGGTGGAGCCCTCTCCCGTCCGCGCCCAGCAGCAGCAGCAGCAGCGCGTTCTCGAGCTCGAAGCAGCTTTACAGCTTGCCGAGAGCAACGCCGCAGCAGCTGAGGCGCGCGCATCAGCCGCAGAAGCTCAACTCGCTCGCGCCCACGCCGAGCTGGACGTCTACGTCGCGGAAGCGACGGTGCACCAGCGCGCGCTCACGGCAGCGCGAGTCGAGTTCCAACTGCAGCTCGACCTTGCGAGGCGGGAGACGGAGCGGCACGCAGCGGAGACGGGGCGTCAGCACGCCCACCACTTGGATTACCTTCGCGTTCTCGCCGAGGGCCATTTGGCGGAGCGTCAGGGTCTGGAGAGTCAAATCGCCATGCTGTATTCGGCAGTGGGCGGACTCCAGACTCAGTTGCTGTACGCCGGCGCCGGTCCGCTGCAGCAGCAGGGAGGAGCGAGAGGTGCTCGCCAGTCGTTGCAATTTCCGGCCGCACCAGCGGCCCAGCAGGAGGAGGGGGCTGCTGCAAATGAACCCCCCCAGCAACAACCACCCAGCGCCGAGTTCGTATACCTCGGACCCCGTCATCGATTCGGCAGTCGTCTGTCCGAACCGGGACTCTTCCAGATCCTTCCTCACCCGATCCCACTCCCGCCCCAACAGCCGCCGTTTGCGCCATCAGAGTCGGTGCGTCTCGCGAATCGTGCGGGGCGCCTGGCTGCTGAGCGCGGTGGCCCCGAGTATCGCCAACGCATCCGGCGGAGACAGGATCCTGACTCAGACTAGGTCCAGTTGGGGTCTTTGCTTCGCCCCTTTTTTCAAAGGATGCACTCGGGGGGTTGAGTGAGTAGCCAACGTGGCTGAGAACAGTTTCCAAGTTCTCGGCTTTGTTTCGCATGGCTGCTCGGTGTGAGGAGGATACGCAGCCAACGTGGCTTAGAGAATCTCGCCCACCGGGCAGTCTCCTCGCTTTGTTTCGCCTGGCTGCTGTGCGAGTCCCTGGTGCGACCAACGTGGTCCTGGAGCCTCTTTCCTCCGCTCCTCGACTTTGTTTCGCCTGGTCGCCTTTGACGGGGACAGCCAACGTGGCAGGAGAATCGCGCCTTTAGGCGCTCTCCTCGCTTTGTTTCGCATGGCTGTCTCGGCGCTGGTAGGAGAAGAAGAGCCAACGTGGTCGGAGACTGACTTTTTGAGGTCTTTGACTTTGTTTCGCATGGCTTCTTCTCTCTTCTTCTGGGTTGCTGTCTCGATACCTCTTCTCTTGTCTCGGGGTGTGCATGTCCAGCTTTGTGTTTTTCTGTTCCCCAGCTCTGTGTGTTTCTTGCGGCTTGTGCGCCTCTGCCTCTGCCTTCTTGTGCTTCTTGTTTCCGGCTCTGTTTGCTCCTAATAGTCAGCTTATGTGCTGACACAAGAGTCCCGTCGCCCACCGGGCCTGTTTGCGCGTGTGCGGCGTTTTGGCGCCTGGCTTCTTGTATGTAGAATATTAGAAGCTTTTTACTCCCTGCTGATGCTTTTGCTTGCTGTGCTTGTGTGTTTTGGTGCTGGTGTACTGACAATAGGGGGTTCGATGCTTGGTGGCGAAGGTGTGGTGCGATGGATGTTAGTATCTGAAATGCTGGATTCGAGGAGCTGGATTCAACGACTCACCACTGATGGAAGTATCTCACCTCCCCCTCATCCTTCCCTTTACTAACACTCACTCAAACAGCAAATCCCTCCCCCATCATGAGTCGATCCTTGTCGACTCCATTGCCGCCAACGAGGAAGGAAAAGGGGTGAGGAGGGGTCAAAGGCGCCCCGTTAGGGCGAGGGCATCGACGACTCAGCAAAACTCGCTGAGTCGTCGACACCTTACCGGCCTGACGACGTCGTTTTCGGGGTCACGCGGCGGCGAGGAGGGGAGGGGGGACAAAGGAAAAAAACAAAGGAGGGGGGAGGGTGGACTGGAAACACAACTCATCGCCATGAAGGCTTTCTTGTCGATGTCATACAGAAGGAGGGCGGGTTCTTACATATATTTCCACTCGAATCAAAGACATTCTTCTTCGCGGACTCTCACGGTGATCTCAAGCTGCGAGACTACTCACTGGATCAGTTACACGGACTGACAGAGAGGGACTGGGTGGACTCCCACGCATTCATCCTAATTTTGAAGCAAGGTTGCGGGTTTGATATACTGACTTCAACTTGATGCAGGTATCACCAACAGCACTGCACAGCAAACTATGAACACTCACAGCATTATCACCAGTCGATCCAGCATATCAAGCACCAGACTCCCTTTTATACAGAACTGACAGGAACCCCCTCCAGGAAAGCCGCTGGCGATCCTCATATCACACCTCCTGACATATACGAAACAGGACGACCTACCAACACGCATATCAAATCCACAGCACAGCACGAGCACAGATGGGTTGATATAGCAAATCCAGCTTCCTACTCAAGAAGCAAACCTACAACGGCCGTCGCCTCCCATACAAAGAAACCCGCCCAGGAGGCAGTTTGATGGCATACCTCGCCCCATACACCCTTCGGCATCGATGGAGCCACGCACTTGCGGCCGGCACTTGCAAGAGAAGACGCACACTCACAGACTAGGGATAAAAGGGAATTCGTCAAGGGGAGTGATTTATATCACCAAGGAATGGGAAGGGAATGTGCAGCAGGCACATCCAAGTCGACATCACTCACACTCAAGCATGCCGCCTCACGACGACAGCCACTCCCACGCCCCCTACTCACCGGCCACCACCCAACAAAGGAACAATACCAAGAGAAGACAATCAGAAGAAAAAAGCAAAGTGAGCAAAGATATTGTTTTGTTCAAATAATCTTGATTCATTCCCATTCTCTCCTTACTTCTCCCCTTATTTCTCTCACCATACTGTCTCTCATACTCGCCCATATTCTCCCATACTCTCTCACATACTCTCATGTCTGTCACTGTCTTTGTCGCTTTCCCAGACAGAATACTTAAAAAAACGGAGTAGTCCCTAATCGTTACGCCTAGCAAAAAATAAAACACGCGGTATCACACACCACACCGAAAACACATAAGAAAAAAAAGATGTGAAGAAGAAGAAGATGAAAGGCAATCCCCTCCTGTTTCCTGGTTTTCCCATTTGGCCTGTTTTCAGCCAAGATTTGTCGCTCCTCCTGGTCGATTCCGTGGTTGTTCATTTCGCAAGACAAACTTTTGGTGCTCTTATGCCGACTGCAAGATGGAGAAACAAAGGTATCGCGATCGTCGGATGTGCAGGACTGAACTAGACAAGACTTGCTCTGGGTGGCAATGACGTCAAAGTTGAAGGCGCGCTGAGGGTCGAAAATGCGGTTCGGAAAGCCTGGAATTTGTCGATCGGAGTCCACGCTGAGTACATGAGCGAAAACCGGGTCGGGGATATACAATCCAGGTCATCTACAGGACCAAGCACTTCCCATGCTTCTTCTTCGGGGCAGGTGGCTCGAGAGCAGCCACGATAGCCTGTGAGATTGTCAGCACACATGCGCCAAACCAAGCAAACAGACAAACATGGATCCTTTCAAAGACCACAGGGATATACACACCTCATCAAACACATCCTTCAACTTATACTGCGTCAGCGCCGAGCACTCCACATACTTAATCGCGCCCAACTCCTTCGCCATCCTCTCTCCATCCTCCCTCCTAACCGGGCTCATCTTCTGCTTCTGCAGCTTCTCGCGCACGCTGGAGTCGTCGCGCAGATCGGTCTGTGTGCCGACGATGAGGCAGGGGACGCCGGGGCAGTGGTGGTGCACCTCGGGAAACCACTTTTCGCGCACATTCTCGAAGGAGGCGGGGGAGGTGACGGAGAAGCAGACGAGGAAGACGTCGGTTTGGGGGTAGGAGAGGGGTCGGAGACGGTCGTAGTCTTCTTGGCCGGCGGTGTCGAAGAGGCCGAGGGTGTAGGGCTCGTCGCCGATCCTTGGGGGGGGGGAGGTTAGTTGGTGTTGTTTGTTTGTTTGTGGATGTGGATGTGGATGTGTTTGGAATGGGGGGAGGGGGGACTTACATGACAGTGACAGCATAGTTATCGAAGACGGTAGGGACATATTCCGAAGGGAACTTGTTGGTGGTATACGAGATCAAAAGACAAGTCTTTCCCACAGCACCATCGCCAACCACAACACACCTACGAGGAAGAAAAGAAGCATAAGGTCAGCAAACAAAACTCACTCCAAGGATATCTAGATCCCAGGTCGCACCAGGTGGGTGGGCCAGCCGGGTGGGCCAGTGAGACAGACGAGGTCAATTCAACTCACTTAATCGTAGCAACAACCATTTCTGCGACTTGGAGAGGGAGTAGTTGGAAACTGCGTGGGCGTGGTGTGGTAACCTCAGCAGCAGGGGCGAAGAGAGCGAGCTGCCTTGACGAGTTGTGAGGGTGTGGGTTGTGCTGGTTGGAGGTGTGGAAGAGTGAAGAGTGGAAGAGTGGAAGTGTGGATGCGTGGAAGCGTGGATGCGGTGTTGCGGATTGAATTGTGGGAGGTAGGTAGGTCGCGGGGTCGAGTTGGAATCGGGATGTTGTGATTGCGTTGATTGGGGAGGTTGGTGGAGGTTGGTGGAAGTTTGTGGTGGAGGTTGGTGGAAGTTTGTGGTGGAGGTTGGTTGTGGAGGTTGGTTGTGGTGGTTGGAGAAGAAAGATTGTTTCGAAGGGACAGGAACACGGGTCAAGGGCGAGACGTTTTGAAGGAAGGAACGGGGCTTTGCTTGGCTGCTTGGCTGCTTGGCTGCTTGGCTGCTTGATTGCTGGGTTGATGGGTTGATGGGTTGATGGGTTGATGGGTTGATGGGTTGATGGGTTGATGGGTTGATGGGTTCTTGATTGCTGGGTTGCTGGGTTGCTGGGTTGCTGGGTTGCTGGGTTGCTGGGTTGCTGGGTTGCTTGATTGCTTGATTGCTGATGGTCTATCTGTTTCTGACGACAAGGAGGTGGGTGAGCTTGGGGATTGGCGCAAGGTTTGGGGCGAGGGAGTAGCGTGGGTGTGTTAGCCGGGTGGAAGCGAAGGTGGGGAGGTGGGGAGGTGGAGAGGTGGAGAGGTGAGGGGAGGGTGAGGGTGAGGGGAGGGTGAGGGTGAGAAGGAAGAGAAGAGAAGAGGGAGAGAAGGAAGAGAAGAGGGAGAGGGTAAAAAGAAGAGGTTTGGATTTTGGGAAAGAGGAGAGGGACAAAGGTGAAGATTGGGGGTGGGGGATGGGATGAGGATGGGATGGGGGTGGGGGTGGGGATGGGATGGGGATGGGATGGGGATGGGATGGGGATGGGATGGGGATGGGATGGGGATGGGATGGGGATGGGATGGGGATGGGATGGGGATGGGATGGGGATGGGATGGGGATGGGATGGGATGGGGATGGATTATCTTACTTACACAATAACCCATACATATAACTGCAGATACTTCATAAGAGGGTGCGTGTGGTTGAAAAGGGGTTTTGGTGGGTGGTGGTTGTGGGTGGTGGTTGAAGCCTGCTGGCTGGTGGTTGTGGGTGGTGAAGCCTGCTGGCTGGTGGTTGTGGGTGGTGAAGCCTGCTGGCTGGTGGTTGTGGGTGGTGCTGGCTGGTGGTTGTGGGTGGTGCTGGCTGGTGGTTGAAGGTGCTGGCTGGCTGGTGGTTGAAGGTGCTGGCTGGCGCTGCAGGAGTGGTTAGTGGCAAGTGACGTGGGTAGGTATCGATATACGACGGATAGACCCAAAGACACGACATCATGGCCTCAACACCTACCACAACCACGGCCGGGACGGCGGATATAGACGCACTCTTGACGGCGTACCTCGAGCTCTTACATACATATACCACGCTGCGAAGTAAACTCACAGCGCTTCAATCATCCGTACGTCCCCCCCTCCCCTCCCCTCATCACCAACCCCCCTCTCCTCCCCTCATCACCAACCCCCCTCCCCTCCCCTCATCACCAACAACAACCCAGACATCCCTCTCCCTCGCCCGCGCAAATTCCACCACACCACACCACATGGCCTACACACCCACCACCAACGCCAAACTACGCCCAACCATCCGCCTACACACCCCGCACCGAGACGACACATTCGCACTCCTCCCCGTCCCCATCCATCCCACCCCCCCTCCCACCTCCAGCACTGAGCGCCCTGCAGCCCATGCTGCTCCCTGCTCGGACGATGCTGCCCACCACCCGCATAAACACACAATCCCGCACTCAACGCCAGAGGGACGGGCACCACCACCGCTGCCGCACTTGTTCGGCGTCCTCCCGACACCCTCCTTGCGGGGAGCGCAGGCCTCAGCCATGCTGGCACTGGGGGTTATGGTACAGGTAGCCGCGGTCGAAGTCAAGATGCGCGCTGTCGAGGTTCAGGTGCGACGAGCGCGGAAGCGCGCTCGCAAGGCTGGGAAGGGACGGGAGGGGGGGGGAGGAGGGGTGTGAGTGTGGCTTTACACAGCTCAGCTTCGTACGAGTATACGTAATCGCAATAATACATACACGGAAATCATGAAAGACGATATAGTGATGCTTCAAAACCAGGTTCCTTCCCATTATCCCACCCCCAACTATACCACGTGTATCCCTACGCCCTGATATCCCATTCCCTTGCCTATCGCATACATCCCCCGGCTCTCGGGTGTCGCTCTATTATATGGTATTATATCTCTCCATCCGTCCATATCTCACCCCCGTTCCACACTCATCCATCCCCAGCTGCTAAAAAATGGACACAAAGAGGTCGTTCCCTCAAAAAAGGTAAGATTGATCATAAACCCTCTCCCACCTCTCCCTTCCAAATACAAAAAAAGTAAGGTTAAAAAACAGGGGATGATATCACACGCAGAACTAAAAGCAAAAAAGAGCGCCCGAATTCCAAAATCAGAAACCAAACGATAGACGGCGAACGAAAAAAAGTGGGGTGCCCGTAAGCAAGTGAGCAGCAGTGATAGGTCAAAGTTGACCAAAATAAAAGTAAAAAATAGCAGCAGCAGGATATTAAAACAGTAAAAACAAAGCAAAGAAAGGTAAAAGTAAGGTGGTACACGCGCACATCTCTCCTCGCGCCGCAAATCCGAAATTCCAGCTCCCAACTCCCCCTCTCCTTTCACAGGATGAAGAGGGCCAGGTGGAGGAGGAAGTGACAGGACAGTCACACCCCAGGACAAAGAGAGCTGAACCGCGGCCCAAGAAAACCCCCCTAGGAAGCCTCCTCAGCCCATCCATTCAACCCCCCCTCCTGGAGCGCAAGTCCATAATTCCCCCCTCCACCTCCCACTACACCAACCACACCCATCCCTCCACCAACTCCATTACCAAACCCCAACACCCCCATCCCGCTAACCAGTCCCGAGAAGGACGATTGATAAGCGTGTCCCCTGCCTGCGAAGCCTTGTCCAGACCCGTTTCCGGGGTTTCCGCCCCCGTTGACGCCAAGGCTGTTGGAGGAGGAGGTGGAGTTGGCGTCTTGAGCGAAGAACGGCAATGATGCGGCCCTTGCGTGCTGGCTTCGCGCGTTAGAAGGGGCGAGGAGCCCGCCTACAGTCGTGGAACTCGATGTCGGCGCCGCGTAGCCGTTTGAGATAGACGCAGAGTGTTGATGATGTCCACCATGGGGCTGAGTTTGAATCCCCAATCCATCAGCCTGCCCATTCTGTCCATTATCCCCACCCCCACCACCACCGCCGTCACCCCCACCATTCCCATAAATCTGCTGCACAAGCGCCTGCTGTCTCTGCTGCTGATAACTCGCCTGCGCCCCCTCCAGACTCTGCTGATGCTGCTGCTGCGCGTGCTGCGCCGCCTGCTGCTGGCTCATCTGGTTGAGGTACATGGTAAGCGGGTTATTAGACCCAGCGTTGAGGACAGCGCTAGCGGTGTTGACTTGGGCGGGCTGGAAGGAGGTGGTAGGGGCTTGGGAGTTGGTTGGGCTGGAGCCGTTTTGAGAGTTACTCTGGTGGCCTGCGGAGGGGGGGGGGTTGACGGCGTCTGCGCGGCTTGGTTGGGGTTGCTGCTGCAGCTGGCGTGGCGGGTTCCCGCAGCGGTCCTTCCCAAAGTTCACCTTGAAGCGACGGTAATCCTCCTTCCCGCGAATAGCCTCGATAGCTTTAATAGCATTGGCGATATTCGTAAAGTTCACAAACGCGCACGATTTCTCGCGCAGCGTGTTGACGAGCTCGATATCGCCGTACTCGGTGAAGTCCTGACGGAGGCGGTCCTCGGTGAATGACTCGTCGAGGTTGCCGACGTAGACGTTGCGGGAGGCGCCGCCGCTGACGGCGAGGGCGATGGCGGGGGGGAGGGCGCCGGAGTGCTTGCCCCACCCGATCTTGAGGCGGCGGTTGTGGATCATCAGGCCTTGGAGGTTGCTGAGGGCGTAGAAGGAGGCCGCGGAGGTTGGGTCGATGAAGGTCACGAAGCAGATGTGCTTGTCGGGGATGTAGCGGATGTGGTGCAGGAGTCCGCCACGGACGACGTTGCAGATCTCTTCGATGGTGGTCTCGGGGTGGATGTTGCCGAGGTAGACGGTGCGGTTTCCAAGGTTGTTGATGCCTCCGGCAGTGGTAGCCACGGCGGCCGCCGCAACAGACTGCTGAGCCAGAGCGTTGGAAATCAGGTCACGGTCCGCGCCGTTCAGGACATGGGCATAACCAGGAGCAATCCCAAGGTACTGCGCCGCGTTCTGCTGCTGAGTCTTGGACACGTACGCGCAGCGGTCCTTTCCGTAGTAGACCTTGCGAGGCGCCTGCCACTTCGGCTCTTGCGGGAGCTGAGAGACCGCCTTGATGGCATTTCCAATAGACAGGAAGTGAATAAATCCGATTGCCTTTTCACGGACAATCTTGACTGTATCGATGGGGCCGAACTTGCCCAGGTCCTCGCGGAGCTCATCCTCGGTAATGTCTTCCGACAGATTACCAAGGTAAACATTTCGCGAGGCGCCGGACTGCTGCACGGCGAGTGCAACAGACGTCGGGACCTGGGACGGCTTGCCCCAGCCGATCTTGATGTCTTGTCCACGGATAGCCAGTTTCTTCAAGATGGCATCCGAGTGGAAGTGCGTGGCAGAGGCACCATCCAAGAAAGAGATGAACGCGCAGTTCTTGTCCGGGAGGAGTCTGACGGACTCAATTTGGCCACTACGCACATGACCCAAAATCTCCTCAGCAGACGTCTCAGGGGGAATGTTGCCAAGATAGACGGTCCTGCTCGTTCCAGCCGCAATGCCCTGAGCTTGCTGCGGCGAAGTCGGCATCTGCATCTGCATTTGCATCTGTAACTGCATCTGGTTCCCCAGAGCAGCGTATCCCTGGGTTGGAGACTGCGGGGCGTAGAACTGCGGAGCACCATAAGTCGACGGCGAAACAATGGTCTGATAAAGTTGTGGTGACATTTGGTCCTGGATGGGGCTGCTCATGCCGTTTTGCTGCTGCTGCTGCTGCTGTAAATTATGCTGCTGGCTGAAGTTGGCAAAATTCTGGAACTGCGGGTTGGCAAAGGCGGCTGGAGAGCCCGGTTGGAAGGGGCTTCCGAGGAGGAGCTGGGACGGCAGTAATGGTGTGAACTGCATGTCGAAGGCGGTCCCGGGTGTAGAGGCATCAGCCCCGTTCTGCCCTAGCGGTTGCGTGTTGATTGAGGGGATATTCGCTGCTCGGTTCGGATGCCTATCGCCGTATCCGCCCATAGAGAACTGGTTCGAGCTGTAGGCGCCGTGGGAGAAGCCCGTCTCGGAAATGGATGGTTTCGAGGCATGGCCGGGGAAGCGGGAGGCAGTCCTGGCGTTTGGGCCGTTCATGCCGCTGGTTGATGCTGTTTCTTGCATACCCAAACGATGAGATGGGAGGACAAAGTTGTCCCGCATCGATGGTGATAATACAGCCGTGTTGAAGGATAAAGTGCCTTGTTAGGCACGAAAGTGTGTAGTAAAACTGATAGCTTCTGAAAAGAAGGTTGTAGATGGCCCAATATATGTTTAGACAAGATCAATTCGAATTGAAATATTATAGCTTATAGCAGGAGCGTATAAAATGAGGTTGATATGAAGTATATAGCCCACGCGGAGGCAAAAAGGGAGGTTTGTTTCCGATATGTTCGATGTTGATTGCTTCGAGCGAGATTGTATACAGCGTCTCAGCGGACCATCGCACGAAGGGGGTTGAGAGCGTAGCGTTTCGCAGGGTTGAAAGTTTGAGCTTTTCGGATAGATTTCGAAATCGGATAGCTGCGAGCTAAACAAGCGGTAGGCAAGAGGTATACAGCCGCGGGTCTCCTTGCAGCAAAAAAAGGGTCTTCTAGGAGCTCAAAGGGCGAGGAGAAAATCGACAGGTTCGGTGGGAGCTCGCGATTTTTTCGATCGCTGTGGTTGTTGGTGTGTGGCTGCTACAGGGGGGCGTGTTAAGGAAAGGGACCTGTTTATTCGGTGAGAAGAATAGGGATAAGGTAGCGTATTTTTGAACAGGGTGAACGAGATTGGGAGTAAGAAGCTGAATGAGCTGAATGAAGCTGAAGCTGTTTTCGAAAATTAAAAAGGGCAAAGAACAGGAAGAAGAGACACCAAAAGGAGTGGTGGTGTTTTTGGGGTATTGAATAAAGGTGAAGTTTGGAGATGAGGTTTTGGGGGAGGAAAGGGAAAGGAAGGGAAGGGTAGGGTAAGGAAGGGTAAGGGACAAACGGGCAAAGGACAAACGGGCAAAGGGCAGAGGGCAGAGGGCAGAGGGCAGAGGGCAGAGGGCAGAGGGCAGAGGGCAGAGGGCGGCGGAAGGGGTGAACCAAAGAAGTGAATTGGGGAAAGAAATGAGCTTTGGGATGAGAGAGAGGGAGGGGAGGGCGGCCCTGCATTTTGATGGGCGAGGTTTGGCCTGAGATTTGAGATTAAAAGATGGGGCGTAAATATAGAATTAATGACCAAGTTGGGGCTGAAGATGGGTGGGTAAGAGACTGATCTGGAGGGAATATGGATGAATGAGGTAAGGATTGAATTTGAGATGAGGGTTCCATTTGATGATCTGGATGTGGAGCCAATGAGAGAGCTTTGCTGGAGAAACTACATGTCAAAGAGGAATGCTAGTCTGAATGGGGTTAGGGTGGTTTGGGAATACTACAGATCAGGGGTAGCGGGTTCAGGTGAGTTAGGGAGGGAGGACAGAAGGGGGATAGTGCGGTACGGGGGTACATCAAAGAGAAAGTGGTGGAAGAGGGAGTTAACTTATGTAGTCAAAACACAGGAAGACAGGAAGAACACAGGGAGAGGCATACAAAGATTAGCTTCATTCTATCCATATCAGGAGCATCAATGAAAGTGTCTTACCATCACAGCCACTACTATCCCCCCCCCTGAATGATTGTAAAGACCCGCCGCTATTTTGAAGTTTGTGGAAACCCACTTATAGCGATCGGTTTAGGTAAAAAGGCGTAAATAAGATGAGATCACTGGCAGAGGCCTTTTGACAAAATAGTGGATGGTGACAATCATTCAGGGGGGGGGATAGTACTCCATCGCCCCAGTCTTTATGCACGCTACAACCCTTACGCACTGCGCCGTAGATTAACAGCACTACGTACCCCTACTTCCCTCCTCCATACGCAGCATGTCTCATCGTTCCAGGCGTTGCAATCTGCCAGTTTCAGACCCCTTGATGGGCTGTCTGGGCTGTCTGGGCTGTCTGGCTGTCTGGCTGTCTGGGCTGTTTGGCTGTCTGGGCTGTCTGGCTGTCTGGGCTGTCTGGCTGTCTGGGCTGCTTGGTTGGGGGGGGATGGCTAGGGGGACCTACATGCGGCGGCTAGGGGGGCCTACATGTGGCGGCTAGGCGGGACACAACGAGGTTATTAAAGTTCAATGGGAAGAAACGAGGGGAAACCCCCCCCCCCCCCAAACTAACTCACACACAAAGATTCCAACAGATCTCTTTGACTACTGTATAATGGATAAATCAACCACGAATCATGCCGTCCCTTCACTCCCCCCCAATCGCCACGACAGCATTCCGTTGCGTCACACACAACCAACATGCCACGGCTCGGGCTAGCGGGACGACGGACGGGGCCAGCACAACACCCACAAAGAAAGCGCGACGCATGGACCGGGACATTGCTCCGAATCTCAACTAAACTACGGCTTGCAGCGCCCCATGAAGCGCGGGTACAGGCAGCACGTCCGGACGGAGTGCTGGTTGCACACCCACGCGAGGAAGCGCTCTAGGCCCAGTCCGTAGCCGCCGTGGGGGGAGGTGCCGTACCTGGGGAGGGAAGGGTCAGCTGGTTGTTCGTTGCGTTTATTTATTACAGCTCTGGTAGTCACGGGCAGGTGAGTGGGGGGCAGGGGAAGCTTACTTGCGCTGGTCGGTGTACCAGTAGTACTCCTTTGGCGGGATGCCCTCGCGCTCGTACGCGGCCATCAGTTCATCATAGCCTTCCATTCTCATTGAGCCGCCGACGATCTCACCAACTCCGGGCATGAGGACGTCGACGCTCTCGGTGACGCGGGGGTCGTTAGGGTCACGCTTCATGTAGAAGGCCTTGATAGCGGTAGGGAAGTGCGTGAGGAGGATGGGCAGGTTGATGATATCCGTCATTCTGCGCTCAGCAGCCTCCGCGATATCGTCGCCAAAGACGTGGGGGTTGCCCTCCTCGTTGAGGATGGGGGTGTCTTGGGCGTTGAGCCAGTCAATAGCGTCGGAGTAGCGCATGCGCTTGAATGGGCGCGCGGGCGCCTTGAAGTCGGGGTTGAGCTCCTTGATGTAGCCCGCGATCTCGGGGTCGGCGAGGATGGTCTCGATGACGGTGCTGATCATGTACTCGAGGTGGCCGAGCAGGTCGTCGAACTCGATGAAGTCCATTTCGGCCTCGACGTGGGCGTACTCAGCCAAGTGGCGACGGGTGAGCGACTTCTCGGCGCGGAAGCTCTTCTCGATACAGTAGACGTTGCCGAGGCTCTGGATGGCGGTCTCGAGGTAGAGCTGGGATGACTGAGTCAGGTAGGCCTTCTCGTCGTAGTAAGGCAGCTCGAATAGCGTGGAGCCGCCCTCGACTTGGGTCTGGACCAGCGCCGGTGGGCTGACTTTTGTGAATTTGAGGTCCTTGTAGGCCTTTGCGAATGCCCACTCAACGGCGGAGCGGACCTTCATGACGGAGGACGCGTTGTCGCCACGGAGGACAAGGTGCCTGTTATCCAGCATCTGGGCGTCCCACATGTTCTTCTCCGAGGAAACCTTGTTGGTGATGGCATCGTCGCCGCTTGGGGCGGAACCAATGACCTTGTAGTAGTCGACCTGGAGCTCACGGCCGTCTGGGGCAGTGGCTCCGTCTGGGAGCTTGCGCATCTCACCAAACAGGGCGATCGAGGTGCCCTGGGCGAATGTCAGAGCATCGTAGGTCTTGGTCAGGTCGCCGGTAAGGACACACTGCATGTGACCATATCCATCAATCAGGGTTATAAATGTAGCCTGCTTCTGCTGTCTCAATCTGTGGATGCGTCCGCAAATCTTGACACGTGCCCCCTTGACATCCCCCTCTCCCAGCTTGATATTCTTATCGCCGGTTGTAGTTCTCACAGCCTTTGGCAGAGACGCGTCTTCCGTGAGGATGATCTTCTTAGCATCCTCAAGGTTGTTGAGGCGCTGCTGCTCCTTCTCCGCCTCGGCAGCAGCAATCTGCTGCTGCTTAACCAACTTCTTCTTATGCTGGTCGAGCGCATTCTGGGCCTTCTTCACGGCGCTCTTCGCCGGCTCCTTCCACGCCAATCGCTCAGATGGATCACCATCCGCGCTCACGGCACCCGTAACAGACGCGCGCTGCAGATATGACTTGTTCTCCGCGCCGCCATGCTGGATGAAGGCATAACCCAAAGATTTGTACGGCTTTGCCTCTGAGCCATCTGCGCCCTCCTCGTCCTTGCCAGCGTCCAAGTCAATGTAGATCGCGTTGGTAGAATCGGCTTGTGCCCTTCTGGTCGGTAGGACCTCCTCGATCTTGGCCTTGACGGCGTCGAGAGTCGAAGCCATCGTAGTCGCGGGGGGGGTGTATTTATTTTTATTCTTCTCATCCCACAATGCCAGCGTGCCCTTTGGTGGGGGTTGCCCTCACCGCCTCTGAGTCACTAAGAGAGTGTGCCGTAAACGGATTAGCGCCTAATTAACACCAACGCGCTTTCCGTGCCGGCTCCAGTCGCGACTTTGGAATTCTAGGCAGGCAGGCGGTCGCGAGGGAAGCTTCATAGAGGTGATTCGAGGAGTGCCATTTTTCAATGAACAAAGCAGTTGTGTCTCCAAGACGACTTTTTATCTCTGCTGTCAACCTATCTAGTCGGATTTTGCTTTTTTGGTCTTCCAGCACAATGCCTCCGAAACAGGCAACGCTTGGGTATGTAAAGCCTTCGCAGACTACGTTGGGGTGCGTGGAGAGCTATGAGCTGTCCAACTCCACAATTTTAGATATTGTTTCTGACGCTACGTTTATATAGGAGGTTTTTTGGGGGTACTCAAGGGGCGAGTCCAGGCCCTGCGAAGCAAACACTTCTCTCATTTTCCTCGAAATCTACGAATAAATCCAAGGTCAAGACCCCAGATGTGAAGGAAGAGGACCTTGAGGATGAGGATATGGCAAATGAGAGCAGAACCCCTAAAAGTGATGAGGATGCTGTGAACGAGCAGCTGGCCTCGGAGTTGAAGACTAGTACTTCACCCAATGGCAAAGGTGCGTTCCCCAACCCGACTTGGCCATCATAGTGCAGGACTCTAGTTAATTCGATTTAGACTCCAAGAAACGGATTAGAGACGAGGCTCTAGAAGATTCCAAAAGCGAAGCTGCAGCATCCCACGAATCAAAAAAGCTAAAGGGGGAACAAGAGGAGGAGGAGGATGAGGAACCCGTCTTGAAACGACCACGCCGAAATGGCCAGGAATCAACGGTATCGAAGGATGCATCCGAAACCAAGCCAAATAAGAAAGATATTGCGGCAGCGACTAAGAAAGGCAAGGGAAAGGCAGCTACTAAGGGTATCAAGAAGGAGGTGGTGGAGGTTGAAGACGATACGCCTCTTGCCAAGCCAGAGAGGAAAGCATCAGCTACCCCAGAAGAAAGCTCGGAGGTAGAGGAGGAAATTGAAGAAGATGAGGAAGATGAGAAGCCAGAACTGGCTGCGAAAACCCGGGAGAAGATACAGACGACCCTGAAGTCGCATAGCAAGGACCCATATCCAGACTGGAAACCCGGAGAGCCAGTACCATACGCAGCACTCTGCACGACGTTTTCGCTCATTGAGATGACAACGAAACGGTTGATCATTGCTGCACATTGCTCTCTTTTCTTGCGTCAAGTCCTCCGCCTCACACCGGACGATCTTCTGCCAACTGTTCTCCTCATGATCAACAAACTGGCGGCAGACTATGCTGGCATTGAGTTGGGGATTGGCGAGTCACTCATAATGAAAGCCATCGGCGAAGCCACTGGCCGAAGTCTAGCAGTCATCAAGCAGGATCAAAAGGAGATCGGTGACTTGGGGCTGGTGGCTGTCAAGAGCAGGTCCAACCAGCCAACCATGTACAAACCCAAGCCGCTGACGGTCAGGGGTATTCACAAGTCTCTGTTGCGTATTGCAGTTATGCAGGGCAATGGGGCACAGACCCGCAAAGTAGACGGCATCAAGAAGCTGCTCTCTGCTGCTGATAGCGAAGGCGGTAAGGTCGATCTTGCAAAGGACAAGGGAGGCCCAAGTGAAGCCAAGTTTATCGTCCGATTTCTGGAGGGTAAACTGAGACTCGGCCTGGCTGAGAAGACGGTCTTGGTATCGCTGGCTCAGGCCATGGTCTGCCACGAGACCGAGAGTAAAGGAAGGGACAAGGTTCCTTCCACGGATCAGCTCGCTAAGGGGGAGCAGGTCCTCAAAGCCGTCTACAGGTAAGTCACTTTTTCCCATTTGTAAGGTCCAGAATCTAATTTATTTAATAGCGAGCTTCCGAGTTACGACGTAATTATTCCAGCTATGGTCCAGCATGGCATCTTCAATCTCCGAGAGAACTGCAAGCTCCAGCCGGGAGTGCCGCTCAAGCCTATGTTGGCAAAGCCAACCAAGGCCATTACGGAAGTCCTCGATCGATTTGAGGGCCAGACATTCACATGCGAGTACAAATACGATGGCGAAAGAGCCCAGATCCATTATGTATCCAAGGATTCAGAGACAAAATACCAAAGCAGCGTGCCTGCAGCTGCCAAGGGAACAGCAGGTGGACTGGCGGCTATCTTCTCGCGCAACTCGGAGGACCTATCCAAGAAATACCCTGATATCTTAGAGAAGCTCGGCACGTGGGTCAAGCCTGAGACCAAGAGCTTCGTCCTCGACTGCGAGACCGTAGCGTGGGACATGGTGGAGAAGAAAGTTATGCCCTTCCAACAGCTCATGACTCGCAAGAAGAAGGACGTCAAGACCGAAGACGTCAAAGTCAAAGTCTGCGTCTTCGCCTTCGACCTCCTCTTCCTCAACGGCGAAGCCATCGTCGGGAAGCCCCTCCGCGAGCGCCGCTCCCTCCTGCACACAGCCTTCACCCCCGTCGAGGGCGAATTCGCCTTCGCCACCTCCATGAACGGCCAAGAAATCGACGAGATTCAAACCTTCCTCGACGACTCCGTCAAGGCCTCCTGCGAGGGCCTCATGGTCAAAATGCTCGACGGCGTCGAATCGGGCTACGAGCCCAGCAAGCGCTCCCGCAACTGGCTCAAGATCAAGAAGGACTACCTCGCCGGCATCGGGGACTCGCTCGACCTGGTGGTGCTGGGCGCGTATCACGGCAAGGGGAAGCGCACGAGTGTGTACGGCGCTTTCTTGCTGGCCTGTTACAATCCGTCTACCGAGCGCTACGAGACAGTCTGCAACATCGGCACGGGCTTCAGCGAGGAAGTACTCGAGACGCTCCACGCCCAACTCGCAGACACCGTAATCGACCGCCCCAAACCCTTCTACGAGCACAGCAAGGTCAACGCGCACCAGCCCGACGTGTGGTTCGAGCCGCGCTTCGTGTGGGAGGTGCGCACGGCGGACTTGACGCTCAGCCCGAAGTACCGCGCTGGGTACAAGGAGGGCATCGCGCCGAATGCGGAGAAGGGGGTTAGTTTGAGGTTTCCGAGGTTTATTAAGATTAGGGATGATAAGAAGGTCGATGAGGCAACAACGAGTAGGCAGATTGCGGAGATGTATCGCAGGCAGGAGAGTGTGAGCAAGGGGCCGGCGGCGGATGATGATTTTGAGTATTAGGGTACTCGATACTGTTTTTGTGAGCTGGGTGGGCGAGCGTTGGTGTTTTTGGGATGCATGGGCTTGCTTTGATTCGAAGGGGAGGGGGGTGTATACATATTAGCGTGGTAGCTAAAAATATTTGCTTGTTTAAATTCAAACGATACTTTCCACAAAAATGAAACGAAAAGGCTTGAAGTTGCTACATTGCTTATGCCATAATACCAGCGGGACTTTTTATGAGTATTATCAAATTATAATTACTATTTCCCTTATCCCTTGTTTAACCCTTGACCGACTAATGCATATTCACTGACCCATACACCCTCCCATCCTCCCCACCCTCTCCACTCCCTTCTTCACATCCTTTTTATCCTCGCTCGTCCCCGTTTTCTCTTCCCCCCTCCCCTCCCTCCCCTCCTCCCCCCCCCTCCTCTCCCTCCCCAACCAACACCCCCCCTCCCCCCCACCTTGATACCACCCACCTCCCAACCCCACCTCCACCGCCTCCCACTCCCCCACTTTCCCCAGACTCTTAACATCCAAATCCCCCAACCTCGCCCTCAACACCCCCTCCCCATCTGGTAGCACTAGAAAGACTGTGACGTCGCGGAGGGTCATTGCGATTTGGAGGCCTTTTAGGGAGGAGGAGGAGGGGGATGTGCTGTCGCGGAGGATGTGGGAGACGCCAAGGGGGTCGAAGGTTGTTTGGATGTGCCGGAGGTGGCGGAGGAGGGGGGATGTGAGGGCCCAGTTGGTTAGGCGGGTGAGGGTTTGCAACTCCTTCGGTGTAGCCGTAGTAGTGCCATTTTGCGCTCCGTTTTGGCTTCCAGTGGCGGTTTTGGCACTGCCGTTCTGGGCAGCGCTGCTACAATTTTGTGTAGAGGTGCTATCAGAGGCAGTGGCAGCGGTGGCAGCAGAAGCAGGTAACCCAAGCAACAACGCCGCAGCGCGCCGCACGTCGGCGGGAGAGGAGGAAATGAGATCCAGTGGACAGAAAGACGGTTTTGAGATGCCGCGTTTAGCGTGTAGGGCGCAGGTGCGGCAGCGTTTGGAGTTGGGGGGGCGGAGGGGGAGGGGGCGAGCCATTTGGGTTTGAATTGGATTAGGGTTGATGATGTTGCTGTGGGGTGTTAGTTTCATCCTTTGCTATTTATTTTGGAAGGGAGGGGGGGAGAAGGGAGAGGGAGAAGGGGGATGGAAAGGGGGCATACGAGGTGACATATCCGTAATGAGAAGCGCATGCTGGTCATCCGCCAAATAAACCCCATGCCGCTGTACCGGCCGTGGCGTCGAGGAGGAAGGCTGCTCGGCGGACCGCAGGGTGGCGTTGAGGGTCTGGATTAGGTGGCTTGAGCCGAGGGAGACGAGACGGATATCGATGAGGTCTTCGGCGGGGAAGAGGGGCGCGATGGAGGTGCGGAAGGCAATGTGGGCGTCGAGTGTGGGCGTGGTGGTGGGGAGGTCTTTGCGGAAGCGGAGGAGTTTGCCTGTGAGGGGGAGGGGTGTTAGGTTGTGGTTTGGATTGTGTGGGGAGGGGAAATTTTGGGGGGATGGGGGGGGTAGTGGTGATAGAGAGGGGTTCGGGGCTTCATTATATGATCTCTGCGCAGGGGCGTAGGAACGCTCCAGGGCGGAGCATGGGATGGAGCAAAAAGGGGGGTCACGTGATGGTTTGACTGAATCTGAGAAAGAACATACCGTGCCAGGGATTAGGCGTTGTGTCCTCTCCTTTCTCCTTTATATCGCCATGTTCAGGCGTGCTACTCTGCGGTGGCACGTTTATACTATAAACCACATTCGCAGCTCCCTCGCTCAGGTATGTCGCCGATATATTGCTGGGGAGCTCCAGCGTCTTGTCTGGCGGAAAGTCCATCATTCCGGGATATATGAGATATTCTTTGATAGTAGAGAGGTATGCAGGTTAGATGATGAGACGAGGCGAGGCTGCGGCGATTAGGGATTGTTATATGCGTATATGGGGTGCTCCTTCCTCGCGGGCATGGGCGGGGTGGAGGAGTGTGGCGGGATCGAGAGCAGGTACAACGGTGACAAATCCATATATAGGATAGGTAATAGAGATATGTTTTTAAAAAGTTAAGAGGGTGGATAACTGTTCGTTCGAGGATTGCACGGTATTATATGTCGTACTTGGATAGGAATATGGGATTGGGAGAAGGTGTTTAGGTCTGGGGGAGGGTCGCTGAACCGGTCCAGACCAATGTGAAAAGGGTATATATATAGTGGCACTAACAAACCAGTGGCTATGACGATCCTGCCGTTATTTCTAGGTCTTGCAACGTCAAATGAATAGGTAATATATAGAAATATATAGAAATAATATTTAATGAGAGTGTATATAAAATAGATGTAGGTGTGTAAATATTAAATATTGACAATATAGGTCTGTAGCTATTTTATTTTTAATTTAATTTATTTTTATTTTTATTTTTATTTTTATTTTTATTTTTATTTTTATTTTTATTTTTATTTTTATTTTTATTTTTGTTTTTGTTTTTGTTTTTTGTTTTTTGTTTTTTGTTTTTTGTTTTTTTGTTTTTTGTTTTTTGTTTTTGTTTTTGTTTTTGTTTTTGTTTTTGTTTTTGTTTTTGTTTTTGTTTTATTTTTGTTTTATTTTTCGCGCTAAGTCGATTCGCGATTAGTCGATTATCGCGATAACTCGGTGCTTTTCTTTGGCCTGAATTATTTCGAGCACCCTCTTACTGCCCAACGACGTAAAAGCCCAGAGCTTAAGGCTGCTCTCTTCGAGTAGCAAAAGCGCATTGAAGAAAAAGGAGGGATAACAACCGGGGATATACTGCAAGAGAAGGCGAAACAAATCTAGCAGTTGTTACCACAATACACAGATAAGCCTATACCTAATTTTAGTATAGGTTGGCTCGACAATTTTAAGAAACAACATTAGATCAAAAACCACGTCAGCATGGCGAAGCAGGTTCAGTTCTTACAAGAGCAGAAGACGAGATGAAGGCAATTTAAACGCTAGCAGGAGATTTCAAAGAGGAAGATATACATAACATGGATGAAACAGGGCTTTACTAGAGGATGACACCGTTGAGGGGACTCTCATCACAAGGAAGGTCCGGATTGAAGAAAGACAAGGCACGCATTACTGTTACAGTTTGTACTACTCGAGTAATGCTATAGGTTTAGACTGGTTCCGACCTTGGTTTATTAGCAATGTAATGCTACACGCCTTACGACAAGTTAACGTTTCAATGATAGGAGGAGAGTAGAGATGGAACAAGAAGGCATAGATGAATCAATATATCATAGCGGAGTGGTTACAGGCCTTTTACCTCCACATACGAAGCTCTAGATCTGTACTCCTTATAATAACAACTCTCTATTCACATTGTAGCTATTAAAGAAATCATCCTCCTCTAAACATACAGATTATTTAGCTACCTCTAAACTTAACAAGTCGATTCCAACCACTCGACCAAGGCATTATAGCTTCTCTAAAAGCTCATTACTGTTGACAATGGCTTGAATTCATGCTTACATCATTTGAGAAGAACAACAACCCTCTTGATCCACTTCGCACTTCACTAGTTAATTCGCGCTTAGTATCACAATGTTACAAATACAACTATCTATAACTGTTTCTGTAAAAGCACTATAGTTGTTTAACTGTTACAGCTCCCTCTTAAACCTCTCCCTACACTAAGCAACCTATACAATCAAGTTAGCAATGCTAGGCATATTCGCAATGCTATAGACCTTGCAAACTTCTTAAATCCAGCTAATGAATCAGTATAAGAGGAGGCAAATAATAGTGATGATATATTACAAGACGTTATAGCACAATATATTTAGGATACTCAAGATGACAAAGAGGGAGAGCAACCTAAACAGCTGATATACTCTATAGAAGCTGCTTAACAGGCTCTACAAGTTCTAATTAAGTATACTAAGTCTAAAGATGGGGTTGATACAGCATATTTATGCTCATTTGAGCAATTTAAACAGTTATTAAGGTCTAAGGGGGCCGCTTAGCTGTCACAGGGCACATTGGACTAGTAGATGATGTAATAGCTTAGCAAATTTAATATCTCGGTTTTCTTAATAAGTCTATATATTTTAGCTGCCTATAATGTATCGGCTTAGCACGACTCCACTATACCTTGGACATATCAATACCTCTGACACTTTTACTGAATTTCCTACCCTCTAACTTCATAACACGTTTTTTCCACCTTTATTATGCTAGTAATTACCTAAGAAGCAAAAATTATTCTAGCTATTAAGGCTATCTAAACATCAGAAAAGCTAAGTCATCACAAGGCTACTAAGCTCTATGAAGTACCTCATTCTACATTCTATAACAGAATGAACAGCTAAACTACTATCTATAAATGCTAGCCTACAATGACAAAATTAACTATGCTAGAGGAGGAGGTGGTTATTCAGAATATACTTAATATGGATTCAAGTGGATTTGCACCCTAGCTTACTAGTGTAGAAGATATAGCAAATTTTAATCTCAAATCACATAGAGGGAAGCGCATTAGGAAGCTCTAGGCCTACTGATTTGTACAACAACGCCTAGAATTAAAGACGCATTTTAATCGTGTTTACGATTTTCAAAGGGCCTTATGAGAAGATCCTAAGCTAATTAGCATGTGGTTTCAACTAGTAGAAAATATAAGGGCAATAGTGTTTTAGACTGTGTATAACTTTGATGAAACTAGGTTTATAATGGGTGTAATTTGCCCTGTAATGGTTGTAACCTATGTAGATCAACTTGGTAGAGGCAAGGCAGTTTAGCTAGGGAATCGGGAATAGGCTACTACAATTGCTTGTATTAACAGTGAAGGCTGGAGTATTCCTCTATTTTTGGTAGTTAAAGGCAAGAATCATCTTGCAAATTAGTATATATGTCATACTGACATTCGTTGCACTCAGTTTGCTATCAAACTCAAGAGCAAACTTAGAAATCTCCTCCTCAAACCTACAAGTCACCATACATATCTTGGCTTATCACACCAACAACAGAAGCAATACTACTCAACGATTGCTGCAAACTCTTCTACTACATCTGTTTATGCTACATACATCACGGCATATCATTTGAACACTCATTGAACAAGTTATTAAGAAAATCTCCTCCTTAAGGGGGTGGGCCAATACTACCACATGGCATATATCTACCAACTAGAGGCCTAGGAACATGAACGATAGCTCTAGAAGCTTCTACAACCCTCTATGATTCATTACACGTCATCGCTCCTTAGTTACCCACAAGATTGGTTAAGTTATGACATAATTTATCTATAGGTACTCTGACCTTGGACCTCCTTTTCACTTCCTATAGGCTAGGAACCCAAGAGATGGTTCTATGGAATTCTCTTACGTTCACTACATGATTAGCAAGCTAGTTGTGGGTCGCACTTGATTTCTAATACATTTACCAAGCCTGGTTAGTCATGGAAAGTCATGGAAAATGAGAGAACTACACTCCTTTGGCATAAATAGGATTGCCCTTTCCTTAAGAAAGGGCAAGCAGGCAATACAGTAAATCGACTAGCACATACTTCTACGTCTTTTCCAAGCTTCCAAGCATTGATCTTGTTATTCTCTGTTTTTGAAAAGTCAGTGAGGTGCTAACCTCTGACTTACCCCTGAGTTCTCAGACTCAACATTTGTTGCAACTTGTCTAAACCACTTCACCACATCATACACCTGATTGCTGCGTTGTGGAATAGTCTAAGCTACAACCCTTTGGCTCTGTTTCCTAAGACAGTGTGTTGTCTTAGTAAATTCATCCCTTCCTTGGGTGGCTAGATTCTCATATCTGGTGCACCCACCATTACAATATAGATGGCAGCCTTCTATACAACTAGGTAGTTAAACCAACAAGTAATAGATAGACGAATAATGAGATGGGACTAGAATGGTTGAAACACTTTGACAAACATACTGCTGTTTATATAAGGGGTCTATATTAAATGATAGTGTTAGATGGGCATGAGAGTCATGAATCAGCTGAGTTCTAAGAGTACTATAAGGCACACAACATTATAACTCTTAGACTACCTCCCTACTCATCTCATTTAACCTAGCCACTTAATGTCAGGTGCTTTAGTGTATTAAAGCAGGCATATGGTCAGTAGATTAAGACCTTTATTAAGGCTTATTGTAACGCTGACTTCTAAACGATAGAAGACACAGAGGTTCTCTTGCGTAAAGGTTTACTTATCAGAGGAGGCAGGGGATCAGACACAAAGGCTTCAAGTAACACGTTACTAGTATATAACAAATACTGTATTGAGTTGAGCACGAAGCTCCTATCTAAGGAAATACTATCTACTTATATAGTGGCGTCGTGCCTAGTGGACTCTTGGGAACTCACTCGAGTCCTCGGAGTCCTGAACTCTTAGGACTCTTCTCATCATCCTGCGAGTCCATCACGTGCCTAGTGGACTCCTGGGAACTCACTCGAGTCCTCGGAGTCCTGGACTCTTAGGACTCTTCTCATCATCCTGCGAGTCCGTCACGTGATACTTTCGGAACTACTATTCCCCGCTGCCCCTCCAGGTACCAGGGCCAGTCTCATGCGACCTCCCTCCTTCCTGTCCTGTAGTTGGCCAGCCTTCTTGTTCCGTCGTAACACTTATATCAACCACATTACTAAGGTTGAGTTCTTTCTTGCCTTTAGAGCAGCATATCTAGAATCAATGACAGCCTAAAATGCCTAGGCTAGGTTTTGTAGAGCTAGCTTAGTGCCTTTCGATCCGTAAGCTGTGATTTCAAAGCTTGACGTGAAGTTATAGACTCTAACTCCTTCTAGACCATCACTGCTAATAGCAACCATTAGGTCTCCTAGACCCCTTCTAATCCTACTGAAGCTCTTTCATAAACAACTCTTGTTCAAAATCGAATTGCCTGTTACTAAGGAAGCTTGCTAATCCCAATCTTCAGAATAGTTATTGCGTTAGCAAAGGTTACAGAGAGACTAGCACATAAGAACACCCTTCTGTCTGCTAAGTTACGTACCCTTCAAGCAGCTAACAAAGCCCTTACCAAATGCCATAGGGCTAAAAAGGCTCATGTCTATGAAGGAGGTGCACTTATAGTTGAGGATGCATAGGATATTATCACACAGAAGGATGTGGAGCAGATATGACATGATGTACGTGCGGTTAGGGGTAGTCGTAAGGAGGGGCAACTGTCTAGGCAATGTTGTAGGATCTGTGGAAAGCTAGTCATAATGCGCGAACTTGTCAAGAAGCTATAGATATGTCTAGTTCATCTGATTCCGCTTAGTTATAGTTAATTTAATATGTTATGGTTGATTTATTAATATTCAAAGTTGAATGCCAAGGAAAAGTGTCCGAGGTACTGATATGTCTGACGTATTAATAAACCACGTTATTTATTTTTATTTTTATTTTTGTATTATTTTTGTTTTTGTAGGTCAAGAAAATTTCTCTTAGTCAGTCAAATGCAATGACACCTAGTGACGACCCATCGGATGTTTTTTTTGTTTTTTGTTTTTTGTTTTTTGTTGGACATGTGGCTTACCTAATGCGGTCCAATGACGATGGGGAGCCCCAAGCTATTTTTTTGGCTGGTGTTTTTTGCCGCCGTTTGCCGTATTTTGTATATCCGAATTCTTCCCTGTCTGTTCGCAGAGCTGTGCATGGAACAACCGAAACCTGGAGATCACTCACTGCACTATTCCCTTTTCCTTCCTCCCTATCTCCACCTTCCGTCATCCTTCATCTTCATCTTCATCTTCATCTTCATCTTTAGAATCCCTCTGTACGATACTGTACTTACCCGTGGCTGTTTTCGTCAAGGATATTAAATTTAATTCCGCCGCGCATCTATCACGTTCACAGATACAATCACGCGACCCTTGTCAAAGACGAAAGAACCCGATATCGAAGAAGTCTTTGCGATAAAGGTCTTCATCCTCTTCTGTCGCATACGAGACAAACAACCTCGCAGAATCACAGAATCGCAGAATCGCTTCATCCATCGTCTAATGTCTGCACCTCACCATGGCCTTCAACTTCAACTGGTCGCCGCTGACGGCAGACGCCGAGTTCTACCTGCGCGCGCAGGAGATGCTCACGACCGCGCTCAATAAGAACCCGAAGCCTCCGATTATCGTCGATGATATCCTCGTCAGCGAACTGAATCTGGGCTCCGTCCCGCCGAATCTGGAGATACTGGAGATTGGGGATCTTGCCGAGGACCGGTTTCGCGGTATCTTCAAGATGTGCTATTCCGGCGACGCCTTCTTGACTCTCAAGACACGAGTCCAGGTACGCTTGCTTCCTGCTTCTTGCTTCCTGCTTCCTGCTTTCTACTCGGTTTTTCTCGGGATATTACATCTATGCGCGTTTCGCAATTTTTCTTCGCGATGACTCTCGATGTGGATCCCCAGGATGCGCGCTCATTTCATTGTTTCATCCACCCCGCGCAGCAAACTATAACGTGAGGCTTAATACATCAACAAACAGGCAAACCCGATGAATACGTACCTATTTTCAAAACCATCGTTTACTTCGCCACAACCTCTAGCTGCATCGTCTGGATTAACGATTCCCTTGAAAATCACCTTATCGGATATCAAGCTATCGGCCTTCATCATCCTCGTCTTCTCCCGCCAAAAAGGGTTGACGTTGGTGTTCCGCAATGACCCGCTAGAATCCATCAAGGTCTCGTCGACATTCGATTCCATACCGTTCGTGTGCGAGTACCTCCAGAAAGAGATCGAGATACAACTGCAGACGTTAATGATGGAAGAGCTACCCGCCATCATCCACCGACTGTCGCTCCGACTGTGGTGCCCGGAATATGCTGCGAAGGAAGAGGAAGAACGACTGGCAGAGGAGAAGCTAAAGGAAGGCGAGGTTGCGACCGACCCTCTCGCGAGCCCACCACAAGATGCCGTCGACTCACACGGGAACGTGTTTGATTCTCGTGAGATATCATCGCTATCTCTTGAGGATGGCGTTGAAGGCCACTCGCTATTCTCGCAAAAGAACCTCCTTCGACTGGGCGTGCTGAGCGACTCACAACGCACCTTCTCCCTCTTCACACCCGCCATCCGCGACGCAGTCTTCCGAGCATGGGCCGGCCCAGGCGATCGCGGCGACGGTTTGGCGATCACCCCCCCCACCCTGATGCGGACCCACTCGGCCGTCTCCAACGGTGCTACAACCTACACCTTCTCCGACCATGAGAGCGAAGGCAGTCTCCCCCCTTCGCGCCCCTCTCTCAGCCACCTTCCCTCCGCAACAACTGGGCTCAGTCTAGGCGCCGGCCGCCATCGCACTCACGGCCGCAAGAAGCGCCACCGCGTCGTCAACCTACGTAAGCAGGTCCTGAACGACACACTCAGCGAAGGCGGTGACTCCGAGATCACCGACACCGATTCCTCTGTCATGGGCGGCTCCGAACCGATCGTGTCCACGCGCATCACCGAGACGCCAGACGAGGAACCCATCACCCCACCCCACTCCCCACAAGTCCGCTTCCGCCCCCGCCTGGACAGCATCGACCTCGGCGAGACCCCGCGCACCGTCCGTCAAGTCCCACCCCGCGCCGCCGCACCCGTCCCAACCACCGCCCACACCGCCCTCGCCAACGCAATGGACACCCCCCTCCCCTCCATCGAGCCTGCGTCCCCCCTCTTCCCACAACAACGCACAGCCCTCCAGCGCGCCTTCCCGCGCGAGAAGTCCCCCAGCGACTACATCCGCCGCGGCTCGCAGATGAGCAGCCTCAACAACTACTCACTTTCCCCGTATGAGGGTGCCGCACAGGGCGGCATCATCGAGCAGGCGTGGACGATGAGCATGGCAGCTGAGCTAGCGCGGCGCGCGCACCTGCGCAAGCAGGCTGATGGGAGTGAGTGGGGCAGCGAGAGGCGCGATGAGACGCCTCCTCCAGCTTATGGGGTGTGAATGAAGTGTTGCCGGGCTGATGGGTTGTGTTTTGAGATTGTGGGGACTTTCTTTTAGCGTTGAGCGAGTTTAGCTTGTCGAGCTTTGACTTTGCTCCCCATCACCACTCTTGGGAAATACGGCGTTTTTTGTGTGTTTTAGCTAGCGATTTTTCTTTACTAGCATTTCTGTTTCTGATTTTTTTTTTCTTTTTTCGAGGGGCGTTTTTGGGGAATTTGGGTAGGTCCAGGAATTGACCGGACTGGGATGTCTGTCTGTCTTTACAAATTATGGGATAACACCGGCGTGTGCTCCTAGAGGGGAGGAAATGATGAATTGGGGTTATTTTGTGTGATATGGTGTACAAAAGGGGAAAATTATGGGTTATTGGATGGAGGAGGGGACTTGGTGTATATTTTTATGGAGGATGGGATGGTAGATTGGGGATGTGCTCGAAGATAGAGCAGCTGGAGAGAGTGGAGAGTGATACTCAATGAAGACGTTGTACACTGTATTCCACGCTTTGTATCAGTATATGTGACAGTAACAAATGCACAGAAGCTCTACAAGTAAATCACAGCATATCCGAAGCAGAAAAGTATTCCAGATGTGGTATTTCATTGTGCCTACACAACCCATACAATACACCCCACCCAACGCCCATATATCTATATATATTCAACGCCAAAGCTCCAATCCTTAAATTTCCCCCTTTCCCTTTCCCCTTCCCCATTCTTCTCAACCCCCCCCCCCCCTTTACTGCGTCGAAAACAACGTATCCTCATCCCTCAAAAACTCCCCACAATCCGCCTGCCTAAACGCCGCAATGCCCGTCGGATCCAACCGTCTCGCCTCCTGCGTGCTCCTCGCCGTGACCCCGAAACCCAGCGGCGTATCGTTCATGCTGTACACCACGATGCCCTGGTGCTCGGGGCAGTCCTCGGACCACCGCCCGACGTGCGCTTTGAGGATGTGGCCGCCGTAGAGGAAGGGCATTTCGCCGTTGGGCTTGATCCAGAGCTTGTGGCGGGCGTGGGCGGCGAGGATGGGGAGGGCGGTGATGTGGAGGCGGAATTTTAGGGTTTTGGTGAATTTGCCTGGAGGGGGGTTAGCTGGGGGCTTCTTATTGTGTTATGCTTGAATGGGAGGGTGTGGGGAGGGGAAGGGGGATCGCGCGGAGGGAGGCAGCATGGGGTGAGGTGACATACCGAGACAGGTCCCGAGCGACAGCAGCTGGTCGCGCGCGATGGAGGTGGCCAGATTGGCGATGGAGAGGAGGACGTAGTAGCACCGCGACTGGTGGAGGCGGAAGACGTAGCGGTCTCCGTTGGGGGAGTTGTCGAGCGGAGCGATGAGGTTCTTGAGCGAGGTGCCGGTGTAGTTTGCCAGCTTCGCGAAGAGGACCTTGGTCTCTTCTTCTGTGAGGGCGCGCATCTTTGCGGCGTCTGGGTGCGCGGCTGGGAGTTGGTGTGTATATGGACGTCGATTGACTGTGCAGAGTATGGATATTATTTTCTCTCCGGCGTTGGGGGGGGTGGAGTGGTTTTGGAGCTCGGGTTTTGCAGATTAGAGTTTATCTTTTGGGGATCTCTGGCGAACTTTTTTTATGCGGGGAAAGTTTTCTGCGAGGGCCCGTATTATTTTCCGGGCGGAACGTCGACCGCAAAACTTTAGTGCCTCGAGAAATTATCGAAATTTCGATATCTCGACGCCCAGAACCAGCATTTATTTCTCAATACCTGAGAAATAGAGATGTCGAGAGCACCGGCCGTTAAGAGGCGCAAGCTGTCGCCGCAGCCTGGCGAGAGTGAAAGTAGGGCCGAGAGAGCGGAATTGAAGAAGAAGTCGACGAAGGCTTTCTACGACCAAGCCTCGAGCTGGGATTTAGAGCAGGATTATGAGACGAGGCCGAGGAAGGGGGGGAAGAAGGATAAGGAGAACACGAGGTTGCCAATTAAAACCGCAGATGGCATGGTCCAGGAGCTTGAGGTGGCAGAGGAAGATGACGAGAGCGATCTTGCTTGGTTGAGCGAGGGCGAGTCGGAGCCAGAGGAGAAGCCGGAGAAGGAGAAGAAGCCGGAGAAGCCAATGCGACAGCAGATCATGGAGGCAAAGGAAGAGCTTGCAAAGATTGCGCTGCTGCTGAACGAGGACCCGGAAGAGAATGCCGCGGCGTTCAAGACCTTAGCTGCGATCGGGCAGTCCAAGACTACGACTATAAAAAAGCTGGCGCTCGCGACGCAGCTGGCTATTTATAAAGATATCATTCCCGGGTACAGGATACGACCGCTCAACGAGGATGATATGGAGACGAAGGTGTCGAAGGAGGTACGGAAACTACGAGCCTACGAACAGGCGCTCGTGGGAGGGTATCAGGCATACATTAAAGAGCTGGCGAAGCTCGCACAGTCTGGGAAGGGAGGATGGTCTAGAGATGGTGGGCCGAGCTTGGGCAGTGTCGCTATTGCCTGCGCCTGCACGTTACTTACATCGGTGCCGCATTTCAATTTCAGAGGCGAGCTGTTGAAGATCTTGGTTGGGAAGTTGAGCACGCGAAAGATCGATGCGGACTTTGTCAAGTGCCGTGAGACGATTGAGACTCTCTTCCGCGATGATGAAGATGGAACTCCTTCTCTGGATGCCACGGCCCTCCTCACAAAGATGATGAAGGCTCGTGGATACCGTGTCGACGAATCCGTCCTCAACACCTTCCTCCACCTCCGCCTCCTCACCGAGTTCTCTTGGAAAGCAAGCACGAACCACATCGACCGACCATCCAAGGCCGAGGGCGGTTTCGAAGCCGCCAACCAGCTCAAAGCCAAGCGTGTCTTCCGCACCAAGAAACAGCGAAAGATTATGAAGGAGCAGAAAGTCATCGAGAAGGAAATGGTCCAGGCAGACGCAACCGTCTCGCACGAGGAGCGCGACAGGATGCAAGCCGAGACCCTAAAGCTCGTCTTCGTGACCTACTTCCGCATCCTGAAGATCCGCTCCCCGAACCTCATGGGCGCCGTGCTCGAGGGCCTAGCCAGCTACGCCCACCTCATCAACCAGGACTTCTTCGGCGACCTCCTGGAGGCGCTCAAGGACCTAGTTGGACACGCCGAGACGGGCGATGACCTTGACATGACTAACGAGGATGATACCGTACCTGACGACTACGACGAGGAGACAACCCGCAACCTCACCCGCGAAGCCCTGCTCTGCATCATCACCGCCTTCGCGCTTCTCGAGGGCCAAGACGCCGCTAAGGCAAAGACAACCCTCTCCCTCGACCTCTCCTTCTTCATCACCCACCTCTACCGCACCCTCCACGCCCTCGCGCTGAACCCCGACATCGAGCTCAGCTCCAAGTCGCTGCGCCTACCCGACCCCAACGCCCCGCACCAGAGCACCAAAGACAACAAAGTCAACGTGCACACGACCACCGTGCTGCTGCTGAAATCGCTGTCGTCGGTGCTGGTGCCTAAGCAGGGCGCGCGCGCGGTGCCGCCCCTCCGCGTGGCGGCGTACACGAAGACGCTGTTCACGAGCACGCTGCACCTGCCGGAGAAGTCGGCGGTGGCGATGATGGGGCTGCTGGGGAAGGTGAGCAAGACGCACGCGACGAAGGTAAGGTCGCTGTGGAATACGGAGGAGAGGAGGATGGATGGAGTGTTTGAGGCGCTCGCGGGGGAGGTGGAGGGGAGTAACCCGTTTGCGGCTACGGTGTGGGAGGGGGAGTTGCTGAGGAAGCACTTTTGTCCGGGGGTTAGGGAGGGGTTGAAGGCTGTGGAGAAGGAGGTTGTGGGGAGTAAGTGATGGGTTGGGGTCGTGGCGAGGAGTGAAGGGATGGGTTAGTTTTACATATGATATGTAGTTGGGTAAACCAGCGCCAGTTGCCCTACATTCCAGCTTCAAATGTGTGAGGCGCCAAGTTTATTTGCGAGATCCTGTCAAGAGTAAGAGCGGAAGCAGTGACGCGTGGTTATGGCTTTGGGGGCTCGGGAGTGCGCGCATGATCTTCGCCGGTTCTAGGTCTTTCTCGGCGGCATTCCTGGGAGCGGCCCCTTTTCGGGGATTACGCACTCGTGAGTGCATATTAAGAGAGAATAACAAGTGAGTAGAGTAGCTGAAGGCCTCCTTTATACATAACGATATATATATCCTGCTGTGGTTCTATAGATCGGAAATGCTGAACCTGCAGGTTCGGGAAAGGGCAATGAAAGTTTCGAGTGAATCAAATAGATGGAAAACAAATATGGTGACTAGGGAGTCGTGACGTACAGTATTTTCATCTCCCCCGCAAGCCTTATCTTCAGGAGTTGGGCAGTAGATTAATATACTCTGAAAAGACTATTTCACATACTATTTTGCCCCCTCTATTGAATATTTTAAAAGGGTCCACCGTGGTGAATATCTCGAACAAAGAGTTTGCTGAGAGGTTGGCAGTTTTCACCCTGCTGCAGGTGCTGGTACAGTCTTCCTCGCTAAAGCCTTCTCAGCGTTGGAGCTCGTAATGTCGCACCCCTTCTTCCACGCCGCCAACCCCAACGCGTTATATGTCCCCGGCTACGCATCTGTACGATTACTGGACTGGCAGTGAATAGTTCTAAGTATTAACCCATCCATCAAGTTATGCTGCCCTCGACTAACACCCGTGCAGACGTTGCGAAAACACGGCGGCGAGCCAAGCCAGGGGCGACAAGCGATGCGACGATGAGTACGAATCCCAGACACACGCGAACGGCCGCGACCAACGGACCCGACGCCGACCGCACCACGCGGGCAACCTCAACAGAGAAATCGCGCGCGGCGAAAACGTTCCTCGATAACTGGGTCGAGCCGTCGCTGCCACCACCTGCGCCCAGCTTCACGGATCACCTGCACCTGAGCATCGAGCGGTACGGCGTGCTGGAGAACATGGTGCCCCTGGGCACGATGCCTACGGCGAAGGCGAAGAAGATAGGCAAGGACACGCCACGGAGGGCGGTCAAGGCGGATGAGTCGGAGGTGGAGGCGTCTACGTCGCGCGAGCTGGTGACGCCAGAGCCCCAGATCAACATCATCAGGAAGCGATCGCAGTCCGGGAAGGCGGACGACGAGGATTGGAACCCGAGTACGCCCAGCGCGCAGGCTAGGAAGAGCGCGACAAAGACCAAGCAGAGTGCTGAGGCAGGAGCGATGATGTCGCAGTCGCCGCATCACAGCAAGGAAGAGAGGGACATGTTCATTACAGACAGGGCTGTGCAGTTTGCGGTCGAGGATGCTATATTGGATTACAGATGGCCTACGGCGTACGCATTACGGACTATGTACAATGACCACAGGATCAACCCGCGCATCCGCCGGCTTTTCATGCTCATCTTTACCGACCAGGCTACGAAGGAGGAGAAGACCGAGTTCCAGTGTCTGATGACCTACAAGAAGAAAGAAGGCGCGAAGGACAACAAGGCCCAGCGTTACTTTGACGAACACGACAACCTTTATTCACCCGTGAACCTGTTCCAGAAGTCTTGGAGTTTCAGTGGTGCTTCAAAGAGGGCTTCTACAGAAGTGGCAAATCGTGCATCGGCGTCCCCACACAAAGATACGTCTCACGTAAGTAAAAAGGCAAAAGTCGGCCACGCCCAGCAAGCCGGCAGCCACACCACGCCTCACATTCACCTTAATGTGAGCGGAAGCAGCAGTGCCAGTGGCAAGCCGGCCGAGATGAATGGAACATCCAAGGGCAAGCCGGCAGTTTCTACCGCGACACGGAGCAGATCGGTGTCGAGCAGCTCATCGCTATCATCACTTGATGAAGCCGTCCTCGAAAGTGAAATGGCCGATATTTCGGATGAGACGGCCCAAGGCGAGGAAATTAGTGAGATGAGCCATGGCACCAAAGCGCTGAGGACGCGGCGGGAGGAACCCAGTCGTTCTGCCGAAAAGACGGCGCGCAATCAAAAGGCCAAGCAACCAATTACATGGCATTCAGCGCACGCCCCAAGGCCAAACCCGCACACCTTCACTGCTGTCAACACTAAACCTCCTGCTGCATCAACACCATCATCACCTCCTGCTCTCTTCCCCAATTTATCGTTCAACGCCAACAATCGCAACGGCACCGGCGACAACGTGATGCGCCCGTACCTTGACGAGAACTACGCTCTACCCCAGTCCCTCTCGCTACCACCGCAAAATCTCGTGCGCTCTCACAAGAAGGGCGCCGCTGCTGCGCTCCGTCGCATCACGACACCTCGTGACGAGGAAATTATTCGTCGCAAAAAAGAAGCCAAGGGCAGGACCGACGGCGCCATTTCCACGCGCCAGAGCTTCGTGCGGACGCCGGTGCAGGGGCCTGATTTGGGGTCAGGCAGCGAGGCAGGTGATGGGGGCGCGGCGGGGGTGTCGCAGCCTACCACGCGGCAGGTGTTACGTTTTAGGCGGAGGAATCGCGACGATGAGTCGGATAACCACAGCTCGCCGACGAGACTGTCATTTCAACTTGACCTGGCGCCGGGATCTACGAGGAATTCAAGGGCGAATACGCCGATTGCGGGAGCGAGACCAACGCGGAAGGCAAAGAGTTTAGGAGCACGGATGAAGTCATCGTAAGTCACCATGTTTACTTGTCTCATCAACCTTTTGTTGCTTCATCGCATTATTATCCACTTTACGCTATGTTGGTAAGCATTTGGTGTATTGGGAGCTATGGGGGGATTTTATCTGTTTTTTTCCGAGTTTTTCTCTCCTGTTGGGCGGTGTGTTCTTGGGTACTGCTGGTATAGCTGGCGGCGGCTTTTCAATGTCGTCGTCGCTGCTACCACAGTACCCGCCGGTCATGGGCGACATAGTCGCTCATTGGCCGCTCAAGACTCGGCGGTCCTTCGCGGAACTGGACGGGGCGTTTACCTTCCCAAAAGCTTCGCCCACGCGTCTCTTATTTTCTCTTGCTCCCTTCTCCCTCTTTCTGGCGACCAAACTTCAAGTACAAAGGAGAATCATTCTATCATTGCTTTGCACTGAATACCACACATGCATTGATTGCTTTTCTCTTTCTTCTATACAAGCTTACAACTTGTTCTCGTTTTGCTACAAGCTTTCAACATTCACAATGCCGGCCAAGAAGAAGCAAAAACTAACAAAACGTGAACTTAGACCAAAAAAGAACCCCCAAGGAACTTCCGCTGGTATCCCAAGAGCCAGTGGGCAAAGAGACAGTCCTGTATCAGGTGGCCCAGGAGTCAACTTTGTAAGTTTAAGACCTATTATATCCTCCCTTGCCGTGTCTATCATGTTACTCGCCCATCGCTCCGTGTGATGCCAATGTCTGCCTGCAGGCTTGGTTTCACCTTACAGCAGACATGCAGTGCACACCTGCACATACTTCAAGCCCTTATCTTCCCACACCAAAGGCCAGCAACCCAGATGAAAGAACACCAAGCTAACATTATCCAGGACGAAAACGATGAATACTGCTCAGCATGTGGAGGCAACGGCGACCTCGTCTGCTGCGATGGATGCACCAGAGCATTCCATTTAATCTGTGTCGACCCTCCAATGGAGAGTGTTAGCCAGTTACCACCAGACTGGTACTGCGTCTCCTGCGGTTCCCTCCGCACCGGCCCAGGCGCCACCCACCGTCGTCGCGGCTTATTCGGTGAACTCACCATGCTCGTCGAGAAGCGCAACCCCTCCGCCTTCCACCTCCCCTTCTCCATCAGAGACTGGTTTGAAGGCGTCCGCACCGGACCAGAGGGCGAGTATGAAGAGGGTAACCCTCCGAAGAAGTAAGTGTCCCCCCTCCCCTCTCCCCTCTCCGATCTGACCCAAACTAAACTAACACCCCACCCCCCAGAAAGCAAGAAGAAGCCATCGACTTCCTCCGCCTCAATGACGCAAAGGGCAACCCCGTAATCTGCAACTCCTGCTCCCGCGGCTCCGGCGGCACCCTCGCCATCATCCCCTGCAGCTTCTGCGGCCTCCACTGGCACCTCGACTGTCTCGACCCACCTCTCGCCAACCCCCCCGCCATCTCCTCTACCCGTCCCTGGAAGTGCCCTTGCCACATCGACGACCTCCTTGATACCGTGCCTGGGGCGCTGGGGCCGGCTCACCGCTTCCGCCGCGTGAAGGGGAGGTCGGCGATTAAGCCCGCGCTGAAGAGGGGGATTAGGAATGATGGACATGTAGAGGTTGAGGTGGCGGGGAGTGAGGATGAGGAGGGGGAGGAGTTTTTTGAGGATAGGGAGTATGGGAGGGTGTATATGTTGCCGGAGAAGGGGATTATTCTGGATTTCATCTCACGGTATGTCTGTCTTTTTTTTTACCTTTCCCATTCGCTTTCCTTTCTCCGTCACCACCCGCGTCTACTACTACTGTATAAGGTCAGTCGCAACTAACACACCCTAGTGTCCACACAAAACGCCGCACCGAAACAGCACTCACAGACCCCTACGCCGTCGCTCCCGCCCCACCTACCGCCACCACCACCGCCACCACCACCGCACAACCCCTCACACCCCGCAACATAGCTGACCAACAAGCAGCCCTCAACCTCGCGCAACTAGCGACGCAATCAGGCCACCCACCTACTGACAGCACGAACCAGCTCATCACCGCGCTGCTGACCGAAGCGGCGCCGGCGGTTATCGATCTGGTTGCGCGCGCTGATACGGGGGATATCACGGAGCGGGTGTTGGCGAAGATGGATGTGCAGGCGTTGAGGGCGGTGAGGGGGTTGATTGATGGGGTGTTGGCTGGGAGAGAGGGGAAGAGGACGAGGGAAGATGAAGGGGAGGTGGAGGGGGGGGATGAGAAGATGGTGGTTGAGGTTGAGAAGTGAGGGGGGAATAAGGGGGGTGTATCATATTGTATTCGTTTGGGGGAACTTTCCAGACGGAAGGGGGGATTGGAGATGAGATAAGATAAGATAGGATGACTGGGGCTGGGTTGAGCGATAGAAAGTTAAGATGGTTATGGGGGGGAAATAGGTTGTATCGGGGATGAATCGCCAAGTTAGGAGAGGGTTGAGGTGGGGGAAGTAAAGACAGTAGGAAGGATAGCAAATCCAAGCCTGAGAATGCATTTAAAAACTTCATGCAACCCATCTCCGTATCTATGTGACTGTGATGGCGAGCGTGCGGTGTCGGCGTGCATCTGGACTGCTGCTACTGGTTGTTTATTTAGCGTCGTGAGGTGCGAGGTGGTGAGCGCGCGAGGGGAGGGAGGGGAGGGAGGGGAGGGAGGGGAAGGGGGGAAGGGGAAGGGGGGAAAGGGGGGGATGATATATCCACTTGACGGACGGCCGTGATACGCGGTCTAAGGAAATAATCGTATCTCCTCGTCCGGTTTGTGGGTGGGATTTGTGTGGATATGGAAAACACTGTGAGGATGGGGAAGGGAGGGGAAGGGCCGGGGGGGGTAGGTCAGGGGTAAGTCAGGGGTAAGTCAGGTAGTTAGTTAGTTGGTTAGTTGCTGTTGGTGGTAGATAGATGTAGACGCAATATGAGGAAGTGGTAGGGGAGGGAGGTATGTGAAAAAATAGTCTTTATACACCCCTAGAACGGCCTATAAACTCCCTCCCCCCCCTTTCACCCCCCTCTTCTCTCTCTCGGGTACGAATCCCATAAATCCACTCTATCTCCTCCCTCCCTTCGCCCCCTTTACCTCCCCCCCCACCTCCTTCCCATCTACTTCCCCTCACCTCCTATCTGCAAACCCCCATAATCAACATCAAATAGACAGTAGTCATCACCAATCCGATCCTCTAAAAGAATTCTCAAACAAAAAGGAAGAAGAAGAAGAAGAAATAATAGAAACGGATGTAATAAAAGGTCTTGAAATCTCCCCACTCCCCACTCGGTTTCTCTCAAGAAAAATAGGACAATACATATAACCCCCACTTGCGCTCTGCCTAGTTGGATCACTACCACACATCCACATATCCTCTCAATCCCACAATCCCTCCTATCCCCCATCCATCCATCCAACCCCTCCGACCCCCCCAATCCCCAGCACCACGCTAACCACACCATCCCTAAGCCCAGTCCAATTGAAGAAGTATAAAAAACGTAAGAAGAAGAAACTTGGTACACAAAAAAAACCACAAAATACACAAAAGAACTCCTTCCCCATCCCTGAACCCCTCAAAAAGACTCCTACTAAAAAAGATGTGCCATGCACCTTTTAAAGTGTGAAAATACAGTTATTTTAATGAACCCATCCGAATCCATCTGGATGCAATCGAAAACCGAGATCCTGACGGCGAATAAGGCTGGCAAGATGTCCAGCGAGCGAGCGGGGTGGGGTGAGAGATCAGCGTTGCTGCGATCGATCCTTAGCACACATACATTCAAAGCTTCGAAAGAAAGAAAAGAAAGAAAGTTAACTCACACGTCCCCTCCTCCCCTGCCCCTGCCCCCCATACGTTCCCTGACCGACCTGTCCACCCACCGGCTGCTGTCCCGCATACCCATACACCCCTCCAAACTGTCCCATCCCCCCAATCTGTCCCATCCCCCCAATCTGTCCCACACCCCCCAGCTGCCCCCCGGCATGCCACCAATCTGTCCCAACCCCCCAAGCTCTCCCGGCTGTCCCATCCCTTGCGACGCAGCCCCAACGCCCTGATACGGGTACCCGCCGAACCCACCAATCGGCGCCCCCCTAACCAATAACTGATTATACCCCCCCACACCCGCCGGCATCGGCACCCCAAACGACTGGGGAATCGTGTACCGAGAGGGGTAAGGGAGTGGTTCGAGGCTGGGTGTGCGTTGCATGTCGTATAACGGGTGTGGGAGGGGGAGGGGGAGGGTGGGTTGTTGAGTGTAGTACTGTGGGTACTGCTGTAGCTGTTGCTGTTGCTGCTGTTGGGGGAGAGTTTGCTGCTGCTGGTGATGGATGTGATGTTGCGGTTGTGGGGAGTGTTGCTGCTGCTGCTGTTGGCGTAGATCAGCGTGGTGATGTTGCTGCTGTCCGCCGCCGCCACCATTCGCCTGCGCCTGGGTTTGAGGGGCAGAGCGAGGCGCGCGCTCCTGGGAATGCGTATGCTCTCTCGGTCCTGTACTCCCGTTACGGGTAGGCAGGCCTACTTCATCCATCAACCTCTTAAATCCCTGTCCTGGCTGAGCCTTGAGTTTGACGAGGACGTTGCGGATATTCTCGACGACTTGGGCGCGGATGCTTTCATCGAAGAAAGGGGTTGTAAGGACCTTGAAGATCAGTGTTGGGCCGCAGATGTGGTCGGTTAGTATGTCTTCCAGCACCTGGTTGTCAGGGGAGAAGAAGAGCGCTTGGAGAATGATATCACGCGCCTCGGGCTCGTTGCGCTGGTTGATTACTTTCACCACCGTGAGGTACGCAACCTTGTGCGTGCACAGGTGCACTAAATGCGGCACCAAACGCGGCGCCAGCACAGTGCGGCGCTTGGGGAAGGTACACGTATCGAGCAGCCAAGTGAGCAGAAGGGCCCCATTAGCATTAGCCGCCAACTGCACGCTATTGAGGGCAATAGCCGCCGCCAGAATGCGCTGCTGCTCCCTCGTCGCATGATGACTCTCTAGACACGCGCGCATAGCCCTAGACCCATATCGACCCTGCGCAATCTCCCACATCTTCGTGAGCATGATCTCGAAGATGAAATCGTTGTACGGCGACCCGAAGCGGAGACAGCACTGGAGGACGTAATTCCCGAACTGGTCGAGGAACAGCGGGACGGTGTAAGGACGCACCGCCTCGACAATCATGGACATTTGTACGGGCATGCGGCAGACGTCGATGATCTTCTGCGCGGCCCAGGTGCCGTTCTTGTGGACGCCGATTTTAGCCATGTGCGGAACGATCTCGGCGAGCATCGCATCCCTCACCGGGTCGGAGCAGAACTCAAACAGCTTCTGCACGACCGTGTTGCCGAGGTAGTCGGAGGAGAGCTCGGCGACCTCGGGCAGCATCTCCATGGCGATGTTCTCGATCTCGGACTGCGACCAGCTGTTGTTGTCGATGCGCTTGCGGATGTCGCGCAGCTTGGGCGCGTCGTGGATGCGGTTGAGCGAGGGCTCGGCGACGGGGGGAATGTCGTTGTCGTAGCCGTCGTATTGGAGGGCCTGCTGGAGGATCACGTCGATCTTCTGCCTCTCCTCGTCTGTGGCGCTGAAGTCCTTGACGATGCTGAGGATCTCGCTGCGCATGTCTTGGAGGCGCGGCACGGTAGGGGGTGTGGTGCTAGGACGAGAAATAGCCCCTGCGTTTGCGGGCGTGCCGTTTCGCGATCTGCTCCCGTTCTCCTGGCCCTGCGAGAATGGATCCGGAGATGGGGAAGGGAAAGCGCCATCGTGACCTGGGGTGCCGTTCGAGGACGGTGGCTTGGCAAAGTTGATCCTGACGGGTCCAGCACCGGGGAAGATCTCCTTTCCATTCATCCTCGCCTTTGCCGAAATGGCACTCTCCAGGCGCTCAAAGTTGACAAAGCCACAGTTCTTGTGGGTCAGGACTCTCGCCGAGATGATGGCGCCGTGGGACTTGAACATCTCCGTCAGGGTCGAGGTCGTGGTCGACGACGGAATGCTGCCGAGCCAAAGGGCCCGGGTCGGTCCTTCCAGATTGGCCTCGTCGGCTGTGAGATGGGTCGAGCTAGTCTGGCCGTTGGTGTAGCCCAGGTTTAGCGCCTGGACTGCCTCTGGCAAGCCGTCGTAATCGGCCGAGTCCCTGAGATCAGCTACGCTAATGCTGTTCTCCAGACGAGATGAAGGGTAGTAGTTCCGCAGAAGGCCTCTTGGTCCCGGCGACTCAAGGACACCCGCGGTTCTCGCACGGGGCCGATTCGTCGACGCCTGGTTGGCAAAGGCTTGCACGGCAAGATTGTGCTGCTGGATCGCAGCGTGTGTCTGCGCAACCTCATAGTGCAGACGCGCCTGGTGTGCCTCATAAGGCGTCATGCTCCCAGTTCCATAGTCATCTTCCTCCTCATCGGCGTACTTCTCCGTTGCGTTCACCGAGTACGAGCGGAATCGGCTGGCCTGTCTATTCGCATCGATCATGTTCGCCAAGAACGGGTTAGCAGCAAGCGTAGCCCTCGGAGGCTGCGGGGTGTCTGCGAGTCCGAGGTAATCCAGCGTCCTCATCTGCATGTCATTCTCGCCAGTACCTTCCTTGGAGAAAGAAGACTGAGTGGGAGAGTTCGGCCCGTTCGATCCTAGACTCGCAATGCTCGCCAGCGTAGACGTCCTCTCCCGCCCCGACGTCCAGTTCGTCGAGAAGACAGACGGCCCAAACGGACCGCTGCCCGCCTGTGTCGTCGACGAGAAGTTGGAGATGTGCTGCGGTACCGATCCAGCCCTGAGACGAGACAGTAGCGCCGCATTGTTCGACGCCGAGCTGTTATCTCCAATCTCGCCCAAGCCAGGCGAGGGAGACTTGTATGGACTCGGCGACGGCGACGGACGAGAGGTCTTCGATCCGAGAGACGATAGCCCACCCAGTCCTCCCAGCGGAGCGCTGGGAGCGAACCGAGACGGCACCGTCCCTGCTCTCGCACGACGGCCCTGCGGCAGGCTCTCGGGGGTCGGCAGCTGTATGTAGTCCGGGAAGCCATCCGTCGGTGATTCGGGGATATTCTCACGGAGCGGAGTCGAGTTCCCGCTGGTCGGTGGTCCCCAGACATTGACCGGGACGCCCTCTTGTGCCTGGATCTCGCGAGCCCTGTTGAGAGAGAAATGGTCAGCACACATAATATATTTTTGTCAGGGCTAAGATGGGGAGAGTGGTGGTGCATACCTCTTTGAGAACAGCCTACTGGTACTACCAAGCTCGTGCGATGGAGAGCCAGCTCCGGAGCGCGAGTTGCCGGCCATCTTGCCGACTGAGGTCAGGCCAGGTGGGTTGCCGAAGGGTGATCTAGCGGAGGAGGAGGAATTGGGCAGCTCGATGGGCGATGTGTTCCCTGTGGATGAGCCTGAGCGAGGTTGGAGCATCATTGAGGGCGGCAGGTATCCCAGTGAAGGGTGCTCTGACCGCGAGGAAGCCATTTATATATAATTTGCAGCACCGGTGCTGTGTGCGGGTAGCAAAGGGTGCGGGTGGTGTGAAGTGAAGACTCCAAAAAGACGGCCAAGTTTGTTCCGGGCGTCTGTATGGTGGAGCAGCAGGGTCGAGGGAAGCCGTCTTGGGCAATTTCCGAATTAATATGGATGGAGTATTTAGGCCGGTCTGTCGTCATAAAGAGTTGTTGATAGCTTTTGGGGGATTGATTTCGGATGCAAGAGCAGTAGTGGAGTATAGTATGTATGTATAGCAAGGAGTAGTAAGTAGTAGTGTAGTAGTAGAAACAGAAACGGATCTATTAAAATAGTATGGATGGCGCCGGATGGGAATCGATGGACAGGAATCATATATTCCCCAAGGATTGGTCAGAGGAGGGAGGATTTTAAAATTTCGAAAGAAGTGAAGTTGAATTGGGAAGAAAGGGAAGCAGGATTGAAGGTGTGGTTGAAGGTTTGGGTGTGTGGGGTGTGTGGGGGGTGTGTGGAGTGTGTGGTGTGGTGGTGGTGGTGGTGGTGGTGGTGGTGGTGGTGTGTAGGTAGTAGAGTAGGTAGTAGAGTAGGTGGTAGAGTAGGTGGTAGAGTAGAGTAGGTAGTAGAGTAATTATAGGAAAGTAGGTAGTAGATTAGGTGGGTAGTAGAGTAATTATAGGAAAGTAGGTAGTAGATTAGGTGGTAGAGTAGAGTAGAGTAGAGTAGGTAGTAGAGTAGAGTAGGTGGTAGAAAAAAGGAGGTAGGTGGTACAGTAGGTAGTAAAGTAGGTAAGATTAGGTGGTAGAGTAGAGTAGAGTAGGTAGTAGAGTAATTATAGTAAAGTAGGTAGTAAAGTAGGTAGTAAAGTAGGTAGTAAAGTAGGTAAGATTAGGTGGTAGAGTAGAGTAGAATAGGTAGTAGAGTAATTATAGGAAAGTAGGTAGTAGAGTAGGTAGTAGAGTAGGTAGTAAAGTAGGTAGTAGAGTAGAGTAGAGTAGAGTAGAGTAGGTAGTAGAGTAGAGTAGGTAGTAGAGTAGAGTAGGTAGTAGAGTAGAGTAGGTGGAAAAAAGGAGGTAGTAGAGTAGGTGGTAGAGTAGAGGTAGTAGAGTAGAGTAGGTAGGTAGTAAAGTAGGTAGAGTAGGTGGTACTCCGTAGGTAGTAGAGTAATTAGAGTAGAGTAGGTGGTAGAGTAGAGTAGCTACTAGAGTAGAGTAGCTACTAGAGTAGAGTAGCTACTAGAGTAGTAGGTACAGTAGAGTAGGTACTAGAGTGATTGGGTTGTTCCTGGCGTGTGAACAGGGCAGCCATGCACTGAGGATGCAGATTTGCAGCGTGTACAGTTGAGTTCCAGCGAGTTAAAATAGCGTATGTACAGTGGAGCACAGTGCCAGTGCCGAGAGTACCTGTATTCTAGCTGCAAAATAGTGCATCAACAGCAACAAATTGACGGAGCGATTATTGTGTGGTGCGTGGTGTGGTGTGGTGTGGTAGTACAAGTACCGCCCGCACTAACCCAAGTACCCCTTGCCGCGCAGTCAGCAGCTAGGGTACCTGGAGTAAGGTTTAGAGGTACGAGGCAACCGTAGAGTCCTCGTATCGTTCCACCTTTGCTAACCCTGGGAAAAGGTACGCGTACGCTCTTTTTTGTCGTATTGTATGTCCTGTGCACCACTGTGCGTATGTGACGAGTAACTTGTCGATTGGCGGGCTGGGAGAAGGAACCAATTGGACATATATGTATGGGAGCGGAGCAGTCAATGCACTTACTAATATGCTGAGGTAGAGGGAGGAGGAGAGAAGGAAGATAGAGGGGAAGAGTGAGGGGAAGAGTGAGGGGAAGAGTGGGGGGAAGAGTGAGGGGAAGAGTAAGGGGAAGAATAAGGGGAAGAATAAGGGGAAGAATAAGGGGAAGAATAAGGGGAAGAGTAAGGGGAAGAATAAGGGGAAGAATAAGGGGAAGAATAAGGGGAAGAATAAGGGGAAGAATAAGGGGCAGGGAGGGCAGAGGTGAGAGTGAGGAGGGTGACGGTGACGGTTGACCACTGTGGTACTATCTATTATCCTATCTATTATGGGAAACGGAATCAGAAACGGACACGACGCCCGACCGAAAGAAGCCTTCTGCCGCCCGCTCAAACATCCGTCGTGTCTCCCCCTTCTATCGGCATCGGGGATAGTTGTGGTTGTCTTCTTGATAGCCTCCTGTCTTCCGCGTATCTCGCCTGGGGAGGTAGGGTTGGCGTCTTGGAATGGTCCAAGATGCTATATCTCAACCACGGCGGATGGTCAGCACTCGGTGAAGGCATACTCACATCTCAGATCCCTCCCTCCCTTCCCTCCCTCACTTCCCCATCCACTCAGTCAGTCCCCAACCCCCTCACTTCATCCAAACCCCTCCTCTCGTCCCATCGACACCGCGCTGAGACCGCGTGTCTCGCCCGAGAATAGCCTGCCGAGCGCGTCAGAATGTATGTTTCTCTCCGCGTTGCGTCTATAGACAGGGGAAGGGTATGGAACTCGACTGGACATCCACGCCTCTCCACAAACAGATCTCGGCGCGGAGTTGAAACACACGCCGCATGGACCCCGCGAGTCATTCGTGAGGCGGGGAGGGGGGAGATGAAACATGGCGTTGAAGACAGGGAGGCCAATCGCGGTGGGGTTTTGGATGTGAGTTGTTTTGCTATCTCTTTTGGGGACCTTGCAGAAGATGGAATGAATATGTCTCGATTAGAGGGATGGAAGGGCTAGAAAGAATAAAAGTGCTGGAAGCCTTGGAAATGTTAGAAGCAAGCTCAAAATAGATCAGAGCAGTAGGATCCCAATTCACCTCCAATTCCCTCCTGCGGTGCTGCGTGATACTATCCGTAACACAGATTAATTATATCCAAACCAGGCCAGAATCAATCCCATCTCCTCTCCCAATAATAAGTGCCCAAGCTGCAGGTACAAACTGTCTGTACAACACACGCACGAGCGCAGTATATATAGGTCACGTGACCTATATCACGTGACCTATATCGCCAACATTTAACAATTGGAACTCGGGTAGGCTTGGCGTTACTTGGCATACTTTATTCTTGTTGATTTGGGCACCTCGGAATATTTTTCTCAGCCTCAGCCTCGTGGTAGCGCCCTACACATCTACGAGTGACAACTAAGAACAGGGGCTTTTTTGTCAAGTTTGTTTGGCTTGTTTGGGATAGAGGCTTAGGTGCTGGATACGGCGCGAACGACTGGGAAGTGGACGATTTCGAAAGACGCGACGCCACGGCGCGGTTTGGGAGGGTTTGAGGACGCCCCGACGACTAGACGATATGGCGGACGAGGGGGGTAATGATACGGAGATGAGGGTGGATGATGTGGAGGATACTACGATGAAGATGGACGACCCAGTCGACACCCCCGCGAAGGTCGACGACGAAGCCGATACCCCGATGCGAACAGACGACGCAGCCACCACCCCCAAGCCAGACGACCACGATGACTCCTCCTCCTCCAGCGACTCCGATTCCGATTCCGACTCCGAACCCTCCTCCCCCAAAGAATGGCTAGCAACAAGTCGCCAGCGCCGCTCCACAGCCGGCAACCGCCTCTCGACCCTCCTCCAAGCCGCCGCCGCCGACGACGACCTCGAGCTCCTCTTCGCCGAAGACGAAGATGACGCCGGTTTCTCTGACGAAGGCGACGCCGCCTCAGATGTGCAGATGGACTCCTCCTCCGATGAAGAGGATGCTGGTCCCTCCGCTCCCGGCGCGGAAGATCTCGAGGGGGAGGCGGAACTTCAGAGAATCGCGAAAGCGGAGAGGATTGCTAAGAAGAGGAAGGCTGCGTCGGGGATTCCGGCGGCGTTGAGGAAGAAGCCTCGCGTGGCTGACAGAGCGGAGACGGAGGCGGCGCCGAGGCCGAAGAAGAAGTCGGAGAGGGCGAGCTGGATTCCGTCTGCTGAAGAAGCCCCCCTGCGCGCCTCAGACCGAAAGACCACGAAATTAAGCAAGGAGCAGTTATACGTACAGATGCAAGACCGCGAGCGCAAGCGCGTGCGTCAGCTCGCCAACATGGAGAAAGCCGCGCGAAAGCGCGAAGCAGAACGCCGACCGGAACGCACGCAGGAAGATCGCCTAGCGGAGGCGGCGCGGATAGAGAAGCGGAATGCGAAGAGTCTCAATCGGTGGGAGGAGGCGGAGAGGATTAGGGAGGAGGAGCAGAGGGCGAAACTGGCGGCACTGCATAATCGACGGTTGGAGGGGCCGGTGATTACGTATTGGAGTGGGAGGGCGACGTGGGAGGGGGATAGGTTGAGGACGGTGGGGAGGGATGTGGTTATTGAGGAGAGGGAGAAGCCGAGGAAGAGGAAGGGAGGGGAGGGGGAGGAGGGGAGGGGAAAGGGGAAGATGGGGCCGCCGGCTGCGGTGGGGGGGGCGGCTGTTAAAGTTGAAGGAGCTGCGGCAGATTCGGCGTCAATGCCGCCGCCGGTGGTTGATACGAAGGCTACACCGTCTATGTTGAATGGGACGACGCCTCTCCCTGGGTTTGCGCCTACGGCAGCACCGCCATCGGCTTCGACGGCCCCTTATACGTCGCCCGCGCCAGTGGCTCCAGCAGCTCCTGTCGCTCCCTCCGCATCACCGTCGGTCGCAGCTCCGCCATCCTCTGCCACCCCTGCTCCAGCAGCTGGATCTGTAGCTAGTTCTGCTGCACCACAACCAGAATCTACCGCTGCCCCAACATCAGTAACGGAACCTGCAACAACAGCGCCTGCAGCCGAAACTGCTGCACCGCAACCGGAAACCACAGCTCCCGCTACTCTAGCAACGGAACCTACAGCCGCCCCTGTCGCACCAGGAGTGCCTTCTGCTGTCTCCGAATCCACCGCTGTCCCCCCACTAACTGTGCAAGCTGCACCACCACCAGCTCCCGAAACCGCACCTCAACCAGCGCCAAAAGCCGCGCCTTCAACCCAAACGCCTCCCATACCAACCGACACCGCATCTACCGTCCCCAAACTCGTCCCATCTCCAACGGAGCCCTTCAAGCTCAACCCCGCTGTCCCACCAACCACACAATCTGCCCCGCCACCAGCTGGAGATGCCGCTCCTCCAGTTACCGCACCTCCAGCCACCGCCTCATCAGCTGTAGACGCTGCACCTCCAGCTCCCACACAACCCACCACCTCCACCACTGACCCCTCACCCCCCACCCAACCCACCGAGCCCATCTCCCCCCCCGCCCCCGCCTCCCAACCTACACCTCAAACCTCAACGCGCTCATCCTAACCTCCTTCTCCGAAACCGCCCTGCGCGACAAATCAACCCAAACCGCAATCCTCTTCCGCGGCAACCGGTTCTCCAAACTGCCGCGCCCGCCGCCGCCTCCTATCTGCCCCATAACGGGGTTGCCGGCGAGGTTCAAGGATCCAAAGACGGGGATGCGGTATGCGAATGCTTATGCGTTTAAGGAGATTAGGAGACTGGTTGCGGGGGGAGGGACATGGAGTAGCTTGTTGGGGGCGTGGGTGGGTGGGGGGGCGGCGAGGGGGGTGCCGGGGGGTTTTTGGGGGGAAGGAAAAGGGGGGAGAGAAGGGGGAGGGGAGGGGGAAAGAGGGCGCTGGGGCTGCTGGGGAGAAGGAGAAGGCTAAGGAGGAGGTTGGAGTGGCTGTGAAAGGGTAGGGGCGGAGAAGATGGATGGTGGTGGTGTGTTATACTAGCTTTTACGAACTTTTAATGTGTTTCTCGTCTGAGCGTGGAATAGCGAGACGATGTAGCTGTAGCTGTTAATTTCAACGAGGAAATAATCTTCGTTTCTTGTATCTCACACGCGTATATACAGAAGCCCACCCCCGGCCCCTTCTGCCCCATGACAACGAAACTACCCTAGTACCCGCGTCCCAAAAAAGCATAACTTCATAACCACCCCCCCGGCTTTCTTCTCCATCTAAAGGAACTTCTTAAAACCCACATTCTTCCTCCTCTTATACCACCAAAACGCGCCCACAACCCCCATCTGACTCACCAGCACCACCCCAACCACCCACCCCAGCTTCGGCATACTCCCCGTCAGCGTCCCGACCGTCCCGTGCACGCCCTCAAGGATATTACTGTGGCCCTCAAGTAACTGCTGACGGAGTCGCTCAATCCTGTCGCTGCCACCGCCAACATCCCTCTTCGTCTCACCAAGCATCTTCTCCATACCTTGCATCTGCCTATCCATCGCCTCCAGCATCTCCTCCACCCTCCCCGTCTTCCCACCCGCCGCCTCGCGCGCAATATCAGCCTCGATTTTAGCAGCGCGTTCGAGCAGGCCGCCATGCCGACGCGTGGCTTCAGCTTGGTAGGATTGGAAATCCGCCTGTAGCGCCAAGAGATGCGATTGCAAGTCCTGGATACGATAATGCAGATCCGCAAACTCATGGGACTGCGAAATCGCACTCGCAGGGAGCGGGGAGATGTCCCCGGACGCGGGGACCCGGTCAGCGGACAGGTATTCAGTAGCGCTGTCGCGCGGGTTGCGATTTCCACGGCCCTGCGGCTCGGGAGGCGTGTCTTTGATCCCTGCACCGGCATTCTTGGGCGGGTCGGCATTGTTGGTGCCGGGTTGCTTGTTATACGTCGCCCCCTCCTCTGCCTCCCCCGTCGAGACGGTAAGGCTGAAGACCTCAAAGCTATCAGGGCTATCGGCGCTGGCCGCGCTGACGCCGAAATTGTACCCCGCCGGGATCCTCACCCCGCTCGTCTGGAACGCGAGCGCGCCATCGATCTCAACGCGGAAATTGTGCCAGTCCTGAGTCACCTTCACGGAGCTGGGGCGTCCGAGGTTACGGTACGGGTATGGCGCGTGACCGAACGCCAGGCCGTCGACGCTGAGGTGCTGGCCGTAGTGTTTCGATCCGTCGTTGAGGAAGGCGCGGATCATGCCCCCCGAGTTGCTGTACTGGTCGATAACGATGGAGAGGCCTTCGAACTTGCCGACGGTGTAGATGCTGTTCGTGCCGACGTTGTTGAAGCCGTCCTTGACGAGCCAGAGGTGGATGCGGCCGGAGGCGCGCTCGGGGCCTGTGGCGCGGAATTGGAGGGTGGCTTCCCATTTCGGGGATGTGAGAGAGCCCTGTGACCAGAGGGCGGCGCGCTTGTTGCCGGGCGCGGGGGGGGTGAGGACGATTTTGTTGGAGTAGATTTGCGTGGGGTCGCCGGTGAGGGTGAATTTGGGGATTGTGCGGTCGTCGGGGGACATTCTGGGGAAGGGAGATGGCGTTAGTGGGATGGTATGGCTAGGGAAGGGGATTGAGACTTACTTCCCGTCGTGTCCGAAGCTCAATTCATTCTGGACGTCGAGGGATTGGGCGTATGATCCAGCGATGAGGGCCAGCGCCGTCAAGGCCTTGGAGAAGTGCATGATTGCTTGGTGAACGCTGCAAAGGCCAGCTTGGCCGGATTCCGATGCTGAAGCCCCAAGATGATGCGAATGTATTCCTTTTAGATTCCGAGTGCGCGAGGGTTATGATATGTGAGGAATTAATTATTTTGGTGGACCAGATCGCCAGGGCGAGTTGTTGATGACAGCTTGCAGGAGCTCACAAGAGCAGCGAATGAGGACCAGTGCTATGATGGTGTTCCGCAACCCCTTGCCCAAACCCCCCGTTATGGAGGGACCAAGCTCGAAGACAAATTTATGGTGGATAACGTGTTTAACTGCGATTTCAGCGGGGAAGAGCGATGCGTCCATGGTTGTTATATAGAAGGTTTATATAGAAGGCATAGACGTGTTCATTATTTTCCAGGTTATCATTTTTGTCGCGTGTTGATTCGATGGCTGTATGGCCTACAACTCGAGCTAGGCCGCTAGGCCACCTCAGCTATTCCGACGGCAACGCCTCCAACTTTTAATATCGTCAGATCAGATCCTCATCTACAGCCCATTGCACTCCATAACGGCAGCCCTGGATATGCTTCCATGGTGGAAGCATACCCCTCGATAGCACAATGCGCCGTGCTGGCCACGGCCTTCAAGGTCCTCCTCTTCCCAGCATAGTAAGCAAAACCGCTACTCACTCCCACTCTCCCCCCCCCCCCCAAACTGACATCCAACTAAAGCAAATCGACCGACTTTGAGGTCCATCGCAACTGGCTCGCAATCACCAACAGCCTCCCCGTCCAGGAATGGTACTACGAGAACACTTCAGAATGGACTCTCGACTACCCGCCCTTCTTTGCCTACTTCGAATGGCTCCTCGCCCAGGTCGGCCGGCTTGTCGACCCAGAGATGGTCCAGGTGTATAACCTCAATTATGAGAGCTGGCAGACCGTCTACTTCCAGCGCGCAACCGTCATTGTCACAGAGCTGGTCCTGGTTTACGCCCTGCACCTGTCAGTCGCCCAATTACCAGATCTCTGCGTGTAATCCCAGCTAACAACGTCACAGCTATGTCGAGACATCCCCCGTCTCTACGAAACGCGCCGCCCGAGTCGCAGCTCTCTCGATTCTCTTCTCCCCCGGCCTCCTCATAATCGACCACATCCACTTCCAATACAATGGCTTTCTCTACGGGCTCCTCATTCTCTCCCTCGTTCTTGCGCGCAAGAAGTCGACGCTGCTCCTCAGCGGCATCCTCTTCGCCGTGCTCCTGATGTTCAAGCATATCTACCTCTACCTCGCTCCCGCATACTTCGTCTACCTCCTCCGCGCGTACTGCCTGGGCCCGAAGTCAATCTCCCATATCCGCTTTGGCAACACCATTAAGCTCGGCGTGAGCATCTTGGCCGTCTTCGCTGCCGCTCTCGGACCATTCGTGTACTGGGGTCAGATCCCGCAGCTGTTGAGCCGCCTGTTCCCATTCTCGAGAGGCTTATGCCATGCCTACTGGGCTCCGAATGTGTGGGCCATGTACTCCTTCATAGACCGCATCCTTATATACGGTATTTCCCTCCCACTCCCCCACATCTTGCTTCCCCACTAACCCCCCAAAGTCGCCCCTCACATCGGCCTCCCCGTCGACGCCTCCGCCCTCCAAAGCGTAACCCGCGGCCTCGTAGGCGACACCGCCTTCGCGGTCCTCCCCCCAATCACGCCCTCAACCACCTTCGCCCTAACCCTCCTCTTCCAAGTCATCCCCCTCATCCGCCTCTTCCTCGACCCCACCTGGCCCACCTTCATCGGCGCCACCACCCTCTGCGCCTACGCCTCCTTCCTCTTCGGCTGGCACGTCCACGAGAAAGCTATCCTCCTGATCCTTATCCCCGCTTCCCTCATCGCCCTCCGCGACCGCCGCTACCTAGGCGCCTTTCGGCCCCTCGCCGTCGCTAGCCACGTCTCCCTCTTCCCCCTCCTCTACACTCCGGCCGAGTTTCCCATCAAGGTCCTCTACACCCTTGCTTGGCTGCTGGTCTTCCTCCTCGCCTTCGACCATCTAGCCCCTGCGTCGGACCGCTCGCGCGTGTTCCTCCTCGATCGCTTTTCCCTACTGTATATCGCTGTCAGTATTCCGCTCGTCGCGTACTGTTCCCTCGTCCATGGATTAGTCTGGGGGTCCAGATATGAGTTCCTGCCCCTCATGTTCACGAGCTCGTATGCGGCCGTTGGGGTCGTGGGCAGCTGGGTCGGCTTTTTGGTCGTGTATTTTACTAGCTAGACCTACCATAGCATATAACAGACATCGATACCCTTCAAAACTCCCGTGCAAGATCCAGTTCCAGTTGCAATTTCCCATTCCTATTCTATTCTCAATCTTAAGTTTAGCTCTTCACAGTTTACTCTCCCCCGCTTTCTCCTTCGTCATCTGCTCGCTCAAAAACGCTCCAATATGCTTATTACACTCCTCTGGCTCCTGCAACAAAACCCAGTGCGTCCCAGGCACCTGCACGGTCTTCAAATCCTCAAAATGACTCTCCATCCCCATCGCCATCCACACCGGCAACGCCGTATCATTACTCGCCTGCAAAAACAGCGTAGGCACCTTGACCTTCCCATCCCACTTAATCTCCTTATCATCCTCCCAGTTCAACTTCCTCGTGCGATACCAATTCAGCGGTCCCCTCATCCCACCCCCCGCCGCATACGTCCTCGCATAGTACTCCAACTCCGCCTCACTCATCAGCGTCGTCCTCGCCAGCCCTCCACTCAAAACCAACCCCCAATCCACACCCCTCGTAGTATCGAACCCGGGCCTCCCCTCCCGACTCTTGCCTCCATACAGCGCGTTCAAAAAACTTCTCACCTCCTCCAGACTGCGCACCTTCCTCTCCACCTCCCCACTCGCAAACGTAAGCTGGTACGCAAACTGCGGCAGCGGCCCGGCGACCAGCTCTTCAAGCGACACGTAGGGTGATTCAGGCTTGGGCGAATCGAACGGCGTGCACACCACTATCAAGCCCCTCACCAATTGCGGCTCCCACAGCGCGAGACGCCATGCCAGAGCTCCTCCCCAGTCGTGCGCGAGGACGTAGACGCCGCCGTCGCCGCAACCGAGGTGTGCAGCTAGGGCGGCGAGGTCGCGGGAGATGGAGCGCAGGGTGTAGGGCCCGAGATCGGTGGGGGCGGCGGAGGGGTGGTAGCCGGGGAGGGCGGGGAGGAGGACGCGCAGGCCAAGAGCGAGGAGGGTGGGGATCTGGTGGCGGTAGCCGGCCGGGAGGTCGGGGAAGCCGTGGAGGAGGAGGATGGTTCCCTTGGGTGGGGTTGAGGGGGTGAAGAGGTGGTAGGCGATGCGGCTGCCGGAGGGGGGGTTGAAGGTGTGTGGGGTTGCGAAGGCGGAGAGGGGGAAGGGGGACATTGTTTGTGCGTGGGGTTTGATGGTTGATGTGGGTGCTGTGTAGTTGGACTGGGTCAGGTTGCGGGTTTGTCCGGTGAGGTTAATTGTTTGCTTTGGTATGGTGGAGATAGGTGTATGATGAGATGAGAAAAATTTATATATCGCAACTGATGCCAGCGATGAGATATGCGGTAACTGGAAGCGGGGAGGATCGACCAATGAGCCGAGGCTCCCCGCAGTGAAGAAGAAGGAAGGTACCCAGCGGTCCGCTGATATGTGTCTGATGAGATGGGAGGAATTTATATCTCGTAAATGATGCCAGCGATGATCAGATATGGTTAACTGGAAGGGGGGGGGATCGACCAATGAGCCGAGGCTCCCGGCAGCGAAGAAGGTACCCGGAACCGCTCCCTAAAAAAAGCTTGGTGGGAGTTCGACGGCGAAATTGATACTGAAGAAAAAGCTGTGATATATCGAAGATGCGATCCTGATATAGTTATAAAGTACAGACTTCGCCTGTTGTAATTTTCCCGAGCTCCCTTCACAACTGATTTTGCCTTCTCACGCAAACGCGCGAATCATGTAAAGTGAATCCATTCCCAATATTTGGCTACGCTACAGTGCATCAACAGTCCATACTTCCACTTCATAGCTTACTTTCATCGTAGGCCCTCTCATTCAGCCTTCCCAATCTTTTATTCTATCGCCTCAACGCCTACCTGTACCTCCCCCATCCCCCTCATCCCCCTCATCCCCCCCATCACCAAACCAACCCCTCTAAGCCTTCTGCCTTGGCTGACTTCCATACGCTCTCCTCTTCAATGGCCTCTTATCCTTCGCCATCCTCGATCCAAACACAATATCCACCTTCGGCGGTGTCGTGAACCCAAAACTCCTCGCCACAGCTGCCAAATCCAACTTCTGCACATCAAACACCGTGCGCAAGCTGTGCGCCGCGTACGCCGCCAGGTAACTGCGGAATCCCTCCTTCGCTGTGCGGTTAAGGTAGTAGTTGGACGAGATCAGCTTCTCGAGCTGCGCCTGGATGTTGATGAGTTTCGGGAGGTTGTACTCGACGAGCGGGACACGAGCGGTGGTGAGGTATTGGATGAAGCCAACCTCGCTGGGGTGCAGGACGAGGAAGGACTTTCCCTTGCCGTTGGTGCCACGGGCGGTACGGCCAACACGGTGGATGTAGTTGCGGGGCTCATCAGGGGCATCGAATTGGATGATCCAGTCTACGGCCGGGATCTGGGGTTTGTCAGTATTTGTAGACGTAGTTAAAATAGAAGTAAGACAGGGGGGAACGTACATCAAGACCACGCGCAGCGACATCAGTGCAGATAAGCACGCCCTCAGTTGCATTCACGAAACTGAAGAAATTTGCCGTCCGCTTCTGCTGCTTTTGTTGGCCGTGAAGGGCTAAGACCGGGAGGTCAATGTAGTTGAGCAGCTCCTCGTAGTACTTCACGCAGTTACAGCTCGAGACGAAGACAATGATCTTCTTCTTCTTCGCAAGGTGCTTCTTCAACACTGTGAATAGCAGCCTGAAGCGCAACTCAGACGGGCACACGATGTAGCCCTGTTCGAGGCCCTCAACGGTGCTGTGCTTGGTCTCCTCCTCAACGTTAACATACAGAGGCCCTGGGCGGAGCGACACTCGCGCGAGGTCCTCAACCTTGGTCGTCTGTGTCGCAGAGAAAAGAGCAGTTTGTCTCGACTCTGGCAGAATCTTGACGATGGCTCGCATCTCATCCTCGAAACCGGCGTCGAGGATCCTATCAGCCTCATCGATGACGAGCATTCGCAGGTTCTTGTACACGAATCCCTTCGTGTTCTGGAGGTGGTCGAGCAGGCGCCCTGGGGTAGCGATCAGAAGGTTGATTCCCGTCGCCAGCTTTGTCGCCTCAGCGGATCTGTTGGCACCACCCATCACAATACCGCACGTCTGAGTACTTCGTTAGCAAATCATCCTAGCCGAAATTGAGTTCCAAAAAACTAAAATCACATACCTGCGAATGCGTGCCCATAATCTCTCTTGCAACACCGAACATCTGCAGCGCCAACTCTCTCGTCGGTGATACCACAATCACACCAGTTCCGTTCCTAGGCTTAAACCTCAGGTCCTGCATCATCTCGATCGCCGGCAGCAAAAATGCCAATGTCTTTCCCGAACCAGTCTTCGCAGCGCCAAGCACGTCACGCCCCGCCAGGATGGGTGGGATCGACTTCTGCTGGATCGGCGTCAGGGTAGTGAAGCCCATTTCCGCGATAGCAGCCGCGGTTTTTGGGGAGAGGTTCAACTGCGCAAAGGTCGTCGGGTCGTCGCCTGTGGTCGCGGGGGGTAACTGCAGGTTTGCGAGGTCGCCAGCGACGGCTGGGGGAGGAGGGGAAGGTGAGCGAGATGGGGAAGCCTCGATTGCTGCTTGGACGGACGCCTCGGTGGGCTCCTCCTCGACATTGCTGCGCTTCCTTTTTTGGACCATGGTTATGATTATGTATGTATTCGTACAGGTCGTTGTATAGTTGGTATTATATGTTGTTGTGTTGCGATATGTGGACGTTGACTTTCGTCGTTATCCTCGACGTCTGTTGGGGAAAATATATGAAAAAGTCTCATGGGCCGCTTATCCAAAATCCGAAATCTAAAATACTGGCGCTAGTGTATCGCGCACTAAGCCCGAAGTAGATGATAAAGAGTTTATTGTTGGTCACATGACTACGCGTATGTTTCGTATTCCAACCACCAGGGGCGTCTGCCTTCTCACAAACCATCAACTCTCTATTTCGGAGCCATGGAGACGTTTATATCTAGGAAACGGCGACGATCGTCCGTTTCAAAGGACTCTCTCGCGAGCTACTCTGCTAGCCTTACGGCAGCATCTGCTCATTCCCCAGGTGGTGTCTCTGCCGGATCCTCTGCCAGCTTCGCGGCCGCGCCAGTTTCTTTTCTTGCGGGAAGCTCTGTGGCTCCGCCTCCTGGTCTCGCCGCGGCGCCAGCATCCTTTCTCGCCGGGAACTCTGTGGCTCCATCTCCTGGTCTCGCCGCGGCGCCAGGCCCGGTGGGATCCCCCCACACGATGCCGACCGCAGTGGAATTTATTGCCGCTGGGAGTGTCTCTGCCGCGGTGCTAGAAGTGAATCCGCAGGATCCTAAATGTGACCTTCAGGGCTTAACTGATTTTAATGAAGAGGAGTCAACTGATTATAAATTATCTATTTTAATATCCCTCCATCCTGATAAGGACGAAGGAACGCTGCTGGAGACATTACTTGCCTCTGAAGGTTCTGTTGAACGTTCACTAGAGTGTCTGAAACTTCCACCGAAAAAGAGGCCAGCAGCTTCAGCAACAAGTTACCAGTCATCGCTCTCGTCCATTATCAGGACTGGGAAGGACGGAGCTGCCATAAAACAATTAACGAAAAAAGGAAGAACGGTCCACCTCTACACCCCCGAGGATATTGAAGCCCACACACCATGTTCTATAATCTACAATTTCCTTCCCCCAGAAGAAGCAGATGCATTGCTCCAGGAATTAGTAGACGAGTCGCCGACCTACAAGACGAACACATTCCAGCTGTTTGACCAAGTAGTCTCGAGTCCGCATACATTCTGCCTCTATGTCGATAGTTGGGGCGAGGCAGCAATGCAGAAGACACAATATGTCTACGATGGAAATAATGTCGAGGTTAGCCTCCTACGTCTCCTACGCACATTCAGCTTCAGTCAATCCCCCTCCCTTCTCTCCCTCGACACCCCACTAATGCCCTCCAGGACGTCCGCCGCAGCCTCCCCCGTATGCGCGACGCCTCCCACAAGGTCCGCGAAACCGTCAACCAAGAAATCACGCGGCGCATCCGCTCCTCCCCCACCGGCCAAAAACTGCACCACCAATCCCCGCACCCCTGGGCCCCCAACACCGCCTTCGTGAACTGCTACGACGGCCGCCGCGAGAGCGTCGGCTACCACTCCGACCACCTCACCTACCTCGGCCCGCGCCCCGTGATTGGGAGTCTCAGTCTCGGAGTGGCGCGAGAATTTCGTGTTCGCAAGATCATCGCGATGGAAGACGACGACAGTGGCGACAGTGACGCAGCTCGCAAGCGCGCCGACGCCAAAGCAGACGCCCAAGGCCAGCTTTCCATCCACCTCCCACACAACTCGCTTCTCGTAATGCACGCTTCCATGCAAGAGGACTGGAAGCACAGCATCGCTCCCGCGCGAACCATCTCCCCGCACCCAATCTCGGGGAACAAGCGGATTAACATCACATACCGCCACTACAAACCGAATTTGCACCCGCGCTTCACGCCCAAATGTGGGTGTGGCGTGCCGACGGTGCTGCGGGTTGTCCAGAGGCAGGCGGGGAATAGGGGGAAGTATATTTGGATGTGTTATGCGGGGTATGTTCCGGGGAAGGAGGGGTGTAAGTTCTTTGAGTGGGCGGTATTTGACGAAGATGGGGATCCGCCGTGGGCGGAGGAGGCAAAGGGTGGTGAGAAGCAGAGTTCTGATGCTAGGGAAAAGTGTCCGGGAGAAAATGGGGATGAATATATGAAAGGGGGCGGAGAATGGAAAGGAGGGGCGTTAGGTAGTGTAGACGAGGGGTAATTCAACTACAACTTCCCCAATTCCAACTGGCCTATAGCATCAACCTAGAGTGAAGAAACCGACAAGACGAGCTTTAAAACTTGAATATTTCACCCCACCAAAGCTTTTTGAACGCTTGCGCCAACTGTGACTAGAACAAAAGGAACACTTATTGCACGCACTGTTGCACAGCGTTTCCCCAAACAAAAATCCACCCTTACGCTTCTGGGTGACACTATACGCTATCCCATATTCTATCGTATCGGAATAATTAGCTACCTAGTACTCATAAGACCATCTAATGACGGTGGTGCAATCGTAATACAGTATGTGAATATATATCACGTGATCTCGCGCACTGTTCGGACTTTGGTCACACATTTATTGCAGGCAGGCGCGAGCTGCTGCCTGCACCACGCGAAATCCCCCGTTGCACCAAGCAAGTACTTGCCAATTCCCATCTCCTCCCAATTCCTCTAATTTCTTCTCTCTTGGTCAACCTTTCGTCCCCATTCCTCATTCCAATCCTCAGTTCTAATCTTCAGTTCCAATCCTCAGTTCCAATCCTCAGTTCCAATCCTCAATTCCAATCCTCAATTCCAATCCTCAATTGTTCATTTTATCTGTTTCCCAACCCCCTAATCGATACCGTGTGTGCTGTGAGTGTGCAAGATGCCTAAGAAGAAGGCACAACCACTGCCACTAATTGGCTGCAATATCGCATTGAGTGGCACCTTTTCAGCTGGATCTCATGGTGTGATTCAAGTTCAACTGGCCGGCCTTGGTGCAGATCTTGCCGGATCGATCGCCGACAGCACCAGCCATCTCGTTACAATCCAACGTGACTACGACAAACCCTCTGTGAAAGTGAAAGCTGCTCTAGAGAAAAACGTACAAATCATTAGCTATGATTGGGTCAAGGAATGCGTTGCGAGCAACTCCAAAGTGCCCGAGAAAAATTATCTGTTCACGTCATTGATTGTCGATGTCCTCTCGCAGTCCAACGGCCTTCTAAAGCGGGAACCCTCACCAGACATCTCTGCTGACGAGAATGTGAAGCCTCCGACAAAAAAGAAGAAGAGTTTCAATGATCCCAAGACCGTAGGCAAGGTCGATGTCAAGGCTAAGACGGCAGGCAAGGCTGATGTCAAAGTCAAGACCCAAACTAAACTGAAGAGTGAAGTCAAGTCTGAGACCGAAGCCAAAAGCGGCCGGATCACAGATAGTCAGGTTGCAAAGTCACTCGATGTCAAGATTCCGCTTGACGAAGGCTGTAATCTCAGCTACGATGTCTACATTCACGACGACGGTATCATTTATGATACCTCCTTGAATCAAGCCAATGCAACTGCCAACAACAACAAGTTCTATCGCGTCCAGGTCTGTGCCACTCCTAGGTATTTTTCGAATGTTTGCTGACTTGCCGCAGGTTCAACGAAATCGCTACGGTGGAGATTTCAAGACGTGGACGAGGTGGGGCCGGGTTGGCGAACATGGCCAGAGCGCATATCTTGGTAATGGGACTCTAGCAGATGCTATCCGTCATTTCGAGAAGAAGTTCAAAGATAAATCCGGCCTTGCGTGGGCTGACCGAAGAAAAGATCCCAAACCGGGCAAATATGCTTTTATCGAACGTAACTACAGCTCTGATTCCGATGATTCCGATGATGATGCCAAAGCGAACGGAGTCAAAAACGAACCCACGGATGAATTGGCGATCCCGGAGTCAACACTTCCCCCTGCAACGCAGCAATTAATGGAGCTGATTTTCAATCAACAATACTTTGACGCTACGATGAGTGATCTTAACTACGATGCGAACAAGCTTCCCCTTGGAAAACTTAGCAAGGCCACAATTACTCGTGGTTTTCAAACACTCAAGGACCTCGCTGCTCTTTTAGATGACCCAACATTGGCCGCCAGCTATGACATGAATTACAGTGACGCCACTGAGCATTTTTCGAATCTTTACTATACTGTCATCCCCCACGCGTTTGGTCGTAATCGACCACCCATCATTCGATCTACAGAATTACTCAAGAAAGAGATAGAGCTTCTGGAGAGCCTTGGGGATATGAGGGATGCGGCTCTCATCATGAAGCCAAAGGACCGGGATGCCGAGCAAATCAATCTTTTGGACAGGCAGTTTCAGGGCCTAGGAATACAAGAGATGACACCTCTGGGCCCCAAAAGCAGCGAATTTGTAGAGTTGAAGAATTACCTACTCTGCACTCGAGGCGCAACCCACAATCTCAACTGTAAGGTGGAGCAGATTTTCAGGATTGAACGCGAGGGAGAAAAAGAGCGGTTCGAAAAAGGCGACTTTGCAAGCACAGCTGGTGATCGACGTCTCCTGTGGCATGGATCCCGCTGTACAAACTTTGCTGGAATTCTCAGCCAGGGGCTACGCATCGCTCCCCCAGAAGCACCGGTATCGGGCTACATGTTCGGAAAGGGAATCTACCTGGCCGACATGTCCTCCAAGTCAGCCAACTACTGCTGCCCGTACATTTCCAACGGCCACGCGCTCCTTCTGCTGTGCGAGGCGGAATTGGGAAAACCCATGCAAGCATTGACTGATGCCTCGTACAGCGCCAGCGAGGATGCTACGAGCAAGGGCTTGCTATCCACATGGGGCCAAGGCTCGACTGGGCCCAAGGCGTGGAAGGATGCTAATTGTGTTAATCCGTCTTTAGATGGAGTTCTCATGGTATTTCAAACTTTTCCTTTCTCCGTCGCTTTTTGTTTCCCTTGAACTAACCCGTAGCTCTTCCCAGCCTGATACGACGATTGCACCGGGAGCTACTGATGTTAAAGATGCGTACCTGATGTACAACGAGTATATCTGCTATGATGTCGCTCAGGTTCGACTTCGATATCTGTTCCAAATCAAGATGTGAGGGCGAGAATATTGGCTGGATGTATGCTTGAGCGGGAGTCTGAGGGGTTACTATTGACTGGATATATTCTTGAACGGGAGTCCCGGGGGGGTTGACACGCCAGTTATTTAAGCTATCTGTCGCTTGAAAATAGCTATCTTGCTCTGCTCTGAACCTTGCTCTAAGCTAATTCTAGATATTGTCTTCACTCTGTTCGCGTATAGTGGCTGTATCTATTATACAACCCTGTAGCGGCGTCGTTACTCTCTTATAGTCTGTAGCTAAAGCGACGCTTATTGTGGTTGACAGACTTTATTGTCATTTGGGAATTGTTATAAACTCTTATAATGACGTTTGCCGCACGGGCCCTGCCTGCCAACACCAGTGTAGTTCAAGCACCATCATTTATTGTCATGGCCTCTTTAAAACCACCCATCATCCACTGCTGCTGCTGATCACAGTAACCATCCTACTGTTAATCACAGTGGCTATGGATTCTCCATCCCTCGTCCGACAAATGCCCCTCGAGGTCTTCCTGGAGGTATCATCTTATCTCTCCACTCCCGATCTTGGTTCACTGCGCCTTACCTGCAAGTACGCTGAAGCGTCGCTCTTCGAGACGTTTGGCAGGGAATTCTTCAGCAAGAGACAGTTTATGCTTTCCGAGACAAGCCTACAGGTTTTGATCGACATATCCAACCACCAGAGACTGTCACAGTTCCTCGGGCACGTTATTATCGGCCTGGATAACTTCAAAGACTGCCACTTTCCGCCTATTCGCAGCCAAACTGCACGCGCAAATCGATACGACGCCGGACTCGCCGATGAGCAAGCGCTGTTGAGTACAGGACAAGACCGGGACATGCTCTGCCAAGCCTTCCAGAATCTGCCTAATCTCCAAACAGTAGCGTTGAGGGACTATAGCTCGGGAGGGCGCGTCCGCGATAATGGCCAATGGCACAGTTACGGCGCTACTACTATCTTCCAAGAAACAGGAATTCGCTTGCTCGATAGTCGTGGCTTGTACGCAACAAAAGAAGATACTCGCTTTGCCAGTCGGACTCTCTCTTCGATTCTGTACGCGCTGGGCCAATCAGGCGCCAAGCCGGAAGCCTTCGAGGTTTTATTGAGGAAAGCGGCCTTGGGGCTCCCTTATGATGCCTTCGAGATACGCAAATTCTTTGAACCTTCGGTCACACCTGTCTTATCCAGCCTGAAGACGCTTCTCTTGACTATTGACCCTACGTTGCCCGAGGCCGACAACGGGACCAACGATGACCCAGGCGTGGATCATCCCGATTTCCCCCTCAGGCGCTATCTCTGCCACACCCCCAATCTCACGCATCTCCGCCTCAATTTTCTGTCTGCGCTTCATTCCGAACCCGAACGATTCATGGTCTGGCTAGGCCGTCCCGTGGTCCAAACCGCCCCCGTGAATTCGTCCCCAGGAGCTCCGCTACCCAAGTCACCAGACGCAGTTGCATTATCCCAGCTCCGAAGGCTGGATTTTGGAATGCTTGCCATATCCCCGCGTGTTCTGCTTGCTATCATCCATAAGTTCAAGCCAAGCCTGCGCTCGCTCAGTCTCTGGAAGGTAGACCTCAAGCCTGAGGATCAGCACCGACGAGGTGGGAAGAGAGTCAGCGCGTGGCCCAAGTTATTTGCAAAGCTCCCAGGCCTAGACTATCTCTCTGTTGGCTGTATCGGTGAAATGGTTGAGACTCGACACCAGCGGATGGGGTTCAAGCTTCCGGCTGGCCAATCTGGGGAACCCGACGTTACAAGGGTGTGCTCTATACACAGCGACATGGTGCATTTTGTGAATAATCTCATGTCGGATGTGGTTGTGACTTCGCCAGATGCTGATAGTCTTAGTGACGATGGTATGTTATGCCCGTTTCGCATCAAGCCTTCGAAACGTAATACTAACAGATTTACCAGAGTCCATGTCAGATTATAGTGGTGATAGTGACACTGATATGGATGATGACGAATGAAAAACCATAAAATTTAGCTTTTAGTAGTATATTTTAAAGAAAACATATTGCACTACAGGCTGCACCCATCAAGTATAGAATATTTACCACTACCAACTGCCCTCCATGTATTCTTTCATATACTTGGAAACATCCGTTGGAGGGCACAATAATCCACAAGGGATTCTTTGCCTAAGGTCGCTATTATGCATGAGCCCATCCTCAGACTTTCAGGCGTGCACCTACTCCGCCAGTCACTACGATTAATACAATTATTATGCAGTCTCTGATATTTAGGGGTCAGTTGCATTGAAGATATTAGTACCAGGCTAGCTAGTAGACAGACTGAACAGAAGCAAATAAATATCAGCACACTACACAATCGTAAGTATTATGGCACGGGACATGTTATTTTAGAATAAGTTTTCCCTTAACATCTTGCGTGGCCTTATTAAACGTAATCTACCGACCGTGTTCAGTAAACATATTCAAAGTTTAGGTTCTGCTTATCTGTCATGTCAGTAAAGGCCGTATCGTTAATAGTGCTTTCCTCCATCCCCCCGCTTGCCCTCAACTCTGTAACGCGTAAGCCCAAGGTCTCACAGGAGTCCAGGGAACCAGGTCAGGAGGCAGGAAAGGGGTATCGTATTCGTAAGGACAATAGGTCTACGTAAGTACATCGACTATCGGCGGCTGGAGGCCTCCTTCTGAGGCTTCCAGCTCCTTATATCCTACGTTCCTACATGCCCTAGTTTACCGAGCCCTAGTGGCTCCACTGTCAGGCAGCCCCTGAGTTCAGGGCGGCCTCACATGATGGGCCGCCTTACAAACTCTGCACATTGCCTCTCTTTGGGTCTGTTTTCGCGCTTAAAAGCGTAACGAAAGACGAAGAAGAGGATAAGCTCGACGATGTTGGCAACAAGAAACGAACCGATGCCTAGGGGGTACTTTGGGGCTTGCTCTGTTCGATAGAAAAATGGCGAGGCAATATTGCCGATGCATGCTCCAAACCAGATCATGCCGGAGACAATCATGGTATACGAACAACAGTTGAAGATCGCGTCAAGTGTGGTGGTTAAAGAAGGGGAGGACGGAGGGGATACGGAGAGCATAGCGCAGGAGCAGGGGTGGTAGGGAGAGTGGGATTGGTAATGTGTTGTTGGAGGAGCTGGGGGAAGATGCGGATGAGGAATGGGAGGAGGGGATGGAGGAAGATGAGTTTTAAAGGAGGGGGTATCCTGGGTCTCTGAATATCAACGTAGGAGGAGTTCACAGTGTGGACGGAGGGATGGCCTTTATAAGAGCTGTATGGCTTTCTGGTGAGGATGGGATGGGCTTTTTACCATGGCGTTCTAATAACAATAGTAGTATTTACAGCAACTATTATTAGAATGAAGGCGTTGAATCCCTGTGTAAAATAGTAGTATTTACAGCAACTATTATCAAAATGAAGGTGTTAAATCACTATGCACAACAGTAGTTGAACGGAGTTTCGGATATCAGTTTATCCCCTTTAATGCCTGATAACGATATCATTTTTATCTCAGAGGATATCAACCATTACCTAATCAACGCATTTTTAATGCGTCGTAGTTGCTTTTGAGCTCCGTCAAGACGCATTAGTGGAAGATCTAAAAAAAACCTACATGGTAGGATCTGAGTATAGGATTAGGGGAGGAGCGAAGGAGGGCCCTCGTTATCGCCAAGGGTGATGGCTCTTTCCTCCCTCGTATTAGGAAGTTGTTCTGCCTTATTGCACGCCTTGGGCTGAACATACAGAAGATTAGATGGGATCAAATGAGATGGGATACCTATTTTGATCACTGACGTGTGGAGGGTCTGAGTTATTATATAGCACGACATGATGTCACGTATGCATATTGGTGCTGTATCACCACCGGTTGCGACGCAACGGCTTAAAAAGGCGTCATGGACACCAGCATACTCGGATCAATGAGTGCTGGCTACATAAGCGGCCCCAAGTCCCCAAAATGAGGATACACTTTGCGGTGCAGATCCGTATAGCCTCCCTTTCCGCCATTACCCAGAGACGCATATCACCTTCCCAGAGCAGTAGATCATGTGCTTGTGGACAACATGTCTAAGCTAACGGCCCCCTTTCACAATATCTTCTCACATCGGAACACCTCGGTGACACCGTCAGCGGATGTAACTCCAATCTCTAGTGATGAGCAGCAAAAATATGGCGAGACGACGTCCGATGAGGCCCCTGAAGCAGATGCTATTCTCCACCCGGGAGAGCTGAACTTCGATGAAGCCACTTCTGGCGGTTTAGGCCGTCACCTAGGACTGTGGAGCACTACCTTCTCCCAGCCGGCACAGCGTACATTTTCATACTAGACGTTGAGGGCTACCCAAACGCCGTCGTCAACTTGTTTGTTGTGGTGGGGCTGTTTATCCTCGGATGGAAAGCTCCTCATCCCCCTCGGCCGCTGGAGGTAACTTAGTGTGGGAGAGTCGGACGGTTAAATTTGACATTAGCTATTCAGGATGGATATATTTTATTTTAAATGAAAGATGACTTACTCATTATTACCAGCAGCGTCATTCTCTTCATCCCGAGGTCAATATTATAGTACTGTGCATACAACAACTCGTAACAATAGGCAAGGGGCAAGGGGCAACAAACAATCAAACTTTCACGTGGCTTAGCATTCCAATTACTAGGTGACGGATTGGCTGTCAAACCTTCCCTGCTTCCGCGCTCCTTGGCCGCGGTCCCTAGTGCCCTGCACTACTCTCCAGACAGCTCTACTCCTTCTCCACATAAATGCTTAACAGATCTAGACCTCTCGGTACACATCCCGAAAGATTTGTCGGACTATCATTCATCTATATCTATGTCGTGATTCCGGCTCCATGCCCTCCCCCCCAAGGATTCCCCTCTTCAACCTCAAAGTTCCCTCGCAGCTTCCCTGTTACACCTTCACCTGTAACACCTAAAAAGCGACGACGAAGATGGCCGTTACTGCCCACGACGTCGAAGAAAAGCAGCTGGGCAAGCATATAGAGGAATCTCCAGAAGTCTCGGCTAAGGACATCCCTCTCTTTGGGGACGGAGAGGCCTTCCGTAATGCCGCCGAGCGAGGCCAAACAGCAACTGACAGGTAAGCACCCATTCCTCCTTGCCACCTGTCTAGATCAAAATCTCACCGCCTGTAAAGACATGGCCAGTCGCTGGTGCAGTTCGACCCAGCTGCTGAGCGAAGACTTCGCTTGAAGATTGATCTGTACATCGTCCCGACCGTTGCTCTCCTCTATCTGTTCTGTTTCATAGATCGTGCAAATATCGGTATGGTACTGCCTTAAGGTGGTCTCTGCCCATTTTCTTACTCATCATCATAGGCAATGCAAGGCTTGCGGGATTCGAGAAAGACCTTAAACTCGTAAAATACGATTATAATATTGTCCTCTCTGTCTTCTACATTTCCTACATCGTCTTTGAGATCCCTTGCACCATGGCCTGTAAATGGGTTGGTCCTGGATGGTTCATCCCCGCTATCTCGCTCGGCTTTGGAATATGTACCATCTGCACCGCTTTCGTCACCAACACCCATGCTGCATGTGGCGTCCGTTTCCTACTCGGGGCTTTTGAGGCCGGTTTGATGCCTGGCATTGCTTATTACCTGTCCAGATGGTACCGAAGAAGCGAGTTGGCTTTCCGCTTAGCCCTCTATATCGTCATGGCTCCCCTCGCAGGTGCCTTTGGCGGTCTCCTAGCCTCTGCCATTCTGAGACTTGATGGCTTTGGTGGTCTGCATTCATGGCAGATGATCTTTGCTATTGAAGGCATCATCACTTGTGGCCTTTCAGTCCTCGCTTTCGTTACTTTGACTGATCGCCCCGAGACTGCGAGATGGTTAACCCAGGCTGAGAAAGATCTTGCCATCGCCCGCGTTAAGTCAGAGCGAGTCGCTACAACCGAAGTTTTAGACGCCATCGATAACACCAAAACCATGCGAGGCATCTTCTGTCCCGTCACCCTCGCCACTTCGTTCATCTTCCTCCTCAATAACATCACCGTTCAGGGCCTCGCCTTCTTCGCGCCTACCATCGTTAAAACCATCTACCCTAAAGAATCAATTGTATCTCAGCAACTTCACACCGTTCCCCCTTACGTTGTCGGCGGCTTCTTCACACTTCTATTGCCATTTTTAAGCTCGATGTTCGACCGTAGAAACCACTTCCTCATCATCTCTGCACCTCTCATGATGATCGGCTACATCATGTTCCTCGCGAGCAAAGAACCCATGGTCAGATACGGCGCAACCTTCCTCATCGCTAGCGGCGCCTACTCCTTCGGCGCCCTCTGCAACGCCCAAGTCGCTGCTAACGTCGTCTCCGACACAGCCAGAGGCGCCGCAATCGGCACCAATGTCCTGTTTGGCAACGTCGGCGGTCTAATTTCCACCTGGTCATTCCTGCCGACCGACGGCCCCGATTACCTTATCGGCAATGGCCTTGATTTCGCTACCTCGTCAACCATTCTCCTGCTATCCATCCTCCTGCTCTTCTGGATGAAGGCGGATAATCGGCGGAGGAGCAAGAAGGATGTCGATTCTATACTCGCTGGCCTTAGTCAGAAGGAGGAGCAGGACCTTGACTGGAAGCATCCGGCCTTCAGATGGAAGCCATAGGGGTGAAGGTCAGACTCGTCTTTACTCGGATAATGTGGATTCAGCAGGATTTTAGTATACTGTAATCACATTTTTAATATATCATTTAAGCGCAGCACAATCGTCACCACGACCAAAAAGCTCATCATCACGCCTTGTAACCTCCTACATTGCCCCTCTCATTGGCATCTGTAACAGTGACAGCACTATCGATACCCCGCGGATAACCTCCCCGTCCTATAAAATGGCCGAGTCACTTAAAACTCCATGCACTTCTCGAGATGCTTAACCCCTTGATGTGCATTGAAGAGGCATTCATGAATCGCACGAAGTAGAGAAACCACGAGTTCAAGTTCAAGTAAGGACTTCGAAATTCTGCGGATACGGAAAGTCCCCATACATCTGAGTGCTTGAATTGAAACGTGCCCAAACTCTTGCAACCTCGAATGATTGTCGAAGTTATCTCCAAGCCGACAGCATTTCAAGAGCATAATGGTGTATATCTTAGTATACTTATTATCACATCAAAATAAGCAGAGCGATACATTGTTGTATAACGTTCATTTATTGACTATGAAACCACAAAGGTCGGCGTATCTACTATATAATTGCTCGGGCTCAGCACTTCCTTTTGGCACAGGACTGGTGAGGTGTGTCGAGCAGAAGGTTCTCGTAGAGCGGAATCGTCGTGTGCGGGAAATAAGGAGGCGCAGTGACATGGCCCTGTGAGCTGTTCTTATATCATTGAACTACAAAACCACGACAGCCTCCGGGGCATTTGCCTGCTGTGACTTCAACTTTTCACTAGGGCTCAACTCAAACACGCCTTCCTCCTATTGCCCTTCGACCACTGTGCTCTGAATAGCTTTCCCCTCTAATCTCGCATCACCCGTCTTCATAGTCGCGTATAAAGCCGTGACTCATTTAGCCGCTGACGTCCGACACAGTTCTCAAATTTCCAGCTCGCTGCCAGTTCATCCATCTGTTCGTAGCTCAAGTCTTTGAAATAATCCGCCCACTCCGGTATCATGTACTCAGCCATGGTGATGCCTCTAATACCGCGGAAGACGTGCATGTGCGTGCGCCACTGCCAAGGATATTTCTTGCTATAGTTTTCGGGTACATTGTCCGCGAACCATTGATGAAGAGGCTCGAAGAGTCCGGGCTGCAGATGTGCGTCATCGTAGGCCCAGGAGTCGACAGCTAAGGCGCGCTTTTTTTCGAGGATGGGGGCGAGTAGACACATCCAGGCAGAGGCAGGAGAGAAGTGCGTCATGCCCATTACGTTGATATCTTTGTAGGACCAAATGTTCCATGCGTTAGAAAGCAGATTCAGACGGTGTAAATCAAGGGTATAAATTATGACCCTACAGGGGCAGTTTATGACTTACCAATTCCTTCAGCAGTATAAATAGACATCTGCTTGTCAAGCATCTTGTAGCGTTCTTCGTTCGATCCTCCCAATCGCATTCGTTTCCGGTCTTTCGTAAATGGGTCCAAATTCTCCGTTCCAAATTGGTACGTTGTGCTTCTTCATAAACTCGACTTTGCGGTCATACATTTTGCGGATGTAGACATCCTGCTCTGGTTCACCTTTATAATGGCCAATTCGCCAAATCCGCAGTAGTCGTGCACCGCATATACAGTGTTAGGGAAGACTGTTGAGAAGCCAGAAAAGTCTATGCTGAATCTGCAGTATTGCAGTGTTGCCTTCGAGCCAGAGTATGTGATCTGGATCATCTCTCACAGCCGGTACGATACGATCATAAAGGGCCAAGAGACGCGACCACTGCTGGTCAGCGGGCTCGCTCAAAAGATTGTATCCTGCGACCCAGGTATTTGACTTATAGCGCTTTGCAATAAATTGCCAAAGGTTGATCACTTGGTCTTGAAAATGCTTATGATCCCAGAATGCAGCGTAGCCTGTAGGATTATCGCAGTGCCAATCCTGAGACTGGCCACCAGGTGCAGCTTGGAGATCTAAAATCGTATAGATATTATATTTGGCGCACTGGATAGAATTTCCGTAATTAGCGATATGAACGTACTTGTTCTTGTGGAGAGAGGATGCACATACAATTTTAACAACCCGATCGACATGCTTTAAGCCTTCTTTTTTAATAACCATAGTTCATGTCGTCTTCAAAATGGTGATAATTCAACGGTAAACGTAGGGAATTTATGCCGGGCGACGCCAGAAATTCGGCATCCTTCTTGGTGAAGAAGTATTCTAAAAACTTGTCGAAAAAGAAGTCACTCTTTTTTTTTACCAAGCATTTCATCCAATGCTCGTCGAATCTGCATTTCCCGGCCTGGAAAGCCATTCATGAAGTTCTCCATGAGCATCCATCCTCCTAGAGCTGTCTGGTAAGTGTCAGTTGATGATAGCACAAATCTCGAAGGTGAGAATTACACCACGAAGCAATACCACATTTCCATTGGCATCGACTATACTCGAGCTCTTTGTCCTTAAGATTCCGCTTGACATGGTTTTAGAATATGAGGGTACGATACACCAACGAGGTCGAAATGGACGCCACGTGGATTGGTTCAAAGATTAAGGATAAAAAGTGAAGTTCATAATCGTATATAAAGGGCGACAACATCTCATTAGAGAGAAACCATACCCCCATTTTAAATAAATCCATTGCGACATCGGGCCATCGACATGTATTCAAATTTGACTCCAATAACGCTGGCGGTCGAGGCATCTGGTAACGGGGCAACTCTTTGATTTTGCCCCGAGCGAATAAGGAACTTTGTTCAATGCTGGTCCCGCGTTAATGGTGTAAGCCGCGGGATAACTAAGGGCAATTCCCTCGTTAAAGCGAGCCTCTAGGAATTTTTCTGTTTAGCCAGTTCTCCTCGAATGCAGGTGTTAGTCTGGGGCATGCATTATGGGGCTGGGGCCCCCGGATCGACAATGCAAAATTGGACCATGTCTAGCTCTGGCTCGCAAGCTTAAACATCTATATACCATGGCATTGATTTCACGTGCGAAGCTGGAAGCTGCCGCGTGGGGTGAGATAATGAGGGAAAGCGTTCTCGAAGTATAAAACCATCCGACATACCCATTAGATTTCGTTAATAACCTGCCATTAGACCTGCCTCATCTCTCACCTCCCTTAATATTGCTCTAGACATATATCGCAGCTTCCGAGTCAGTTCAATCATGGACTCCCTCCGCAAACGTTAGCTATACACGCTCCGCCAACGCCATCCTGCTGCCTCTGGCCAAATCTCCTATGCTAAAGCTGCTCGCTTCCCTTACATCCACCTACTATTGTGTCTCATCTTCATCGCCGACCACGTCTTCGGCTTCGAGAATGTGGTGGCGCGCGCTAGGAGACGCCTGAATAGCAGCGCCTACATCGGCAATGCCGTCCCTCGACTGTACATCTACTCGAGCGCGGATCAGATGGTGCCTGCACCAGACGTCGAGACCCACGCCAAGCAGGCACGTCGCGCCGGTTACAGCGACGTAGCCAACTTACGCTTTGAGGCCAGCGGTCACTGCGCCCACGCCTCCAGATATGCCGAGCAGTATTGGGACGGCATCGCTAGACTTTTTGACAAGAGCAACATCATCGCACAAGGGTGGCAATGGGATTTGATCTCCTCTCGTAGTCTGTTAATAAGTTTAAGTGCATTTTAATATTAATATCGGTTAACCGAGCATCGATTGACAACTATAATTTTATATAATTATAATTTCGTTTATATAACTACAATTTTTTTTAATAGCACGTGATGAATTCCGATTTAGATCGACCACAAGAGCTGAAAAGGTGCCGCTTCCCACCAACAAGACTTAAGACTCTAGAAGATAGACACTCCGGCAACACGCGTAGGGATGAACCCATTCAGAGCCGCATCTCGGACAGATGCACAGTGGCTGTTTGTGGGCTTTGCCTCGGCATTCCTCGATGTTGAGTCAGACGGTGCCAATTTATCGCAATCTCGAGCCTGCAACGCAGGTTTTAGGCCTGGATGCAAAGCCTTTTACACATCAAATGAAGACGGTGAAAATGGCTCTCAAAATCACAAGGGGTTAGCCGAGGCAGACCTTGATGAGGCGGCGTTGGACCTAAAGAGCCAGATTCTCGTGTTTCAGTACAAAGGAAAATTCCACGCCATAGACCATGTATGTCAGCTAAATGGATTTAAAGCACTCTACTACGGCTAGTTCTAATAACATAAATTTGTAGCAATGCCCCCATTCATCATTTCCTCTTTCACGGGGCACAGTTTTTGATATCGAGGACTTTGGCGTTGTTCTTAGCGTTGGGGTTACTTGTCCGAAACATGACTGGTCTTTTGACTTATTTACTGGAACAGGCGATCGCGGGAATTACAAGCTCAAAATATGGGAAGTGCAGTTGCGTGGTGTAGATGGTTCGGATAAAGAAGTTTGGGTGAGGAAAAAGCAGAGAATGGGATAAACAGCTTCATTTTAGCTTTGTAATTGAGCGATTAATTGTATAATTTGTACGATTTTGCGGGCAGCGCATAGCAACTATGGCTCAGGGAAAAGCGAGAGTAACGGAGAAGGTAGGGATAGGTAATAGCGATCGTAGCTGCGAGGAAAAGCCACAGCCGTAGGGGAAAGCGAGAGCAACGGAGACGGCAGGGACGAGTAACAGCGACCTGGGAAAAGCGACAGCATCCGTGGATGCGGGGGAAAGCTAGAGTAACGGGGGTGAGGGCGGCGCGAGAGTGGTACAAGCGTGGTGAGGGTTGGTGAGGGTGGTGAGGAGAGTGCTGTTGGGTTCTTTATAAACTTCATGGCACAGAATTTTGTTGGGTCTATGTGGGAGTTATAAGATAGTTAAGGACCTCGATGTCCTCTTAAACATCAGAGATCACTGGGGACGGAGAGGGGCCTGTTCTGTCCGGTTTTTAATTGTATTTTATTAGCTATATAGTTTGTACAACTGTTACACTGTGTTACATTTCTAACACGCCTCATCTCCTCGAGGATATATCGTGCGAGTCCTGAACAATCTCAGGGGAGGTGGTAGAACCCTTCTTTGTCTGCTCAACGCCCTCTCCAGAAATGACGGTACTGTCCTTCACTGGCACTTCAGCCGGCTCGATATCATCATGACCACCACCCAGCAAATCCACTCGAACCACCTTCCCTACTCCCTCAGATTCACGGTGGCTCTCATCCTTTCCAAGTGGCAGCTCCTCCCCAATCTCTATCCCGGATCCACCACCAATACCACCCTCCCCCTTCTCGGGGCACGCTTCCTTCCTGCCCCCCTCATCTACAACCTCCTCCTCCTCCCAATCCTTCGCAACCCATCTCCTCCACGGCTTATACGCTATCACGCCCCCGACTGCCCCTATCACAAATAGCCCACAAATGCACCCACCCAGAACATCATAATACTCCCCTAGCGTCTCCAGGCCGTCCCAGAAGGGCCCCTCTGGCTCCGCCACATTGGCGATTAGCGACAGGAGTTGGATCGTGCCGATACAGATCGCTACCATCACGGTTATGCCGGTGAGGATGATGGAGTAGTAGAGCGTGGCGAGGGGATCACGAGCTTTGCCACTGGTGGTGTACAGCGTCATCATTAAAGCACCATCTGTGGTGTCGATGAGGCACATTCCGGCTAGGGGGTGTTAGTTTGTATCTCTCCTGCTTCTCTTAATCTATAACCGCACGGGGGATCACATACCAGTAAACAACAACGGAAAAATCAGAATCAACCACAAACTGGTCCCCGACGCACCCTGCACTGATGCAATCCCCAACACCGCAATCTCACTACTCGTGTCGAAGCCCAGCCCAAACAGCACGCCAAGGGGGTACATCTTCCACGGGCGATCGATAACCCGAAACACCCCCTTTAACACCCGCAACAGGATTCCACCCCCCGCAGCCGTCAACAACCCGTCCTTCTCCCCATCTCCCCCTTCCTCCTCTTTCCCCTGCCGCCGCAGTACAGCCCGCATCCGCTCCACCAGCCTAAACAGCAAATACCCGTTCCCGATTCCCAGCAGGATCAGAACCGCAGCACTGACAGCTGTTCCTATGATGCCGCCGACGCGCGAAAAGCCGCCGAAGCGGTCTTCGAGCGCGCCAGCGGTGGCGGCGACCACGATGCAGGTTATGATCACGATGGTGGAGTGCCCGAGACTAAACCACGTGCCGACGGTGACGGGGTGCTGGCCGGAGGCGACGAGGCGCCGGGTCATTAGGTCGATGGCCGCGATGTGGTCGGCGTCTAGGGCGTGACGGAGGCCGAGCGTGTAGGAGAGGATGGCGGGGCCGGAGAGGTAGGGGTGGTAGTGGATGACCACGCCGCTGGCGGCCCAGAGGAGGGCGTTGACTAGGATAAGGAGGGCGATGATGCGAATGGCGGGGAAGGGGAGGATGCGTATGCGGGAGGGGAGACGGGCGGCGAGGCGCGCGGGGAGGGAGGGTGAGGGGAAGGTGGGAGGCATGGTGAGGGGTGTGGTGGTGGGCGTGTTTGGTGGGAGCTCTCCTCTTGCTCTTCCTCCTCTGAAGGGCGGGTATACGGCGTATATAGCTGGTTATAAGCGCGCTTCACCACTGAGGCAAGGATGACGAGGTAAACACGGGAGTAGCTTCACGACGGCGCAACGATTTCAGTATACTCTATCGAAGAGGAAGGGGAGGAGAATAGTAGAGGAGGAGGGAGAGGAGGAATGAAGAGGAGGATGGAGTGTGCCAATATTTTCCCTCCTAGTTTCCCGTCATTACATTTGGCCCTGCCATGAGGCATGTCAGTAAATGAGCCCTGGCTCCTAGCTGTAAACAGCAAAGCGGGAGGAGGTGTGGAAGAGGAGGTGATGCTTGATTCGGTGGGCGGAGGGGGTTATCTATCTTATCTTGATAAGAACGTATTCGGCATGTAAGTTGGTAACGGTAACGTACGTAAGCCAGTACTCGGTGGTTTGTCCACCTACTCGCTTCGCTCGTAGGTGGCGAAAGCGAGTTGGGTATGCGAAAGCGAGTCTGGGTATGCATCAATATGATATACATATCTATGAATCAACGAGGTAATAGCGTAGTATTGATAGATAACTACCTGAACAATATAAAATTAACAGAGCTATTTTCACTATCTAAACTTTGTACCAACCCATTTTCATCTTCGTCGTCGCACTCTTATACAGTCAACTCCCGTTAAGTCGATACAATTGGTGACACATGTAAATGTCGTAAAAGTGAAAATATCGTTAACGTGGTTTATCACCGAGTCGCGCACTTTTCCTTGGCACGGAACTTCAAATATAAATACTACCCCTAAAGAAAATAGTAAATTTTTTACAAATTAAAATCTAAAGAGCTAGATACATCTTCTTCTATTTTACAAGTTCGCGCGTTATGGCCAGCCTTTCCGCAAGTGCCACAGCACCGTCCAGACGGTTGTCCCTCAACCTGATTGCCCCTCTCTGCACGTCAGTCGCGTCGAACCTGCTCATCTACCTCCTGCTGAGACAAAATATCGTATGCATCCTCTACTGTAAGTGCACCTCCTTCACGGATACGGTTATTTTTAGCCCTGCGACGCTTGCTAAGCGCTTCATTTGCTGCTCGAAGTGTACGGATCTCCTCTGTTAAAAGGGTATTCTGGTGAGCTAATCGCTCAGTGCCCTTTGCTAACGCAAAGACTGTCTCAAAAAGAGGTGTTGGCGAGCTTCCCTGGTGACGGGCAATCCTTTGCTTCACAAGAGTTGTCTGTGAGAGGGCCTCGGTAGGGTTGTGAGGTGTCTGGGAGACCCAAGGGTCGGCGTCGGCAGGGAGGGGTAAAGCAGGAGATGGAGTCCGTAACTTCACATCGAGCTTTGAAATAACAGCTTGAGGGTTGAAAGGCACTAGGCCAGCTCCACGGAATCCAGCCTGAGCGTTTTGGGTCGTTATTGACTCTATAAACGCTGCTTGGAAGGCAAGGAAGAACTCGACCTTAGTAATATGGTTAATATGAGCCTTAATAAAGGTCTCGATTTGTCGCCCATATGCCCTTTTCAACACACTAAAACACCCAACGTCAAGTGGCTGGGTAAGATGGGACGAGTGAGGAGGCAAACAAAGAGTAATAATGTTATGAGCCTTACAATACTCCTGAAATTCGGCCGATTCGTGACTCTTGTGCCCATCTAACACAAGCATTCGATATGGACCCTTCGCACGAGTAGCAGTGTGTTTATCGAAGTGTTTGATCCATTCTAGACCCGTCTCATTATTTGTCCATCCATTAATTGTTGGCTTAATCACCCAGTCGTTTGGGAGGTCGGCCTCAGTGTACCAATTCGTGAGATGATTCTTCCCTTGCACTACTAAAAATGGAGGCACATTCCAACCCTCACTACTAATACAAGCAATCGCTGTTGCCCATTCCCAATTGCCAGGCTGAACTGCCTTGCTGTCATACTGACATTCGTTGCACTCAGTTTGCTATCAAACTCAAGAGCAAACTTAGAAATCTCCTCCTCAAACCTACAAGTCACCATACATATCTTGGCTTATCACACCAACAACAGAAGCAATACTACTCAACGATTGCTGCAAACTCTTCTACTACATCTGTTTATGCTACATACATCACAGCATATCATTTGGACACTCATTGAACAAGTTATTAAGAAAATCTCCTCCTTAAGGGGGTGGGCCAATACTACCACATGGCATATCTCTACCAACTAGAGGCCTAGGAACATGAACGATAGCTCTAGAAGCTTCTACAACCCTCTATGATTCATTACACGTCATCGCTCCTTAGTTACCCACAAGATTGGTTAAGTTATGACATAATTTATCTATAGGTACTCTGACCTTGGACCTCCTTTTCACTTCCTATAGGCTAGGAACCCAAGAGATGGTTCTATGGGATTCTCTTACGTTCACTACATGATTAGCAAGCTAGTTGTGGGTCGCACTTGATTTCTAATACATTTACCAAGCCTGGTTAGTCATGGAAAGTCATGGAAAATGAGAGAACTACACTCCTTTGGCATAAATAGGATTGCCCTTTCCTTAAGAAAGGGCAAGCAGGCAATACAGTAAATCGACTATCACATACTTCCACGTCTTTTACAAGCTTCCAAGCATTCATCTTGTTACTCCTTGTTTCTGAAAAGTCAGTGAGGTGTTAACCTCTGACTTACCCCTGAGTTCCCAGACTCAACATTTGTTGCAACTTGTCTGAACCACTTCACTACATCACACACCTGATTGCTGCGTTGTGGAATAGTCTAAACTACGACCCTTTGGCTCTGTTTCCTAAGACAGTGTGTTGTCTTAGTAAAATCACCCCTTCCTTGGGTGGCTAAATTCTCACATCTGGTGCACCCACCATTACATCTACCTGGTATACAGACGCTTTACCGTCTAATTGGGAAATTGCGGTTAGTGATAACGGCTGGACTACGGACCAATTAGGCCTTATCTGGCTTACAGATGTCTTCGAAAAACATACAAAGGATTGTAGGGAAGGAGTATATCGACTTCTTATTCTTGACGGACATGGAAGTCATATTACAGCCGAATTTGACTTGTTTTGCAAGGACCATAATATTATTACTCTCTGTATGCCTCCGCATTCCTCGCATTTACTTCAACCTCTTGATGTAAGCTGTTTTGCGGTCCTAAAACGGTCATACGGGCGACAAATTGAAGATCTTATGCAGGCCGGAGTTAATCATATTGATAAGTCTGATTTCTTTCCAGCTTATTTTACGGCCCGTACGGAAGCTTTAACCTCACATACGATCTGTAGTGGGTTCTGTAAGGACACAGGGCACCCAGCTCACAGTAATAGCATATGAGAGTGCGAGTCAGAGGCTAAACGGATGCTATCCTATAGGTCTACTACGAAGGATACAAAAAAGATGATGGGGAACCCTGTCAGTCGATTTTCTCAAGTATCCGAAACCCATCCGACTCGGTTCTGACTCGGTTAGGCCACCCAAATGATCACACGTGACCCCGCGGCTACCCGGAGTCTATTCCCTAGAATGAGAGACGAGAAGGCATCCTTACACTGAGTTCTCAGACTCAACATTTGTTACAACTTGTCTAAACCAATCCACTACCTATAAAGTGCCCGAATCAACACTCCGCGATAGAATGGCTGGCCGAACCCACCGTGCTGAAGCTCGATCGAATTGTCACAAATTAAACGATATAGAAGAGGATACAATTGTTCAGTATATACTCAGTCTGGATTTCAGAGGATTTGCGCTCCGACTTGCTGGTGTTGAAGATATGGCTAATCTTCTTCTTAAATCGCGAGGATAGAACCCCGTAGGAAAGCTCTGGGCCCATCGATTCGTACAACGGCAACCACATGTAATGGTGGCTGTGTAACGCTGACTTCTAAATGATAGAAGACACAGAGGTTCTCTTGCGTAAAGGTTTACTTATCAGAGGAGGCAGGGGATCAGACACAAAGGCTTCAAGTAACACGTTACTAGTATATAACAAATACTGTATTGAGTTGAGCACGAAGCTCCTATCTAAGGAAATACTATCTACTTATATAGTGGCGTCGTGCCTCATGGGTAATCTGGATAGTTGGCGGATAGCTAGATATTCAGGATAGTTTGTGGATAGCTCAACTATCCAATATCCACTAGTTTCTGCAACTATCCATTAGCCCCGTCACATGGCAGCCTACCCCGCTTCCCACTGTGACTCACACGTCACGTTACTAGGCCCTGGCCCTGTAACCATGACATCATGTTACTATAGCCGTAACAGGGTGCACCAGATGTGAGAATCTAGCCACCCAAAGAAGGGGTGATTTTACTAAGACAACACACTGTCTTAGGAAACAGAGCCAAAGGGTCGTAGTTTAGACTATTCCACAACGCAGCAATCAGGTGTGTGATGTAGTGAAGTGGTTCAGACAAGTTGCAACAAATGTTGAGTCTGGGAACTCAGGGGTAAGTCAGAGGTTAACACCTCACTGACTTTTCAGAAACAAGGAGTAACAAGATGAATGCTTGGAAGCTTGTAAAAGACGTGGAAGTATGTGATAGTCGATTTACTGTATTGCCTGCTTGCCCTTTCTTAAGGAAAGGGCAATCCTATTTATGCCAAAGGAGTGTAGTTCTCTCATTTTCCATGACTTTCCATGACTAACCAGGCTTGGTAAATGTATTAGAAATCAAGTGCGACCCACAACTAGCTTGCTAATCATGTAGTGAACGTAAGAGAATCCCATAGAACCATCTCTTGGGTTCCTAGCCTATAGGAAGTGAAAAGGAGGTCCAAGGTCAGAGTACCTATAGATAAATTATGTCATAACTTAACCAATCTTGTGGGTAACTAAGGAGCGATGACGTGTAATGAATCATAGAGGGTTGTAGAAGCTTCTAGAGCTATCGTTCATGTTCCTAGGCCTCTAGTTGGTAGAGATATGCCATGTGGTAGTATTGGCCCACCCCCTTAAGGAGGAGATTTTCTTAATAACTTGTTCAATGAGTGTCCAAATGATATGCTGTGATGTATGTAGCATAAACAGATGTAGTAGAAGAGTTTGCAGCAATCGTTGAGTAGTATTGCTTCTGTTGTTGGTGTGATAAGCCAAGATATGTATGGTGACTTGTAGGTTTGAGGAGGAGATTTCTAAGTTTGCTCTTGAGTTTGATAGCAAACTGAGTGCAACGAATGTCAGTATTGTCACGGTTCACCAAGGCATAGGGCGCCAGTTGGGTATTATGAATTAAACTCAATCTAGAGAAGAAAGGAAAGAGAAGAGGAGCACTCGAGCAGTGGCTCGATCTATATACAGCTATTGTGGAGTGAATTCTCTTTAGCGAGACCAGTTCTGAGAATTCACTCCACAACTGAAAACTTCGCTCCAACCCCGGAAAGCTCCCCACACCCCTGAACCCCCACTCGAGCTGCAAGGCGCACTTGATATCGTAACAAGTATGACAGTAGAGATATGGAGTTTGCCTTTAAGTATAATCATCGGAGGAAGCGACCAACCGTCCGCATTAATACACTCAATAGCCGTAGTCCATTCGCGGTTCCCAGGTTGGACTGTTACAGGCCGTACGATCAGAGGCCGTAATGACTTTTGCGGTCGAAATCACACCCATTTGAAAGCCCGTCTCATCAAAGTTATAGATATCCATGTCCCGGATTCCATATTTTGCAACCGTATTTCGTAGGAGTTGGAACCAGTCTCGAATAACAGTCGGGTCTTCGCATAAGGCATGCTTGTAATCGTATTTGCGATTATAACAGGCCCGTAAAGAGTCATGGCGTCGTACAAAGTTATATGGCCATTGGACGCCAACTTGTTGCGGAGGAGACGCGTCCGTACTGGTCCGTTTTTGAAGCAATAAGTTAGCCATATCTCGAATTGAAGCCGTACGAACCAGTAAGCCTCGCTCATCCATAGATAAGATCCAATTAACAAGTGTTAATTCCTCTGTATCTGTAAGTTTAAGGTTTGCGGACCGTATTTCTCGTTGCGGAACGCGTCCTTGGAGACGCGCCCATAAAGTTGTATGAGAGACCTCGTACGTGTCCGCTGCGCCCCGTATACTAGTAAAATAGCCTGATTTGTATGATTTGACCGCAAGGGCCATTCGCCCTTCTTTAGATAGTGATTGGATATCAATTGGTTGAGACATGACTAGTAAAGTGGTCTGTAAAGTGGTGGTTTTGGTGGGGTGTGGACCGCCTACTTGTATGGACCGCTTACTTATCAAGTACGTTAACGTACATGTATAGCGAAAGCGCCAAACAAGCGAAAGCGCCAAAATGATGCGGTGACCAAACCCCCCAACTAAATGTTAAATTCCTCAACAACAAAACATGCCCCATAAAAACGATGAAAGCCAATTAGTGCTAGCTATCCAGGCTATGCAAAGCGACCCAAAGTTACGCCTTCGAGTTGCTGCTAGGATCTATTCTGTGGACCACCGCAAGCTAGGTCGTCGTCTAGAAGGTGTACCTTCACGACGCGATATCCAAGCCAACTCACGGAAATTAACTAACCTAGAGGAGTCCGTCCTTGTTCAGTATATACTCGACCTAGCTGCCAAAGGGTTTCCTCCTCGGCTGTCTGTTGTTGAAGATATGGCAAGTCGACTACTTGCAACACGCGACGCGTCACGCGTTGGGTCGCGTTGGGCTTCAAACTTTGTTAAGCGGCGTGTAGAGCTCCAGACATGCTTTCAGCGCAAATACGACTACCAGAGGGCTAAGTGCGAAGATCCAGAAGTTATTAATGGCTGGTTTGAGCTTGTGCGTAACACAATTGCGAAATATGGTATCGATGAAGCAGATATCTACAACTTTGATGAGACTGGGTTTATGATGGGCGTTATCTCAACTGCTATGGTTGTAACAAGCTCAGACGGGCGGGCAAAAGCAAAGAAGGTACAGCCTGGTAATCGGGAATGGGTTACAGTAATCCAAGGCGTTAGTTCTCAAGGTTGGGCAGTACCACCATTTATCATTGTTGCAGGCAAAAACCACCTTACATCTTGGTATGAGAATAGTGGATTTTCAAGCGATTGGGTGATTTCTGTTACTGAAAATGGCTGGACTACAAACGAGAGAGGCATGGATTGGATTCAGCACTTTGAGAAGCATACAAAGGCCCGGAGTGTTGGTGGTTATCGCTTGTTAGTCCTTGATGGTCATGAGAGCCACCACTCAGATGAGTTTGAGGAGTACTGCAAGGAACACAACATTATTACGCTTTGTATGCCTGCTCACTCTTCTCATCTACTCCAGCCACTTGATGTTGGCTGTTTCGGCCCGTTAAAGCAGGCCTATGGTCGGCAAATTGAAGATATGATGCAGGCTCATATTTCTCATATTACAAAGGATGACTTCTTTCCTGCCTTCCACGCTGCATTTAACACTACAATGACGGAAAGTAACATTCGAGGCGGGTTCCGAGGGGCAGGGCTTCTTCCATTTGACCCTGAGAGAGTGATATCTACACTTGATCTTAAGTTAAGGACACCAACGCCTCCAAGCTCCCGCCCAGGTACTGCTCAACCTTGGGTTTCTCAGACACCAAACAACCCAATTGAAGCTATGTCACAGTCTACATTTATTAAAACTCGGATTTCACGCCATCAAAATAGCTCTCCAACCTCAATCTATGCAGCTGTTGACCAGTTTACAAAGGGTGCATCGCAAATAATGCATCAATTAGCACTGCTAAAGGGAGAGAACCAAAACCTACGACAGGCAAATGAAGTACTAAGCAAGCGCCGGAGAGCTAGGAAAACACGACTACAGCAAGGAGGATCACTTAGTCAACAAGGGGCGCAAGAGCTACAGGATGAGAGGGATGTTGTGCAGCAGGTAGAGCAGGAAATAAGGGCAAGCCGTGGTCGGAAGCCAAGGGAAGAAACCCGTGCCCGTCGCTGTGGCAAGTGTGGTGAGACTGGGCACAATGCGCGCACGTGTCAGATTGTAATAGACACCTCTGAGGAAGAGGACTCCGAGTAGTTTCAATTGATTTCTAATGTTGTGGTAGATTTATCGCAATGTTTGTCGTGAGGGTAGATAATTTTGGCGCTTTCGCTTGTTTGGCGCTTTCGCTATACATGTACGTTATATAAAACTTATTTATGAACTTACCGGGTATATAAAACTTTTGCCCTTAAAACATAAGTTAAAGCCTTGATACGTACCTTAGGTAGAAACTTAAATCAGGCAATTAATTTTAAGGCGGTGTGACGCAGGTGGCTTAGACATTTGCCAGGTACATGATCCACGGTGCTATATGTGTGATTTCACGTTCCAATTATGCCCGAAAAGAATAGCATTCTTGGCCTCCAACGACAGGGACTACACTGTGCGTGAGGCCCTGATTTTGAGTTGATCAGAAAACCATGCCTCTCCAGTTTCCCCCCATCCCAAGTCCCAATCTAATTTTTTGGTCGCATCTAGGAAAAATCTAGGAAAAATCCACCCCCCATCATCTTCTCTTGCCTTGCCGATCTCCGTCTAAAAGACGGCCAAGCTCACGTTCTCCCTCAGTGCTACATACTCACTGTCCGCGTAACCGAGCACCTCCCCAATGCCTTCGCTATGTAGTCCCTTAATGCGCGCGATCTCCGTGCTACTGTAGTTCACCAGCGCGCGTCCAACCTCAAGTGGCGTTCCACACCAGAGCGGCGGGGGTGGGGTGCTTGAGCGTCGGTGAGTATGGATGGGTAGCGCCGTGATTGGCGCCGTGATTGGCGCCGAGAGCGGGGTAGAGGTAGGCGGAGTCCCAGTCGGTGGGGTCTGCGTGTAAGTGTGCGCCAGCCCATCGCCAGCAGACGTAGTCGCAGCAGCCGCGCCATCGACAGCTGCCTCGGTCTCCTCAGCGACACTCCTTGCGGGGGTCACAGGCGTGATCCGCTCCACGACCACTATGCGGACTGCCTCCTGCTGACCGAACGTGCCAGCGACGTCCACGATGCCGACGGGAAGCAGACCAGCCTTGTTGCTTAGCGCGCGGTGCGCACCGGCGTCGATGTAGACCGTGCCGTGAGGGGCAAGACCGTGGAGGAGCCAGAAACTGCGGTCGCGGATAGGGTGGCGCGACGGGGAGAACCGGGTGTGAGGGGGGCGTTGCGGGAGGTTGGATGGATCGAAGGGCGAGGGCGAGGAGGAGCCGGAAGGGCTAGCGACCGCCGGGGTATTGAGGGCGGAGAGGGCTGTGAGAGCTGTGAGGGATTTGTTGCGGGGTAGGCCAAGGGATTGCGTATAGGATACAATGGGGAAGATGTATTGCGGGTGTGCCGAGGAGGCGATGATGGTGGTGACACCAGCGGAGGAGGCGAGGCGGGCGGCAACGATTTTGGTGCTCATGCCGCCTGTTCCTAGGGAGGAGCCGGCGGAGGAGACTACAAAGTTTAGTTGGAGGTGGGAGAGGAGAGAAGGCAATGTGACTCACCATCGGCTCGGAGGGCGTCAATGTCGTCGACGACTTCAATTGCCTTTGCGTCAGGATTCGTACGCGGGTTCGCGGTGTAGAGGCAGTCGACGTCAGTCATGAGAAAGAGATAGTCGGCGTGGACCATGGCGGCCGTGATGGCCGACAGGGTGTCGTTGTCACCAAACTTAATTTCAGCAACGGCGAGAGTGTCGTTCTCATTGACAATGGGGATCACGCCCATATCGAGGAGCTCGTTAATCGTATTGACTGCATTGATATATTGTGAACGCTGGGATGTCGTGTCAGTGTACATATTCGTAGGAGCTAGTTAGGCCTTACATCGGCAATATCGTTGCGGGTCAGAAGGATTTGAGCGATGGGTGTGCGGAGCTGCTCGAAGAGATTGTCCCATAGCCCCATAAGTCTGCATTGCCCAATTGCTGCCAGAGCCTGGAGAAAGGTCAGCAACGCCGTATGTTAGGCTGGGGTGATGTTGGAAAACCTGGATGCGAGGCAAATGCTTTGGTCTTTTCTTCACGTCCATGCGCCTCAAGCCAACGCCGATGGCGCCCGAGGAGACGAGGATGACTCTGTGTCCATCTTCATGTAACTTCACAGCGGTCTCAACAATGAGAGACAAGGTTGAGAGGAGCGGCTCATGAGTATGCTCATCAACAATCGAGCTCGTGCCTGAGCAATGAGCGTTAATTGGGCTGTGGGCCAAATATGAGTCGACTCACCAAGTTTTATGACAATAGTCAAGGGCTTTGGTCCCTTCATGTTTGCTACATTTGACACGACGATCGAGCAAAGAAGGCAGGGGAATAAGTAGCTTTATAGACAACTTGGACAAGGCTGATAAACCGGCTGAATGGAGATCCTCGATGTCGTCGTTTCCCCCCCACCTTTGTTTGGAGTTTAGTGGTGCGCCCTGTCAAAGTTCCGAGTATCGCATCCGTACCCCACCGAGCCCGGGCAGAATACGGCCAACTGTTTTCTCACCGCCCTTAAACCGCGCTCGGCGTACTAGTACAGCGACTCTAATTTGGAAACTCACCAGCGCGACTAGCTTGACCAAACACACAATGACATCGCAGACACCCCCGACGGAGCAGGCACAGGCAACAGCCAGCTCGACTGAGCGCCCTCCAGTGTCGACATGGAACCCTAACAACGACCCGGCGAAGACGGGCTACGACCCGACCAAGCGATGGGCGAACTACTTCAACATCCTGCTGGGCAAGATGAGCCAGGAGGGCCAGGAGGCATTTCGTGAGGACGCATACATCCGCAACGAGGCGCGAGACTGCAGTAACTGCGACAAGTGGCGGGACTACCTGTTCGAGTACTCGCCGACCATCCGTTTCATGTCCAAGAACATCATGGACCTGAATGGCAAGCTGGACCGGAGTAACGTGCAGTGTCGCCGGTGTCCTACGCGGCGAGTTATTGGAGAGGATGGGAAGGAGCATACGGTTAGGCAGGGGGGCGGGTTCAGTCCGGATCACGGCATTTTGATCTGTGCGAATGAGATGAGGAATCAGGGACATCTGGAGGATACGTTGGCGCACGAGATGGTACATGCTTGGGATCATTTGAGGTGGAAGGTAGACTGGTCGGACTTACGGCATGCGGCGTGCACAGAGGTAAGAGGTCTGACTGGACGGTTATTGCATTGTGCTGACAACCCTTAGATTCGAGCATCCAGCCTGAGCGGCGAGTGCAGGTGGACCAGAGAGTTCTTCGTAAGGAACAACTTCACGCTCACACAACAACACCAGAACTGCGTCAGAAACAGGGCTATTCGGTCCGTCATGAATCGTCCAAGCTGCAAGGACGATGTACATGCGACCAAGGTGGTCAACGAAGTTTGGGACTCATGTTTTGCGGATACCCGGCCATTCGACGAGATCTACCGGTAATGTGTTATATCACGACCACATTGCGTTTGTACAACAGTTGTTTGTATAGTATATATATGTAGTTATCATTTGCATGGGTAAGCGTAGGCGTTAAGGCTGGAAAACATAGAAACTCCAACTCCAACTTTCATGCATATCATGTCCAATTCCCCTGTCCTGCCCCATCCAAGTTAAAACGCCTCCGCTAGATACAATTAGAGGAGATAAAAAGGGATTCGTGATTCATTCCCTACCCTCAAGAGAGGATTTGCTGCCTGATGATTTCGACTCTCGCTGTGTTGCTCGCTCCCCTTTCACACAGTGTTTGATGATCCAGGGATGCTGCAGAACCTGATCAAGCGGGATACGCTTCTCGGGGTCCAGAACGAGGAGCTATAAATGTCAGCTATATACTAAGAAGTAGGTATATGAAAAATTACTCGTTTGATCAAGTCCTTCGCCTCCGGAGAAACGAACGAAGGGACAGTCATGTCTGCCCTCGTAATCCTCCTCTGTGTCATAATCATAGTATCTTCGAACGGCGCCTCTCCAACGAGGAACTCGTACGCCAAGACACCCAAACTCCACAGATCGACCTTCTCGCCATACCAGTTATCCCCCGACCCCGGCTTGAGCATCTCCGGGGGCAGATAGTCAAGAGTTCCGCACATTGTCTGGCGGCGGTTGTTTGGCGCGTGCACGCTCCATCCGAAATCAGAAATCTTAATCTCGCCATGGATACCCATCAAGATATTCTCCGGCTTAATGTCTCTGTGTATGACGTGCTTCTTGTGGAGATACTTGAGCGCCGCAGCCATCTGCGCGATGTACGACGCTGCCTTCCACTCAGGGAACCTGTTCTCGCGCCTCAGGTGCTTGTACAGCTCGCCCTTGCCCGCAAACTCCAGAATGAGGAAGACTCGCTTGCTGTCGTGGAAGTGGCCGTACAGTTGGAGGATGTTTGGATGCCGTAAGTTGGACTGGATCTCGATTTCTCGGCGGACTTGCTTCTCCACTTTGCCCTGCTGGATTTCGGACTTGTGCAGCACCTTCAGGGCACAAATGAACCCGGTACCTCTCTCTCTAGCGAGATATACACGCCCGAATTTACCCTTTCCTAGCGGCCGCCCAATCTCGAACATGCCCAGGTGGAACTCCTTTGGCTGCGGCATGACGTAAATTTGTGGCGCTTTCTGCTCTGCTTTTACGAGCTCGTCGGAAGGCCTTGAGGATGTGGATGTGGCCTTGCGGGGGGGTGATGTTGCGCTCGTTGGTGCATTTGATCCTCGCCATTGTGCTGCTTGGGAGGGAACGGTGACTGTTGTTACCGGCGCTGTGTTATTGTTTGAAAGCGCCATCTTGAGGAGGTTTCCGCCATTTGAGGTTTGCGATAGTTGTGATTTCGGGACAACCTAGATTGTTCTTAGAAGATATGCATATAAGCATTCCAGTGTACTTACTTTGGACTTGAGGCCAGTCTTCTTGAGGCCCTCTCTACCGTCATTCTCATCGGTCACGGACAAGTGCTCGAACCGAGATTCGAGTCCCCGGCTTGCCATTGTGAGAGAGTTATCCACTTCCGGAACTGTATTACTACAATTCAAGGAAACGGTTAGTTTCCGAGCGTGGAATTGTGTTGGTCGTTTGGCGATACTAGATGTCGTTGTTCTTGAAATCGCCTGGGACAATTGAGGGTCAACATAATAATGGGAGCTACAGTGTTGTCAGAGCAACGAACAAGGGTGCTGAACATCCAACCCCACCAAATAAGGTACTCTCTCTATAACCCCCCCACTCCAACTCAATCTGGGCCTCTACAGTACCGTAAGATTTCATTATTTCAGCGACATTTGCGGCTTTGAGGTGTGCAACTTTCGCCTTTCAAAGGGACCAACTCCAAGCGCATAATATACACCATCTATATCCCTCAAAATGTCGTTGAACGGCCCCATCACAGAATCGTTCCCGTCGCCCGGTAACCCCAAATCGGCGACAGTCTCCTTCTCCAAGCACGGATGGACGATCAGCACGCGCAAGCTCCCAATCTCCAAATCCGACGCCATCGACGCCATGGCCGAGAAGCTGGGCATCCCCGTGCCAGAGATGATCTTCGGCGACAACATGGTGTCAGTAGAGAACGCGGAGAAGGGATGGTGTCTCGAGTTTAACTCGTTCGATGCATTGGACCGGGTGGATAAGACAGATAAGACGATGCTGAAGGTTGCATACTCGCGAGAATGGTCGGAGAGCAGGTAAGACTCTATCTAGGCTTTCCATGAGCCAAAGCTAACTAGTACAGGGAGAAAACACACGAGACTATCAAAGAAGTCGTCAAGCCATTCGACTGGTCGTACAGCACAGATTACAAAGGCACTGTAGGCGGCGCATCGCCTACTCCATTCACGCCTGAGACGGAGCCGATCCCGATTGAGCTCTTGAAGCGCCCAGATCCGATATTGCACTTTGAGGAGGTGGTGCTGTATGAGAGCGAGCTGGACGACAATGGGATCTCGCTCTACTCGATTAAGTTGAGGATCATGCCGGAGAGGATGCTGATTCTGGCGAGGAACTTTATGAGGCTGGATAATGTGCTTGTGCGCATCAGGGATACGAGGGTCTACATAGACTTTAAGTCCAAGAAGGTCACGAGGGAGTATACGGCTATGGAGGAGAAGTTTGATGCGGTCAAAGAGGCAAGTTCTGCAGTTATATTGAGTAGTAGTGCCGTGCTAACTGAACCAGGCCCTATTAAAAACGAGGTTTCTCGACGACGTTATAGTAGCAATGCGCGATCCGAACCAGATGGCAAGTTACCTGAAGAAGGTTGACCACACCCTTGAGAGTGTTAAGCTCTCTTGAACCGAAAAGAGGGCAAAGGGGCATAGGCGCGTTGATATATGAAAGCGCGTCAGGATAGATTGCGGGCGTTTGATATCGTTGGCATATGCACGCAGTATGGGTTACTGGAGATTAGCTAGGCATACCATTATTAGAATATTCACTAGTGGAAATCATGTGGAGTTCGATATGAGCCACCTCAGTTTTGGCTGCAGTTTACAGAAATAATATCTGGCTGCATTCGAGATATTTCGGTCCCATGCGAAACTGTTCCGAGAAATCAAACATTCCAAATAAATATTATAATATTTTTTTATTCTGGATACGCAATTCACATAGCCTCATATATGCACCAAATGCACACCAATCTTAATAACCATGTGAATAGGTAGTCCGAATAACCCATAAGTAGAAATGAAGTGGAATTAAATTAAAGTACCGTGTGCGCCGCTGTTATTTCTGTCGCCGGATGGACATGTACCCCCCTTTCAACGTACCCACGCACCAGCATACCTAACCCAAACGCCGAACATCAACAGAACGGTTTCTAAGTCCCAGCACCTAATGGGTGACACAATTCAATATCCGCATGGTATAGATGGCAAAGATATTGTGGGAGCGGGGATTACGGCAATGGTTGCTCGCCTTGATGCCGTTATCAAGTTCTCTTCGACCTCTGACCGCCCATTAATGGAGATGGAGAGGGAGAAGCGCGTATACGAACGGCTTGGTCACCATGATAGGGTCGTCCGTTATTACGGGAACATGGGAAACAATATTATCCTACAATATGCTTGTCATGGATCTATAAGGCGATACTTAGAAATCCAGACAAAGCCTCTGGCGCTTTCAGTGCAGCTTGGCTGGGTTGAACAGATTGCAGAAGCGGTTGCTTTCATCCATTCCAAAAATGTCTTACACGGCGACATCTCCTGTAACAATATCTTCGTCGATCACAGTCTTAACATAAAATTGGGCGACTTTGCTGGCTCTGCTATTGATGAAGAACCTCCTCTTGTCTGTTGCGAGACTAGCCATGAACATGCTGGCATTACACACATGGGGCAATCGCCCGCCCTTTTCGATGATCCCATACATCATTATCACCTGGCCATTGCCGCCTTTATCTGGCGTCGCATCCGCACAGCGATACCAGTTAGCTTTAGCTGGCAAGCATTCATCCCATTTCTGTGTTGTTCTATATGGCGAGGCTGGGCTCGACATTTGGTGTAGTAGAACGTTTGGTCTAAATAGTGGCACGGTAATACACAAATCTTAGCAAAACGTTATTGTGTGTCATATTTTGTAGGACAGGATCTGATACTATCGTTCTAATGGATTCACTCAAAATGATCATTACGTATCTCTCAACTTACACCAAATATCAGACGGTCATCTAACAGTGAGACAGAAATCGTACTTTGGAACGGGCATATGGCATGGTCTGTCAAAAATTCCTCGTGGAAATTACGATTGTCAGTTGCTGGAATTTGTGGCTAACGCTACTCCTTTCCATACAAAAAAAGATGATCAAGCTAGTTTTCATGACGCAATCGGTCGCCAAAAGTAACTCGCGCATTTCAACTATCACCCCACACAAGGAAATACAAAAAGTGGCAGAAGATGCGCCCTTTCCCCCCAAAATTGTGAATAGGGGCACACTCCTGGCTTTTGACTCCAAGTGAGGTTCCAGTTTGAAAGGCACGACCGCCAGATCATGAAACGTCAGTCATTTACTACTCAGGCCATTCGCTTCTTGCGACATGACCCCTCCCCCGAACAGCAGTAGTTGGGGTTTGGTGATCTACTTCTTCGCCTTCTTGGGCTTTGCGATGGGCTCCTCGAGGATCTTGAGGATTTCCTCATCGGTGATCTTCTTGTCGGTCTTGTACTGGGACACGTCAAGGGCTGGTGGGGCAGCAAGCTTCTGGACGCCATTCTTGGTGATGGCTAGACGATGTTAGATGATGAAAGTCATAAAGTCAGTTATATAGTATTTTTACTTACCGATGGTGGTCAGAAGTCTGGCAACGGCAGCTCCGTCCTTGTCACCAACAACCTCGTACGCGCGGAAAACGTTGCCGCGGACACACTCAACAACACCGACCTTGCCCTGCCTCTCGTCGTCGAGTTGCCTGAGGGAGAATGGGAAGGTACCGAACTTCTTGACAACCTCATTGAGGGTCTTCTTGGAGCTGTCTCTCTTGAGACCGTAGGTGAGGGTGGTTCGGCGATGGAGAGTAGCTCTGTTCTCAAGGTTCTTGAGCTTACCGGTTCCCAGGGAGACACCGACCTCAACACCCCATACCTCGCCGACCTCTGGGACACCCTCGCCCTTGGAGCCCTCTCCTGGTGCCAGGACTATCTTCTTCTCTCCCTCAATCTCGTTGCGCTTGAACAGCCACGAGGTGGTGCTCTCGACGAGGTTGCAGTCGTAGCTCTTGACGACCTTCTCGAGAAGGTTGGTCATGCGGCTCTGGGCAACTGGCTTTTGGGCAGCGGCCTTGGCCTTCTCCTCGGGTGTACCGGTCGACAATAATCCGGGTGGGACCATCAGGCGTAGGAGAAGCTCGTTCGCGTAGTGGGTAGCCAGAATCAGGTCTGCGGTGCGGGCGTCATCCTCGCCGCCGGGCACGACAACGCTATCGCAAACGATCGTTCCGAAACCGTCGATTTGTGCACCGAGCTGGATCTTGATCACATCACCAGCGTTCAGGACGACGGCGGCCTCGGCCTCGTCGGACTTGAGAGGGGTATATGGAGTGACGAAGGAGGAAGGAGAGACGGTGGTGGGGTGGGAGATACCTGATGGAACGGTGAGTGAGTGACGTCTTCAGAACGTCAGAATCTTGGCATGGACATACCCTTGGAAATCTTCTTTCCTCTGTAGACCTTTGCGATCTCCTCCTCGAGCAGCTTATCACCCTTCTCGCAGATGTCTACGATCTTCTCGCCAGCTACACAGAGCTTGGAGACAGCCTCGAGGACCTTGTGGGAAATGGCCCCGGCATCCTTGTACTTGGTAAGAGTATCTGGGTTGTTAAGCGTGTAATCTATACGACAATATCATCAGCGTTGGCTCCTTATTCCTGCGTTATGTGTTGTGAATAGCTGCAAATCCGCCCCAAGTGGGGTCGTGTGCAAGCTCGATAGCGGGGTCATAATAAGGGTTTTGGAAGGGAATATGGGAATATAATGAATAAATATTCCAAATAAAATACATACCGACTTCCTTGGTCTCTTCGGCCATGTTTGCGGTTGTTTTTGGAGTAGTAGTTTTAGAAAATATAAAGGTAGTTGTTTATATTGCGTAGTGAAGAAGATTAGAGCGGGTGTTGTCAGTTAGAGACTTGGTTTGTGTGGGCAAAGACCCGAGCAGGAGCACCAGCCACAACAGCAGCCCACTTCGTTCCAGTCCCGGTCAGAATCCCGGTCAGAATCCCGGTGGCGGTGCATATACGTCACGTGCAATTGTGGCTTGGATTTTGAAGAGGATGAGTAAAGGGAAGGGCGAGCTAATCCATATTGGGAAGTGGAAGTGGCTACTTCCGTGTCCCTACTACAGTATAACCTTGAGTCGCGACTGCACGAAACATCCCAACTGAGAGTTGTCGCGGTGCTCAACGCCCAATCTGGCCGGAACATACAGCGACCTGCACTGGACCTAAGCATTGCACAGCATAGCATACGGGCCTCTTCATCTGGACTCGCTGGGTGCACTTCCGCGCATGGTCTCCCGCCATGGCGCCCGAACAACATGAAGCCTCTTCCTCAGTTGCGCCTCCGAATTCGACCAGGGCGACGACGGCTGCGACAGAAAGCGCCATCGATCTTCCTCACCGACGGAAAGCGCCCCCGAGGCCAGCAGTTGCTGAGAAATATGCGGCGCGCGACCTTCTCCACAGCGCGGCGCTGATTACGGTTCAGCAGAATGAGAAGGAGACGTTCAATCGGAAACTGGGCAAGGTGCAGGACTACACGGACATACGGACACAGTATCGCAAATGGTTCCCGCCTAGTCGACTATACGGAGAAGGATATAATGGGTTTGGGAATGGACACACAGATGAGCCCGTGCCGTCAGTGCTGTATCCCGTGTCGAAAATCCGCGCTGGGAATAAGCGCACGCCGATGCTGCGAGTCAAGCGCAAGGACTTGAACCAACAGGCCGAGCAAGTCGAAGAGCTGATACCGATACGTCTGGACGTCGACTGGGAAAAGATTAAGCTGCGCGACACGTTCACCTGGAACCTTCATGACCGGGTGGTGCCAATGAAGCTATTCGCTGAGCAACTGGTCGAAGATTTTGGCGTAGAAGGCCCTGCGGCCGACCATGTCCTCGACATGGTTATGCGCCAGATCTACGACCAGCTCGCGGACTTCTGCCCACCTGTGTACATCGAAGAGGACGCGCTGGACCCAGAACTTCCGTATCTGGCATACAAGAACGACGAGATGCGGATTCTGATCAAGCTGAACATCACGATTGGGCAACATACATTGGTGGACCAATTCGAATGGGACGTCAACAACCCTCTAAACTCTCCCGAAGAATTCGCGCTATCCATGTCTCGCGAGCTGTCCCTCTCCGGCGAATTCACAACAGCAATCGCGCACTGCATCCGCGAGCAATCCCAACTCTTCACCAAGTCCCTCTACATCGTCGGCTACCCCTTCGATGGCCGCCCCGTCGAGGACTCCGACCTCGTCGCCTCCTTCCTTCCCACACCCCTCCCCTCCGCATTCCGACCCCACCAACAAGCCCGCGAATACGCGCCGTTCCTGTACGAGATGAAGGAGACCGACCTTGAGAAGAACGAAGTCATATTCTCCCGCGAACAGCGCCGCCAAAAGCGCTCCGTCAACCGCCGTGGCGGCCCAACACTCCCAGACCTCAAGGACAGACAACGCACTGTCCGCACCCTTACCGTCTCTTCCGTCCTCCCCGGCGCTGCCGATACGATAGAGGAAAGCCGGATCTTCAAGCGCGTTGGAGGCCTTTCTGGCCGCGGTAAGCGCGGCGCTTCTGGCCCAACTGGTGGCATCGATGGAAACTCCGAATCGGAAGACAGCGATGACAGCGTACCTGAGTCGCCCGCGCCCAACCAGCTACAAGGCACGCTACGCACTCGCAACATGCGCGGCGCCGCCACAGCCGCCCAACAACGCATGGCGAACCAAGGCCGCTCCGAAACCCCCGAAGCAATCCTCCACCACCACGAGACCCGCACCTCAGCGCGACGCTTCGGCGGCCGCGACGCACGCGACGAGTCGCCCGACGGTCCCGTGAGCTTCATCATCAAGCTTAAGATCGGGAAGGAGAAGCTGCGGCAGTACCTCCGCGATCGGAAAGCAGCGACTAAGCCCCTTAGCCAGCATAGTCGCAGCCAGAGTAATGTGTCTGGGCTGGGGACGCCGGCGCGGTGGAGCATGGGACCGCCGTCTACGCCGGGGCTGCAGAATCAGCAGCTCGGTGGTGGTGCGCAGACGACGACGCCGGGGCCGGTGATGAATGCGCAGGTGGGGAGGGTGGATGCGCCGCCGCCGCCGGGCCAGGGTCAGAGTTTGCCTGCTCCTGTGAGTTTTACCTACCCCTTTAACCCCCCTTAATACCACTTCCTCCTCGACAAGTGCAACTACTAACACCCACCAGCCACCCCCACCAGCATGGCTCATAGCCGGCCTCCAGGGCCTGCAGCAGACCTACACACAAGACCGCTTCGAGGGGATGATGCGCTACTTCGCGGTCGACGCCACGACGGAATTGCCCGTCCCCCCCGCCGAGGCAGAGACCTCGAATAACGTCAAGTACATGTGGTTCCCGCGTATCCGCTGCAGCGATTGTCCGGGGAAATTGTATACCCCCGGCCCTAACACGACGGTCGAGGGATTTGAGGTCCATTTGAGGAATCGGCAGCATAGGGAGAGGGTGGATGCGCGGACGGGGGGTGCGTGAGGTGAGGTGTGTGGATAGTGGACCAAGGGGGGGGGTATGGTGGTGGTGGTGGGACGGGGACTGGAGTTGCACGGCGAGCGCTGCGGTGCTGGCTGCTGGCTGGCTTGCGTTGGGGGAGTTCTAGTTTTTATTGTGGTTGTTGGTACCCTGCGCGTTTTGTTGTAGAATAGGATGGGCGACGGTAGGGGGCGAGCGGTGTCTTAGTTGACTGGGGATGTAGGGGCAAGGCCCTGTCTTTTTTTACAATGTTTTACCTGTATACATCTCTGTATTTCTGGTGGCGGGCCAGCCAGCCCCTAGCCATAGATAGTGTTTTTGTGCATGAGGAGGGAAAAGGGAGGATGATTAAACAAATTAGGGATTTTTCATTACTATGAAATGTCTGGCGCTGTGAAGTGAGTTGGGTGAATGCCCTGAGGCGGTTCCCCCTCGGTCTCAGTGGTGGAAGGGGAGAGAAGGAAGGAGGTTTGCCGGTGGTCATCACGTGTTTACTTATTGGCGGGTAGCCTAACGGGGTTAGGACTAACGGCGTTATTATTGTGTGGTACTAGGCCACTTCAGCATCGTAATTTGAGTGTAGCAGCGTAGCAGCTTTAGCCTAGATAGGAAATGATGTAACCATAATCCTTGCGCCCCCCTGTTGCCACTATTTCCTAATGTAGTCTAAAGCTGCTACACTGTAGCAGCTCAGGTCTTGGCAGTCTGGTCCTAAATAGGTTAGTATTATAAGTAAAATCCAATGTTGGAAAATGAAGTCGTAGATATATTATCAATTGTATAGTTATATATAATAATGAATAACGCTTTTACCAACCCCTATTTGCAATATCAAGTGCCTATGGCGCAGCCCTGGCCTACCCAACCACCACCTCACGAACTCTCAACTGATACCGCCAGCGAACCTTGGCTTGAATTGCCCCAAACCAGCGATGAAACTAGCGATTCCACTATCCTCAAAGACTCTCTAGCAGCTACAGCTCAAAGCGCTTTAGCTCAGAGTAGCCAGGCTGATGGCGTTATAACATCGAAAAGGGGGGGGGGGGAAGGGGCTTACGATAGACCAAAAGACAACGATTATCCAGCTTTGCGTCCAAAAAAGGGATATATATGGGGTTATTGCAGATAGATCCTTTTGGCGGCTTATAACTAAGGAGGCGGAACACTTGCTAGGTTTAACCCATAACTCTATTGGAAGAGTTATTACCAGTCTTATTCGAGAGCGTCGGAGCGAAGTCTCATTACGGCCAGAAGGACAAAGTGGCGAAGAAGATCCTCCTTCTTCATATGACGATGCAGTTGACCAATGGATTAATATCGTTGATATACGGGCTAATAAGGAACCGATTCGAGATGCAGCAAAAGGGACAAAGGAACAGAAACTTGTCATACTGACATTCGTTGCACTCAGTTTGCTATCAAACTCAAGAGCAAACTTGGAAATCTCCTCCTCAAACCTACAAGTCACTATACATATTTTGGCTTATCACACCAACAACAAGAGCAATACTACTCAACGATTGCTACAACCCTCTATGATTCATTACATGACATCACTCATACTACCTACCACATGACATATCTCTACCAACTAGAGGCCTAGGAGCATGAACGATAGCTCTAAAAGCTCCTACGAACCTCTATGATTCATTACACGTCATTGCTCTTTAGTTACCCACAAGATTGGTTAAGTTATGACATAATTTGTCTATGACATAATTTGTCTATGACATAATTTGTCTATAGGGGTACTCTGACCTTGGACCTCCTTTCACTTCCTATAGGCTACGAACCTAAGAGATGGTTCTATGGGATTCTCTTACGTCGACTACAGTTACCAAGCCTGGTAAGTCATGGAAAGTCTTGGAAAATGAGAGAACTACACTCCTTTAGCATAAATAGGATTGCCCTTTCCTTAAGAAAGGGCAAGCAGACAATACAGTAAATCGACTATCACATACTTCCACGTCTTTTCCAAGCTTCCAAGCATTCATCTTGTTGCTCCTTGTTTCTGAAAAGTCAGTGAGGTGTTAACCTCTGACTTACCCCTGAGTTCCCAGACTCAACATTTGTTGCAACTTGTCTAAACCACTTCACCACATCATACACCTGATTGCTGCGTTGTGGAATAGTCTAAGCTACAACCCTTTGGCTCTGTTTCCTAAGACAGTGTGTTGTCTTAGTAAATTCATCCCTTCCTTGGGTGACTAGATTCTCATATCTGGTGCACCCACCATTACACCTTGCCTGCTTCAAGCTTCAACTATTTCTATAGCAGCACTTCGATACTACAATGGAGGACGACCAAGCTCCTACAACTACTGCTGAACAGCAGATGCAACAACTGTTTGCCTTTATACAAACTATAGCAAACAAACTTGAGAATTTGGAAAACACCTTTCAAGCCAACACTTCAGCAACACAATCTTCAACTCAGACACATCATACAGAGCTTCCCACAGCTCCTCTGGCTATTTCGAGTACCCCAGGTGCACTTCCTAAAGTGCAAACACCAGATTTATACCATGGAGACAGGAGGAAGTTGAAGGGATTTCTTATGCAACTGGACATCTACTTCACCCTCAGGCCTCATCAGTTCACCTCAGACATTCAGAAGATATATTTCACTGCCAGCTACCTCCGTGGATCTGCATTCAACTTCTTTGAGCCATATCTTAGAAGACTTAGTGGCAACAACCAAAATACCACTACACCTTTGATTACCTCTTATGACCAGTTTCAAGAGGAACTTACCAGGACCTTTGGAGACATCAACGAAACTGCTACAGCAGAAAGAGAGCTACAGAAGCTATGTCAAAAGACCTCTGCTGCTCAGTATACAACAGAATTTAGGAGAATCACTTCTCACTTGACTTGGAATGAAGAAGCCTTAGTCTTCAGTTACTACCAAGGGCTCAAGAGCTCTATTAAGGATGAACTCAGCAAAGAAGAACGCCCTACAACACTTCAAATGCTTATAGAGAAAGCTGTCAGACTTGATGATAGGCTTTTTGAAAGAAGAAAGGAGAAGAACCAAGACTGGCATCCAACAAGAAATTTCAACAATTACACCTCTACACCAACTGCTAAGGACTCAGCACCTGAACCTATGGACTTAGACGCCTCTATAAAGAGATCTACAGCAAATCCAGCACCTCAGCCTACAGGATACCCTCAAAAACTGAAAAGGGGTAAACTTACCCCTCAAGAAAGAAAACACAGAATGGACAACAACCTTTGTTTATACTGTGGCAAAGGGGGACACAGAATTCAGGAGTGCTATTCAGCACGAGGGAGTGCTGATTCAAAACATATAGCAGCCTCAGACACAGTCACAACTGCTATTCCTGAAAAACTTGAAAAATCCCTAGCAGGCACAACTTCAACTGAGACTATAACTTCTCCCCTAGACAACAAAGATGTGTCGATGGTGCTTTCTCAGAGTCTCACACACCTGTTAATCCCTATTCAACTCCATTTCAAACAACAGGTGTTGTCTACAAGGGCTATGATAGACTCAGGGGCAACAGGCAACTTTATATCTCAAGACCTCATCTTGACACACCAGTTACCTACAATTCCCAAACGCACTCCAGAGTTGCTCCGAGTCATTGATGGAACTCCTATCAGTTCAGGTTCCATTACCTGCAACACCCCAGTACTCAAACTTGAGATTCCCCTAGGAAAATCAACATTTTCAGACACCATCTCTTTAGATGTTATACCAATGAAGTACCCAGTTATCCTAGGTCTTCCATGGCTTCAAAGGCATGATCCAACTATCAATTGGAAGCATTTATTGCTTGGGTTTAGCTCAAATCCTGAGCTCAATACTGAAAAAACCCTTCAAGCCTCACTTACCCCTATTCAGGTCCAAGACTCAAACTTGTCCCAGATCAAGGATTTTGACCAAACTATGGACGATATATCATCTCTGATATGGGTTAAACCTTTCCAACCTGTCCTGGAGATAGCAGCTACTTCAGATTTGGAGAAATCATCTCAGGAGGTCATTTTGCCTTTAGCATACCAAGACTACCAACATCTTTTTGACAAGGCAAAGGCATCAATTCTGCCAAAGCACCAGCCTTATGACCATGAGATACCACTCGCAGAAGGCTCAATGCCTCCCTACGGCCCTATCTACTCTCTATCTGAATTAGAGCTGAAAACTCTCAGAGAATACCTAGATGAGAACCTTAGTTCTGGCTTTATCAGACCTTCTTCCTCACCAGCAGGAGCTCCTATTCTCTTTGTCAAGAAGAAAGATGGCTCCTTGCGTCTCTGTGTTGATTATAGGGGCCTTAATGCAGTCGCTGTTAAAAACAGATATGCTTTACCCCTTATCCCTGAGCTCATGGATAGGCTCTCTTCAGCAAAGATCTTTACCAAGTTAGATCTCAGGGGAGCTTATAACCTGATACGCATCAAGGAAGATGATGAGTGGAAGACAGCATTCAGAACACGCTATGGTCATTTTGAATACCAGGAAATGCCTTTTGGGCTTGCCAATGCACCTGCTTCTTTCCAAGCTCTCATGAATGATATTCTAAGACCTTACTTGGATATCTTTGTTGTTGTCTACTTAGACGACATTCTTATATACTCTTTAGACACTCAAGAGCATGTTCTACATGTTAGACAAGTCTTAGAGAAGCTATCTCAAGCACAACTCTTTTGCAAACTTGAGAAATGTCTTTTCCATATGTCTCAAGTTGATTTCTTGGGACATAGAATTTCAACAGAAGGCATTCAGATGGATCCTGAAAAGACAAAAGCAGTACAAACGTGGCCTATTCCTTCCAGCATTAAAGAGGTTCAGTCTTTCCTTGGGTTTGCCAACTATTACAGGAGGTTTATACCAAGATATACATCCTTGGCTTTACCCCTTACTCAATTACTTCACAAGGACACTTTGTATCACTGGGATAAGACACAGCAAGATGCTTTCGATGCTCTTAAAGGAGAATTCAAAGAAGGGAAAATGTTACTACACTTTAACCCCTTGAAACCTGCCACTCTTGAGACAGATGCCTCAGATTTATGCCATTTCTGGAATCTTATACCAAGCTCCAAAAGACAAACAAGAAGAGCTACAGCCTGTGGCATTTTACTCAAGAAAGCTATCAGCAGCCGAACAAAACTATCCCATTACAGACAAGGAACTGCTTGCCATAGTATGTTCTCTAAAGCATTGGAGATGCTACCTTGAAGGGGCAAACTATCCTATCACTATTTACAGTGACCATTCAAATCTCTTGACCTTTACAACCACTAAACAGCTCAATCGACGACAAGCAAGGTGGTCTGAACAACTAGGAGGTTTTGACTTTGTTATAAAACATGTCTCAGGGGCCAAGAATCAAAGAGCAGATCTCCTCTCAAGAAGACATGACTACCAAGATTCTGCTAAAACAAGCAATACAAAGGCCCTGCTAGACTCTACAAAGCTTATAGCAGCATCTTTAAGCAACCCTCGCACTACAGAGGACTTAGAGGGAAACTTATCCCCTCAAAACCAAGTTGCCCCCATTACCTCTTCTCAGAAACCAGAGACCTTTAAAGACTATACACCCTCAGCAACACTTCTTAAAGCATTCAAAGATGCTTACAACCACGATCCCTTTGCCAAAAGAACTTTGGAATACCTCCAGAAGAAAGGCTCCTCTCTTGAGAAAGTTGGACTACAAAATTTCTCAAAAAATCAGCAAGGACTTCTCTTATTCAAGAGCTATATCTATGTCCCAAGGGATAAACGATTACAGCTACACCTCCTACAGCAGTTCCATGATGCTCCAGCTGCAGGGCACTTTGGCTTTGCAAAAACTTATGAACTTCTAACAAGAAAGTTCTACTGGCCTAGTCTAAGGACTACTCTTCAAGACTATATATCTTCTTGCACTACTTGCAACTTGAACAAACCTACACGGCAAAAGCCCTATGGCCTCTTGCAGCCTCTACCTATACCAGAACGCCCATGGGACTCCATATCCATTGACTTTATAGTCAAGTTGCCTCCTTCTATCCCAAAAGGGGGTGCTACCCCTTATGACTCTATCCTTGTGGTGGTAGAAAGGCTCACAAAAATGGCACACTTTGAGCCTTGCAATGAGACTATCACAGCTTCTAAACTTGCGTGGCTATTCCTCAAGGTGGTCTTTAAATATCATGGAATTCCTGGACACTGGATCTCAGATAGGGGAGCAGTTTTCACTTCAAACTTTTTTAAGGAGTTCTCTAAACTCTTAAACATGGAACAACGCTTTTCTACAGCTTATCACCCTCAAACAGATGGCCAGACAGAGAGAGTCAACTCTGTACTTGAACAATATCTAAGAATTTATACAAACTATGCTCAAGACAACTGGGCAGATCTTCTCCATCTTGCAGAATTTGCTTACAGCAACACGGTCTCTAACACCACAAAAGAGACACCTTTCTATGCAAACTATGGTTATCACCCTAGGTTTGAAGTGGCAGAACTTAATTGTCCTGAAAATCTCAAAAACCCTTCTGCTACTGAAAGAATCATCTACCTTAAGGGCCTCCAGGACTATCTCAAGGTCCAAATACAGCGTGCACAAGACGAGCAGGCTCAGGCCTTTAACAGGGGGGTGGTTGCACCACAATTCAAAGTTGGTGATCAAGTCTTTTTGTCTAGAAGACATATCACAACTACTAGACCATCAGACAAACTTGATACTAAAAGACTTGGACCCTTTAAGATCACAAGGACTATTGGCAAGAATGCTTTCGAGCTTGCATTACCACCTACTTGGACTATCCATAATGTCTTCCATGCATCTCTCTTGTCTAAGGCACAAGAAAGTTCCTTAAGACCACTTCAGTCTCCTCCACCTCCTGTTCTGATCTTGGATCAACCAGAATATGAAGTAGAGTCTATCCTTGACAAAAAGACACTTAGAGGTCAGGACTACTTCCTCGTTAAGTGGAAAGGCTATCCTACAACTGACAACACTTGGGAGCCTAAGAGAAATCTAAAAAATGCATCTAAGCTCATTCTAGAATTTCTTTCTAAGAAAGCCAACTGGCTAAAGGGCAAGCAGACAGCCAACAAACGTCCTTAAAAGGGGGATCATGTCATACTGACATTCGTTGCACTCAGTTTGCTATCAAACTCAAGAGCAAACTTAGAAATCTCCTCCTCAAACCTACAAGTCACCATACATATTTTGGCTTATCACACCAACAACAAGAGCAATACTACTCAACGATTGCTACAACCATCTATGATTCATTACACGTCATCGCTCCTTAGTTACTGGGCTGATATTACCACATAGCATATCTCTACAACCCTCTATGATTCATTACATGACATCACTCATACTACCACATGACATATCTCTACCAACTAGAGGCCTAGGAGCATGAACGATAGCTCTAGAAGCTTCTACAACCCTCTATGATTCATTACACGTCATCGCTCCTTAGTTACCCACAAGATTGGTTAAGTTATGACATAATTTGTCTATAGGTACTCTGACCTTGGACCTCCTTTTACTTCCTATAGGCTACGAACCTAAGAGATGGTTCTATGGGATTCTCTTACGTCGACTACAGTTACCAAGCCTGGTAAGTCATGGAAAGTCTTGGAAAATGAGAGAACTACACTCCTTTAGCATAAATAGGATTGCCCTTTCCTTAAGAAAGGGCAAGCAGACAATACAGTAAATCGACTATCACATACTTCCACGTCTTTTCCAAGCTTCCAAGCATTCATCTTGTTACTCCTTGTTTCTGAAAAGTCAGTGAGGTGTTAACCTCTGACTTACCCCTGAGTTCCCAGACTCAACATTTGTTGCAACTTGTCTGAACCACTTCACTACATCACACACCTGATTGCTGCGTTGTGGAATAGTCTAAGCTACGACCCTTTGGCTCTGTTTTCTAAGACAGTGTGTTGTCTTAGTAAATTCATCCCTTCCTTGGGTGGCTAGATTCTCATATCTGGTGCACCCACCATTACAATTGAGACAGCTGAGTTTCGGCAGCAGTCCGAGGTTGTACGAATACTCAAGAGTAGCTGATATTTTTTCCGTCCCAATATCTGCATTTCATGCCGTTACTTGCAGACCATCCTTTCTCATTGAAAACCCAAACTTTCTTTGGACGGGTAGATTGAAGGGTATGTTGACCATTCTCATAAAAAAAGTACTGTTTATCTTTCACATAGTAGTAGGATTCTTTGTAGCTGGTCTGGGATGAGGCTCTAACCTGCGAGGATTCCGCTCGACAAACCTGTTGAATTAAAGGCTTACTTTTGAGATAGGGCTCTCACGCAAATTGGAAAGGCTTCAATACAGAAACGAATAAAAGGGTCAGAAATGCGCGTACTGATTTATATCCAGAGTTAAACAAGTCAACGATGAATACGTTCTATGTTGAAGGATTGATTAATATTGGAGAGACCTGAGGGGCTTGGAAAGATCTCTGACAATAAGAAAGTAGTATGCGGCTAATTGCTATTGATTCCAAGCAAGAGAGTACCAGCAGAAATGGCTAATTTCGACTGACGTCTAGGCATGAGACTTTCCTGCAAGTTTGCTCTCAATCAACGGGTGCTACGACGTAAGATCCTGTATGGGTGGTGCGACAAGATCGAACTCACCAGGGCTGATAAGATGCAAAGGCTGCGCTGCCAAGGGTCTTTGGCACCACCGCCGCCAAAGATATATACGTAGAGGCGGCCAATGAGAGGCGTTATTGGGGCCGCAAATTCCAGATCTATTTGGGTTGCGTCAAGGCTCCACAAGCGGGCACTAAGGCTCGTTCATATCCCTTCCCCATAACCATTCCAGAGTAATAAACCAATATATGTGCACTGGATAAACCCTGATCTATGACGAGGCTGGCGCTTAGCGAAGGCTCGTGGCAAACAAATCAGACACCAACCACCCTTCGTAGGCTAATCACATGAGCTCTCTATATCCTGTAAATCCAGCTTGGTGTTCAAGTTGCCCCGACAATAATACAATCTTGCCGATATTGACCTGTCTTCCAAAACATAGAACACCGAGCAGGAGACGCATGGTTCGCAGAGGAAGCCGCGGAAGGTGGCCAGCGAGGAGTTGAGACGCGTGAATGCAGGAATGGAAAACGTCGGCGTTGTGGTTTCCCCGCATGCCGAGGCTTACTTTCGCCCCACGCCCACCGAGATGGACCATTGTAACGAAGCGCCTACTAAGCGCCTTCTAAAGTGCCTTCGAAGGACCCAAGGCATCCCCTTGAGACCAATACGTAATGGTTAATCGCTGTCACATTTCCATGCTATAACTCTAGCAAATTCGCACCTATCACCGACGAATCCTTCTCTCTTCCGTCGACTGTTTCAAACCGAACAGCATTTAAACTCGAGTGTTACCCCCCTCCTTTCAGTCAATATGGCCCTTCGTCAAGCAAGGTCAAACGTCCAAAAACCTGGGCGGCAGCCCTTGGCGACAAAAGACAACGGCAAGTCATCATTCGTCTTTACTACGTACTCTGACTGATCATTAATAGGAAAGCGACCTCGAGGTATCAAGAAAAAACGACCACAACTATCTCTTCGTAAGAGTGCACGCTTAAAGCGAAATATAGAACACAGCCAGGAACGAACGCTATCCAACGACACAGATACCAAACTAAAACATCAATCTCTGCCTCCGAGGAGCAAAGAGGTATGTCTGTCTTCTCCTGCGATAGTGTCGAGCTAACTCTAGGTCTCTACAGAATCCGTCGGCACCTGTAAAGGCTGAGAATCAAAAACGAAGACGACCGCAAGTACCCGAAAGTCCACGAAGTGGTGCTCTATCCAAACCCGTTCGAAAGCGACCGCGAACATCTCTTACCAGGTCAATTGCTGGGGATACATATACGTCTGGCCAAGAGGTGGCGTACGACGTTACTGAGAATAGCAATCCAATTGATTATTGGAGGAGAGAAGGATGCTGGCCCAAGGAATATTTTAAACAAGACGAGAAATATTGGGTACCAGATATGAACATGAATCATCTACTAGCAAAGAAGAAGTCGTCATCTTCTCTTCGCGGTAAACAATCGGAAGCCAGCTCTACACCTAGCGATCAGAAACCGAGAGAAGCCAAAAGTACCCCTTATACGCGTCCGAGCTATGAGAGTGTACTTGCTACTAAGGGCAGCTTGATGGATGAATTTGACGGGGACATTACAGAAGGAAGCAAAGATTTTTGTCAAAGCTTGCTTCATTCAGAGCAAACATATCCTCAGAACTCGTTATTTCGCGATGACTTGTTTAACACAACTTGCCGAAAGATCCGCAACAGAAACGAAGCTATGATCATTCGAGATATCTCCCTGCTGATTGTCCCTTCTCCGCAAACTCTGGCCACTTATGGTGCGGCTCATCTCGATCCTTTAACTGAAAGTGTAAACGAAGGCTGGAATAGTGCCATACCTTTCTATGGCCCTCGCCCACAGCCTGATTACTCTGTCGGATTCGGAAGATCTGCGTTTACGAACGATCAACTTAAAAGGCTTTTGCCTTTCGCTGGCGAGGTCACAGATACTTTTACGTCCTACTTTATGGCCACCTGGCAGATGTACTTCCCATTTCTAACATGCGAGGTAAAATGCGGTTCCGCGGCACTCGATGTAGCTGATCGGCAGAATGCCCACAGCATGACGATTGCAGTGAGGGGTATTGTGGAACTCTTTAGGCTAGTGAAGCGCGAAAAGGAGCTCCATCAGGAAATCCTTGCCTTCTCACTCTCCCATGATCATCGGACAGTGAGAATCTATGGCCACTATCCTACAATAAACGGAAACAAGACAACCTTCTACCGCCACCCGATTCATACGTTCGACTTCACTGCACTAGATGGTAAAGAGAAGTGGACGGCATACAGGTTCGCCAAAAATGTCTACGATCTATGGATGCCGACTCATTTTAAAAGAATCTGTTCTGCTATCGATGAGTTGCCGCTAGATTTAGATTTTGAGGTTTCGGAGCAATCCGAGCTGGGGGAATCTGGACTCTTACAGGGGTTGGAAAGTCATCATCTCTCTCGCCAATCGAGTCATAATGCTGCATCTCTACAGGAGGAGGCTGAAAGCCAGTCAAGCCGCGCTCCGCCGCGAGATATAACTCCAGATACTTCCCTATCTCAAGGGATTGAAAGAACCTTCAAAAAGCCTAAGAAAAGGGGTCGGGCAGTGGAGTTGCATCAGTGAATGCCGTTATCCCATTGAGGACATGAAGATGCATTATCGGCTAGTTTACATGTGGGACATATTTATCACATGTGCCAAGGCGTTCAAGAACTTTCCTTACAAGAAGGAACAGGATATGAGAGAAATTATGCGACACAATGATACCAGGATGACTTAATGTATAATAGCAATTGTTTCTGAATGACGTCCAATTTTTCAACTTGAAACCAATTTATACCCGATGTGCTTCCATACCTATTACCCGGAGAATTTCTCAAGAGCGTCGATGGGGATGTTACTGACTGGAGCATTTTGAGTAGCACAAGGGAATTCACGGAAGATAAAACCCATACAATTAACAAATAATTCTATTCGTCATCAGATTCAGAGTCTCTGTCCTACAACTCGTTGCAATAGCGTACTTGAAGCGATCCGATGCTCCTGTCTGAAAAAGCACCGATGAAAGCCCTATGTATCTCTTTCCACGGCAAGCCCTTCTTCTTGATGTAAGGATGCCTCCGCCCTCAGTGACGGAAAGCATTGGAGTCGGGCAGGTTACGGTCACGTGGGGAGAGTTAGGGCAGGTTAGCCAAAGACAGGTTCCTCATCATCTTTTTTGTATCCTTCATAGTAGACCTATAGGATAGCATCCGTTTAGCCTCTGACTCGCACCCTCATATGCTATTACTGTGAGCTGGGTGCCCTGTGTCCTTACACTTGAGGAGCATTAGCAATTTATCTTCTTGCACTGTATATTGGAGACGTCCACACTTTCTCTGCTTCTGGAGACTTGAGCTCTTTGCATGAGATGCACAAACCCCTGGATGAGCTGATTTTCCAGCTAATTCCCCACTAGACGTGGAATTTGATATGTGGAGACCGATTGATGGTCTGAACGAATCTGGAAGAAGATCTAGCAGCCTGAACTCTAGGTTGTAAGTTGTCACACACTTGAGAAAGCTCTAGCAGCCTGATCTCTAGGTTGTAAGTCGTCACACACTTGAGAAAGCCCTGAAGAGGATACTCTTGGTAGTCCGCGCCTAGAATTGACTCTGCATCATTTGGTGAACTCCGAGAAACTGTAGAACCTCGAGTAGCGCAGGTCTGGGCTTGGGCTATAGTGGACGAGCACGTGTGGACCTTCTTGCGCGTGGCGGTTTCAGTTGCGTCAGAATCTATGCGGCGCCGCTTTCGTCGTCTTGGAGGCCGCATGTCCTCATCCTTGTCGTCATCCTCATTATCCTCATTTTCCTTATGATATGGTTTGACGCTGTGTTGGCAGACTGGTGAGAGAGGGGCCTCAACTATGGTCTCGTCTTCCAGCCGTTGGTGCTGAGGGCTTTCCTTTATTTGCTGGCAGTAGCTAATCGGGCCCTTATCCTTGCCGCTGGCCGCCTCTATGTCGTCCTCGTCTTCGTCTTCTTGCTTTTGTTGGCAATGCTGCTGTTCAATCGTCTTTTCCCACAATCGTTCTTCACTCGAAATACCTCGAACGTCTTTATTATTTTGACTTTCCTGGTCCATCTGATTGTATTGGGAGTGAGCTGCGCTTGAAGGCGGCGATCCCCCCGCTTCCGCTGAAGTTTGTCGTAGTTCATCCTCGATATCGCAGATGCTGCCACGGTCGCACGATCCACGAGCCTGTAATGGTGGGTGCACCAGATGTGAGAATCTAGCCACCCAAGGAAGGGATGATTTTACTAAGACAACACACTGTCTTAGGAAAAAGAGCCAAAGGGTTGTAGCTTAGACTATTCCACAACGCAGCAATCAGGTGTATGATGTAGTGGAGTGGTTTAGACAAGTTGTAACAAATGTTGAGTCTGAGAACTCAGGGATAAGTCAGAGGTTAGCACCTCACTGACTTTTCAGAAACAAGGAGTAACAAGATCAATGCTTGGAAGCTTGGGAAAGACGTGGAAGTATGTGATAGTCGATTTATTGTATTGTCTGCTTGCCCTTTCTTAAGGAAAGGGCAATCCTATTTATGCTAAAGGAGTGTAGTTCTCTCATTTTCCAAGACTTTCCATGACTAACCAGGCTTGTTAACTGTAGTCGACGTAAGAGAATCCCATAGAACCATCTCCTAGGTTTCTAGCCTATAGGAAGTGAAAGGAGGTCCAAGGTCAGAGTACCCCTATAGACAAATTATGTCATACCTTAACAAATCTTGTGGGTAACTAAGGATCGATGACGTGTAATGAATCATAGAGGGTTGTAGGAGCTTTTAGAGCTATCGTTCATGCTCCTAGGCCTCTAGTTGGTAGAGATATGTCATGTGGTAGTATGAGTGATGTCATGTAATGAATCATAGAGGGTTGTAGAGATATGCTATGTGGTAATATCGGCCCAGTAACTAAGGAGCGATGACGTGTAATGAATCATAGATGGTTGTAGCAATCGTTGAGTAGTATTGCTCTTGTTGTTGGTGTGATAAGCCAAAATATGTATGGTGACTTGTAGGTTTGAGGAGGAGATTTCTAAGTTTGCTCTTGAGTTTGATAGCAAACTGAGTGCAACGAATGTCAGTATGACACAGCCCTCTCGCATAGTGGAGAAGGCCTCCTCAATTCGTTGACTATGGCCTTCTCGACACCCTGGTGAATTTGATCATGACCCGTTGTCTCAGCTAGCTCAGAGCAACTTGGAGAAGGTCGTCAAACGTGAACAGGGAATGTTAAGTCCAGCTTTGCGAAAGACAGGCGTTGTTGTCTATCCTTAGAGAAACAACCAGCATTGACGTATTCGGAGTCTCGAGGAGTTGACGGGTGTCATACTGACATTCGTTGCACTCAGTTTGCTATCAAACTCAAGAGCAAACTTAGAAATCTCCTCCTCAAACCTACAAGTCACCATACATATCTTGGCTTATCACACCAACAACAGAAGCAATACTACTCAACGATTGCTGCAAACTCTTATACTACATCTGTTTATGCTACATACATCACGGCATATCATTTGGACACTCATTGAACAAGTTATTAAGAAAATCTCCTCCTTAAGGGGGTGGGCCAATACTACCACATGGCATATCTCTACCAACTAGAGGCCTAGGAACATGAACGATAGCTCTAGAAGCTTCTACAACCCTCTATGATTCATTACACGTCATCGCTCCTTAGTTACCCACAAGATTGGTTAAGTTATGACATAATTTGTCTATAGGTACTCTGACCTTGGACCTCCTTTTCACTTCCTATAGGCTAGGAACCCAAGAGATGGTTCTATGGGATTCTCTTACGTTCACTACATGATTAGCAAGCTAGTTGTGGGTCGCACTTGATTTCTAATACATTTACCAAGCCTGGTTAGTCATGGAAAGTCATGGAAAATGAGAGAACTACACTCCTTTGGCATAAATAGGATTGCCCTTTCCTTAAGAAAGGGCAAGCAGGCAATACAGTAAATCGACTAGCACATACTTCTACGTCTTTTCCAAGCTTCCAAGCATTGATCTTGTTATTCTCTGTTTTTGAAAAGTCAGTGAGGTGCTAACCTCTGACTTACCCCTGAGTTCTCAGACTCAACATTTGTTGCAACTTGTCTAAACCACTTCACCACATCATACACCTGATTGCTGCGTTGTGGAATAGTCTAAGCTACAACCCTTTGGCTCTGTTTCCTAAGACAGTGTGTTGTCTTAGTAAATTCATCCCTTCCTTGGGTGGCTAGATTCTCACATCTGGTGCACCCACCATTACACTGTGCGTGTTGGGAGGCGATCGCTTTGCAAGCCCCAACCAACCACGTAAAGGAGGATCCATTTGTCCGCAATCCCGGTAGTATTCCCGAATGAGCGCCTCGAAACGAAGGTGAATGGCAACCTGCAACACAGGGATGGCCACGGTCGCGATGGCCTTCGAGAGGGATCTCCACTTCGATCTCAAATTGGTCCTTCTCTCAAAGATCAGCCTAGACTGAGGCAGACGTCACTGCCAGTGCCTATAACTCGCAACGTCGCAAAATGTGCCGTGCGGTGATCTACGCAAGGGTCGCCCACGTCACTGCAAGGCATTTTTGCGGTTGGCTAGATCGTCGCGCAAGGCACTCTCGAGGCAGATTGCGCATGCCACAGTCGCAAGAGGCTTCAGATGTATGCGGTGATGAGGAAGAGTGTAAGAGAGGCAGGTCGAGCGGAACGCAGCTCAGCTCGTTCTCGCATCTTGACCGATCCGACGACCAGACATTGATGCTCAAAGGGCTCATTGTGCAAAGAGCTCAGTGGCATAGAAGGCGCAGTCATTGGAGGGCGTAAATCGAGGTCATGGCTCTGTTCATGTGCCACTGCAGGTTTTCAGCTGCGGCGAGGCTGAGCAGGGGGATCCATTGGGCAGGGCCATGCAGCGTGGAGGGGGGCGAAAGGAGGCAAGCGTCGCATGATGAGCGCGGCAGGTACGAGAATGTTGGTGTTGGGAGGGAGGAGCGACGGTGGAGAGGGAGAGTCAGGGGAGGGAGTGGCCCTTTTATAGAATTTGAAAGCGGCGGCAGGCATGTGCACGCGCATTGCCCAATTAGGGCAGGCGCTAAACCCAAAGCTCGAAGACCACGATCTAGATTATAGGTTTAAGTTATAGGTTTCTCGCTTTATAGGTTTATCAGTTTATAGGGTTATAGGTTTCTCGCTTTATAGGTTTATAGGTTTATGGGCAAAAGAATGATATACCCTGTACTTATCCATGTAAAGAACGATATACCCTAAGTTTACGAAAAAGAACTATATACCCTGACTAGCGCCGTTCCACCCATGCCATCACCCCTGCCATTACGGCGGTCTGATCATGACCATGATTCCTCTATCCACTGCCCTTCATAGCCCCCGTATCCCCCTAATCACTCAGCTGGCCTCATCATGTATGAGGCCAGCGGCAGCGGCGGGCATTATGCCCAGGCTTGCCGCAAGTGCCACAGCGGTGCCTGACCACGTCAGGTCATGACACTCCTTCGATATTTGTGTCATGACCCTTCGATTCGCTTTAGTCTCTAGTACTTATTTCACGATGTCATTCACTTCACCTGCTTCGCTCACTTCGCTCACTTCGCTTCACTTGCTGACCTAGATCAGCCCAAAATGACTACTGGCTTAGGCTCTCTTGTTATTGGCTCGCTTCACTAGGGCTCGCTTAGCTAGGGTTCAGTTAATTAGTGCCTTCGCTTATTTGGCACTAGGGATTTTTACTGTTATATAAGCACTTATTGCTCATGTCTCTTATTGATCTTTAGCTAGCAAATTATACACTACTTGGCCTTCTTGCAATTCCTCCTGCTTCAACTTACTTTGCATTCCCTTACTTCAAGTCGAACCACTTGGCCAACCTGTTAGTCTCACCACTTGACCCCTGTGGTATAAAGTATATGCTTTGGAGCCTGAACTACTATACCTTGTCCTACTGCTTCGAGCATCGAAGTCTTCACATTATACTTCGGATACTTCTGCAGACTCGAAGGTCAGCCTCGGTTCGAACTGTCCTTACAGTCAGGGACTGTAGCAACCACTGCACCAAGAGGTAGTAGCCCGCCATGGTCGCGAGTCAAGCGGCCGCTGCGAGGACAGCGAACGTCCTCACGGCGGACTCGCTCCTTTTTTGGCCTCCCCCGAGGCACACGAGTGATCGGCGGATTACAGGACTCAGTAGTGGCGAGTTCTGTGATGTTGATGGGAGGGAGAGGCGCTAAATAGACGTCCTTCCAGCGCTCTGCTGTGAGCTCTGGAGGGACATAGTCGAGGATATTTGCCTGGACGGCAAATATTAAGGCCATGGCATGCCCACAAGGCACGCCATGTTTTTGGAACTGGCGACAAGAGCACGATCTTGTCACTAGGTTAACGAGGTAAATCATACCATTAGGTTAAGCCACCCGTCCCTCAAATAATGAGGACACTTGGACAGAATTGGATCCAGCCCATTGCCTCGCTATTTCAAGCTGTTTGTCCACCCAAGGTGTTGATAAACAACCTTCTTCAAGTGAAGTTGCAGCTTGAAGCCGGACAGAGCGCTTTTCCATCACTCGATGCCATATAGCATCGAGTAGCTCTGTGATCGGGAGATCACGGTCGAAGCGGAGAACATGATTTAAGCTCTCCACAAGATTGCTTGTATCCTGGCCATAACGACGGCCCAGAAACATGCACTCAGCCCATTTCTTTGGCTCTTGAGCTTCAAGATATGCAGCGGCGTCAGCCTTTTGCTCTCGAAGCTCATGAAGAGCAGCGTCATAAATAGCCCGAGTATGTGCTCGGGCTATTCTCCAGAAGAGGGGGCCAAGTGCCCGGCCAAACTTCTCAGTAAAGTTTGTCTTAAGATGGTGACAGCACCAAGCTGTCACCATCTGGGGGCCAAGCACAGCCTCAGCGCTAAGGAGTCCTTTGTCTCTATCGGAGACGAAAGTGCACTCCTCCGTTGCCATATCTGGCAAGGCATGGCAGAGGTTCCGAAGGAACCATGTCCAAGAGTCTGCATTCTCTGACTCTACTACGCCCCAAGCTAACAAGACTTGCTCGCCGTTTGGGTCAATCCCAACAG